ATTATATTTTATTAATTTTAACTTAATATTAATATTATATTAAATTATAATTAGAATTAAGGTTAAAAAATAAAACCTAATTCCGGGCATCACGCCCTTTGATTGTTGATGTTAGGTCAGCCACAATATATTTTCCCAAGCACAGAGGGAACCACACACCCCGAGCTCACAAATACACCGCCTACTCACTACCCTATTCTTGTCCATTTTTCTATCCACAGATCTCTGATCAAAGCATCACTCAACGTATAATCCAATATTCCGTGACCGGTCCCGGACGGCAGAAATATCAATAACCAAGACTCTTGAGATTGTGGCAAGAATGCCGCGACCCGGCCAAGACGGGCTAGAATGGAAAGAGACACTGTTTGACCTCGTGCCGCAATGGACGCGAGACGTTTCCATCACTGCGATTGAAAGCGTATGTCGCCAGCAATTGAACATACTCCCCAAAGATTCCTGTACCATCGCCTTTCACGCATGCGGCTTGTTCAATAAACTCTACTTGGTCAAATGTACCAGAGGCCCTCTCATAATGCGTGTCTCGCTTCCGGTATATCCACGGTACAAGACGCGCGCTGAGGTAGCCACCTTGCGGTGGGTGTCAGAGAACACCAAGGTCCTGGTCCCCAAGGTGTTTAGTTTTGATGACAGCAACGACAATGAGATTGGGTACGAGTGGATCCTCATGGAACTTGTGGAGGGCACATCGGCATCTAGACGGTGGCGGACCATGTCGATGGAGCAAAAGGTGGCGCTTACGAAGCAGATTGCGGCCTACCAGGTGGAGTTGTCGGGAGTTGGGAAGCTGGGGTCCATATTCAGGAGCATAGGGACTTTAAGTACGAGCGAGGTCCGACAAAAAACAGGCGTTGGAGATGCGGAAAAAGTTGTCCCTGGCCTACTGGTATCCAGTAACTTCTTTATGGGCGATCACCTTCATTACGATATTGCGCGGGGTCCCTTCCGCTCTAGCCATGACTGGCTGAGCGCCGAGTTGAATATTATCCTCATGCACAAGACAGCAGTTCTCGAAAAGACGGAGGATGAAGACGCCAAGGAAGACGCCGAGACGGTCTTGCTAGTAGCAAGAAAACTTCACTCTCTTGTTCCCAAGGTTTTCCCCCCGCATGTAGACGAGCCGGAGACAACAGGACTCTACCACCATGACCTCCATCTAAACAACATCCTAGTAAACGAAAAAGGCGAAATCACGGCCATTTTGGACTGGGAATGCGTCTCGGCATTGCCCCTCTGGATGTTCACCAAGGTTCCTAAGTTTCTTGACGGGCCAGTTCGGGAGGAGAAGCCGCAGCGGGATATGTATGCGGATGAAATACCCAAAGCGTCTGCCGTCGCAGCTAGAAAGCGTAATAAGCCGGACTACTTGGACAGCGATGGCAAGAATGAGCTGTATTATATTCACAGGATGGAATACGAGCTAACAAAGCTGCGGAAAGTCTACGAGGGCAGGCTGAAGGACTTGTGGCCGGAGTGGCCTTATAAGGAGAGCTATGTGAAGATTGACTTCTTCCAGGCAATCTCGCAATGTGACGGGATATGGGTGAAGAAAGCGCGCGGATGGGCCGAGTATATGGAAAAGACGATGTGCTCTTTGCGATAAGAGTACGCACTGGAATTTAGGCCATGGAAAACCTCGTCCCGCTTAATGCTAAGGCTTGTGGGATGCTCCTGAACTATTTTCCAGGATGGCCCGTGTATTATAGTACGGCTGGATAGCAAATATATATAATCTCGATATATAAGCCGTGGTAAACTAAGCCCGCTTTCGACAGATACATAACGCTGGCGGCGCTGACCCGAAGTCGGATCGCGTACTGTACATGGTGATTTGCTTTCTCTTTCTCTCTCCGACTCTTTTCTCTTTTCTTTTCTTCTCTTCTCTTTTTTTTTTCTTTCTTTTTTTAGACGTCCTTGACCTTTATACCATATCCTGGCTCCGTAAATGCAAAGAAACGAGGGACCTGCGGCCCCCCCTACCCCCCGCAGCTAGGATGCCAGCGCAAGCTTATCAACATCACGAAACACCTTTCTTTGTATTTCTATTTTCATGTATTATTATATTTGACATAATATATAAGTCTACTAATTTACAAGCACTTGAGTGTGCGCAGGTTCTAATCCCTTTCCCTATCTTTTATACTTTAGCTCACTTTAGTTGTAGGTTAACTTAGATTAAACAGCGTCTTATAATTGTAGAGAGTTTCTCAACTCAAGATATGGCATTTTTACTTGTAGTAATTGCAAATAATAGTAGGAAATTTGGTAATTGTCATATTTAGCTCAAAAAGCTGCTGTAATGGAATATCCAAGCCGTACTCCTTAAAAATCCAGTTACGCAGCTCAGCGCCGATCATGCTATCCGGGCCATATTCAACTATAGGAAGGACCTCGGGCTCAAAGACATCTGGTTCGAGCATCAACAAGCGGCATAGCTTGGTGGTGAAGTGCTCCGAGACTAGGCCAACACTAACCTGCAGCGAACTGGCCTCTTGGATGGCTTTGAGAATGGTGAAGCCGCTGCTGCCGTGATCAGACGACCCGCTAGAGTCGATAGCCTGTAGCATAGCCTTGAAGCGCGCATCCTCTATCCAGAAGCTGTCAGTAACGTCGCTTCTCGAAAGTGAGTTCTTAAGTTTGCTGGGGTCCATGCCGACAACAATATGGTCAGCCGGCGTCGTGGTGGCCTGCGTGGCGATGGCGGCCTCGAGAGCCTCGAGGAGGTGCGTCTCGTTAAAACCGTAGATGCCCTTGCGTCGTAGCGCAGCCTCAATCTCGGGATTCTCGGCCACCACACCGACGCTCTGTACCATGGGATGGACGAGAGAGACGGCGCGCTGGCCTCTAGCCATGCGGTTTCTTGCTAGGTTGTCGAGGAAGCTGTTCCCGGCCGCGTAGTTGGCTTGACCGGGAGTACCCAGGATGCCAGAGGTAGAACTGGTGAAAACGAAAAAGTCTATATCGATCTCTGCGAAGGCTTGGTCTAAGTTCATAGCGGCGAGCGCCTTGGGTGCAATAGATGTCTGCCAGTCATCTATAGACATGGTGTGGAAAAGTCCGTGCTGAGGCCGTTAGCATCTCCTACTTTTTTTGTGTGCATTATTGGAACATGAACAAAACTTGCCCGCAAAATTATAGCAGCATGGATCACGCCCTTTACGGGGCACTCGGAAGGAATACTACGAATAGCTACATCGATATCGCTCGTATTGGATGCGTCACCCTTACTGATCTGACACGCAATGCCCCTGGCCTTCAGACCGTGAATCCAGGACGCCGTCTGTTTGTTACCGAGGCCGGGTCTGGACATGAAGGCAAATCGTCTGGCACCACGCTTAATCATCCAAGCTGTTAGACAGCGGCCTACACCGCCGAGACAGCCAACCAGGAAGTAGGTCGCGTTGATGTTAAAGGTGAGCTTGGAGCGGTGAGGCATAACGGGCAGCCCCAGGCCGTCCACAATTTCGATGTACTAGATGGCCGTCTTCTTAGTAGCAAAGGCGTGGGTGAAGACCGCGATGGCCTTGTCGAAGTCGGCAAGATTCCTTTTCTCCACGGGACCGATGGCAGGTATGAGCGTCTGCCGGTAGAGCGATGTCGCAGTGAGTAAGTAGTCGGACAGAAGACGCCCCTTTTGCCTGTACAAGTCGAGAACATCAAAGGCCAAGTAGCTTGCCCCACGACTAGTTGGAAGGGTGTCCAGGGCGCTGCGCCTTAGACCTGTCCTTCGCCCTATCTCGATGAAACGACGGAACGTTGCAATTTGTCTCCAGCACTCGTGTGGATACGTATGCCGAACTGAAGATGACATCAGCGACGCGTCCTCCGGTTCGCTCTTTCAATCGCATCATCAGATTCGAGTCGAGTTGGGGTATAATATTCTCAGCGGGCAGATCGAACGCAGCAGCCACTCTGGTGGCCTCCTCTACTGAACGCAAGTCTGTGCCTTTGTTTTCTTGCTGGTGGTGATGGTGGCAGCACCACCATCTCCAGTCCCGTGGAGAATCAAGACAATTTCCCCTGCCTCAACTCTCGCGAGGGTCGTCAGCCCATGTATTGCGGTAGCATAGGCAAGTGGTAACGTCACAAGTTCTTCCAGGACATCGCCTTGTTCAACCTTCTGCACCACGCTCGCCGAGACGGTCTGGAACGTGGCCAGTCTGTCAGCACTGAAGCCGAACACACGGTCTCCGACATTAATGTCCTCAACATTAACCCCTTTCTGCACGACAGCTCCATAGATTTCATGCGAAAATGTGGTGAGTGAGTCAGCACCCTCCATGACAAGAACGTCCTCCTTGTTGACACCAGACAGCATGACTTGAACTTGGATTTGGTTGGCTCCAACGGTCCGGTGGTCATGTTCATCATGAGAGAATGTCACCTTTACTGCTTTGGCCGTGGCTACCAACTCATCAGAGGGCTTAAACGGCGTGGCCTTGGGAATAGAATTCTGTGGCCCGTATTCTTGGTCGAGCGTAGCGTCAGGCACGAGCCGACTTATGTACACCAGCCCATCGGCGAGGCAGTATTCCGACTCCTTGTCCTAGGCGTGGTAGATCTGCCGGTCCAGAGCACGTACAATCTCGTTAATGGCACAATACGTCGTCGGGTTGCCTAGGTCCAGATCCAAAGTAGTGAAATCAAGGGAAGCCATCTCAGACGTCACCGAGCGAGGGACGTCAGACGCCATGGCCTGCTCCGGCGTGGCCCCCTTCATGAGCCCACCCGAGGTGACCCAAGTAACGGAAGAGGTGTTGGAGACAATATTCTGCAATCCGGCAAGCTCGTTAGGCTCCAGTTCCAACAGAAGCGGCCCCTCTAGGTCGCAGGTAACTACCACATGTTCTGAAGTAGCAATGCTAGCGTCGGCTAATCGGGCGAGTCGCGAGGATCCAAGCGCATTGCATGCCTTTACCAGTTTGCAGGGAATTTCGGTCGGCTTGTTACGGTAGATAATGGCGATAGACCTTGTACGGACGCCGTTGATGCCGCTTGTCTTCTGTTCTGCCACGGCTGTGGCAATGGCGAAGCCGTTGGACAGGTTCAAGATGGAGAAGTCTTTTCCGAGCGACGACAATGTGTATTGGTCAGGCACGATGCGGCCACCCGGGGCGAGCAACGAGGCAAGTTTTGAGGAACCGGTCAGAGTGCCTGGAATGATGAGATCGAATTGGCCTGCTTTCAGCCCCTGTGCTTCGAGCTCCAGCGACGGATCAACGTTTATAGCAGTCGCGTGATCAAACCCAGCAATAGTGTCCTCGAGGGCTTCCAACCCAGGCTTAGACGTCGCGGTTGCGGTGTAGTTGATCAGTTCCGTAGCTTGGCATATAGCAGTCGAGTTCAAGGCACCAAACTCCAGGACCCTTACGCCAGGGCTCTTCCAGGGAGCCAAGGCCACCAGGTCCGCGAGACCGACAGACTTCACAGGGCTTGCTGATGTGACTGTCGATGTCTACGTTCCAGCCCATCTTCATAAAAGGCTGCTCCTTCAGGACAGTCCTGCGGATCTGAGGAACAGCGGCCTCATAGGCAACACATCGCATACCTTCTAGAGAGAGCAGCAGCCGCCCATCGCTCCCCACCAACTGGGTTTCATTAATGGTCAAGCGAACGCCACGCTCTTCAGTCCAGGAGTAAGCGTTTGCCTTGGGGTTCTGCAGCTGGGCTTTTGTCGGTGGCCTAAATCGGAGCTTGTTAGTATGGCGTGTGTAAGTGCGAGAGGATGTTAATCTGTCAATGAAAACGTACCATAGCGAAACCTCATCCACTTGAACAGGAACAGAGCCGCATGTCATGTCCTCCATCTTGCCAGCGTAGATGGACACTATAGTGAGCTGAAGGCACGAGTCGATTGTGGAGGGATGCAAGACGTAGCGTGACTAGCCCTCGATCAGGTCCGACGTCTTCTTGACGACTGATGACGCGGCGGCGTGGAAACGCTTGCCGTCGGTGCGGATGTCCTGCATATCCTAGAAAGACGGTCCGTAGTCGAATCCGACGTCCTTCAACGCCTGGTTCCACGCCTTGCGCGTGGCGCGCTGCGTCATGGCCGGGAGCTTTCACGTTGATGTCAATAATGCCTCTCATGTGGCTTCTCCAGTGGCCGTCCTGGCTCCAAGACGACACCTGGAACGCCCACCAGTCGGTGTGGACGCTTGGCCGCAGACTGAAGCGTCTCGATGCCATCAGTGTCGTCGGGGATAACCAAGGCCGCTTTGGTGATGACTTCATGGAGAGTGTAGCCCCTGATTTCCACTGGACTGGAGCTGGTCTCCTTCATTTGGGTCACAGCCTCGGTGGCCATGCCGAAGTACCTGGCAGCCGGGAACACTGCTTCGCCACCAAGGGAATGATGCTTCAACCATGGTAGGTCAATCTGACGCAGACGGTTCCTCCACGTGGGTTCGTTCTTTGATCCCCCGGGCATATGGCTTCCAAGCACATTGTGGCGGAGGTTTTGGGGGGCGCGTTGTTCCTTGGACCGGCGAGGCTCTGCCCACAGTTCCTTGACGTAGTTCCACTGATAGATGGGCAGGTCAACCAGCAGTTTTCCCTTCCCGATCTGGATCTTGTCTGGGGGCGAGGTCTCCTCGATGGCAGTGACACGCTCATAGTCGAGGCTGAAGTTGTTTAGGAAGAGCTGGCCGGCAAGATTGAACAATTGACTGGCCGAGTTACCACCCCGCTTAATAGTTGGGAGGCAACTCATCTTGTCAAACTTGTGCTCGCGACACATCTGCTTCACGGGCCCTTTGAGCGCAGAAAGAGGCCTAATTTCGACAACAATAAGGTCGACATACTTGAAAACTGGACAGGAGCCGATCGTCTGGACAGCCTGCCTAAACTTGACGGGGCTGACGAGATTGGCACACCGGTAGTCTGCATCTAGTGGTCTGGCGGAATCTAGAGCCGTATTGGTAACAGGGGACACCATGAAGGCGGCGATGGATTTGCGGGGACAATTCTTCAAATGCGAGCTTGCCTCATGCATGAGGTCGTTGTAGATGTCGGCAGCCGGCTTCATGTGGAACGAGTGGTAGGCCTTGCCGCCCGTCTTGACGGTCCGGGCAATGATCTGGTCCTTGTTCAGCTTTTGCTTGACGGCAGCCAGTGCATCGGCATCTCCGCGCAGTCACCATCACCGGGGCGTTATGGCAGGCCAGCACGATTCGGCCCTCGTAGCCCCCGAGATACGTCTGCGCGGCCTCGGCGCCAAGTCCCACTGCTATCATGGCACCGTTCGTGTTAATGTTGGAGAAGACCTTGCCCCGAAAGTGAGCGGCGCCAATTTCGCCAGAGGAGTGGCCGAAGGTGAACTGTTGGACCAATAAGTAATCAGTTCGTCCGGTTGCGGATGGGTTTGGATTCTCTTACCATGGGTTTGACTCCCCAAGATTCGAGTAGGTCGATCAAGGCAATTCGGATTGCGGTACACGCGGGCTAGGAAAACTCGGCCTCGCCTATCCGCGACTGGTCCAGTCTGCGGATGGTGTGGAGGAAGCTGGGATAGTAGGCCATGAGCTCGCAGCCCATGTGCGCTCACTGGGCTCCCTGGCCCGCAAAGGCGAGCCCGACAACCGGCGCCTTCTTCTTTTCGGCGAAGCTGAAGTTCTCAGCGACATTGCCAAAGGCTTCTGTGACGCCGCTGGGGCTGCTCACCACGAAGGCACGGCTGGGCAGGCGTGAGCGCCGGTTGGCGAGCGTGTAAGACAGGTCGAGTAAGTTGTCTTATCATGCGCGCTGAAGAGCAACAGGTATGGTTTCTTCCGGTAAAAGACACCCCGGTCGCTGCCCTTGACCAGCTTCTGCTTCTTCTGGCCGTGCGAGTACCCCGTAACGAGGGACTCGACGCCTTCGACAATAAAGTGGCCGCTGGTGCCATCGTACCCGAAGCTGTTCACGCTGACCCGGCGAACTGGGATATGGGCGGGGAAATATTGCGGTTCGCAAGGGACTTTGACATTTCAGTCATCCCAGTTGACTATCCATGTTGTTAGTCGGATGTCTCACCATTCGTCGTGCCGACGGGGCTTGTTGTTGGGATTCAGCTTGGTTATGTCTCGAACAGGAGGGATTATCCCATTCTGTTTGAGCCCGCCGATCCATAGAGGCTCAATGCCCACAACTTTGGCCGAAACCCACCCGGGATGTCGGCCCGAGGCGTCGACCGGCACAATGAACCGGGCCGACCCGCCGGGCCGAGCCCATGGTGATGTGACGAGAATGCAGATGTCAATCGTGGGAAATCTGGTCTTGTAATGGATCCGTCAAGGTCACCAATTCTCTGGACAGTCAAACTCTTTACGCCGTGCCATGTTCAATTCGGATTACCCAACTCTCAAAGTAGTCATTCATTCTCGAGCCGGCAAAGATGAAGAACGGAAATGGGGAGGACTATGATGTGCTGGTTGTTGCCGGAGGTATAAGGGTCACTCGCTTCAATATTGTCGTCTAGTCCTCTTTCTTGGCTGACCTTCTTACAGGCATGTATAGGCTCATTACAGCCTACACGTATCTCAAATTGGCACCCGAGACGAACCTCCTTATTCTCGATGACGGTCGATCGGCGGGGTCTGGAGCACCGAGCGCATCTACCCAGACCTTTTTGCACAGGTCGGCCACGGTCTGTTTGAGTACAGCTTCTAACCTATGAAGAAGACGGGCCTGAGCCCGGACTGGTACATTTCGTCTCAGACGATCCACAACTATCTCCAGTCTTTTGCCGAGGACCATGACCTCGTCAGGCGTATCCATCTGCCACAGAAAGTTGCGAAAGCAAACAAGATTGGCGGGAAATGGGTTCTGACGCTCAATGACGGAGCCTCTCAAGCGTCAGGGGCAAAGCTAATTGTGGCAACGGGTGTCACGAGCGGTGCGTATGTGCCCGAATTTCCGCAGAAAGGGTTCCATAAGCCAATTTTGCATTCCTCGGAGCTGGGAAAGTACATATCGTCTCTCATCGGACCAAACATACAACGAGTGACAGTTCTTGGAGCCGCCAAGTCTGCGTACGACACCGCCTTCATGTTGATCAAAGTCGGGAAACAACTCGACTGGATTAACCGTGAGAACGGCTCCGAAGTGAGAAAAGAACCGTTGACCCGTCAAATTTGATCAATAACTCACTGGCTAACCAACTTCCTCACTATAGCCTCTCGCCATAATGCCACCGGTTCAACAGGATTATTACTTATGCTTTGCTCAATTGCGCATATATATATTCCGCTACAGCAGCTGAAATAATATTTATTCCTGTGAGTGACTAATAGTCTAATAAATTTTTTATCTTCAAGAATATTACATAAATACTTTAAGCCAGGTTTGTTTGGGAGCCCTATATTTCCCCTTGTAAACAATTATCATAACGAAGTTATACCCGAGCGTGCTTTTGCGCTGGCCCCATCAGAGTTCTGTCGTTTATCCAGAGATGGACGCCTTAGTCCATGGCGGTGCTGGGCACCACCTTTGAAATGCGACTCTCAACAGTGAGGCTATGCTCTTCTCCAAGAATGAACCTGCCGTTCCCTGCCCAGTGATAATTCCAGATCCTTCAGCTCAGGGCTACCCGCCTTGAGCGTTTAGAGAGTGGCTTGGCACAAAACGTTAGCCAGGGTAGTTCTAGAGTAACCATCTCATAGAAGGCGATGCATATTGCACCCACTCGAATATCCAAATGGAATGGTCTTGGAATCGGGGCTGTAAGCGAAAGTCTTCCCGATGGCTTCGCCGATGGTAACGATTCCGGCGTAGTAGAATGAGAAGGGTGCGCCGGACGTGGTCCTGTCCATGATTAGCAAGGTATCTGGCAAAATGCGGATTGTGAAGAAAGGAATGCTATAGGTATCTATATACTTTGCAATTACCTTGAAGTTAATGCGTGTGTGAGACTTGCCGGGGTCGAAATACAGCCAGTCACCACCAGACACAATCTCAGCGTCAACTTTGGGCTTGAACCCAGGGAGACTCTTTATAGTACCAATGGGTGTTTGCTGTTTTGCACAGTGAGCACATGGATGCTACGGGACTGCCTTTCTTGCGACTTACAAAGTGGGTAAATTGCTAGCCAGTAGAAATATCACCTGAAGGCAGATGTCAGATGTCAGAGGTAATGCAAGGTTAGTGCTGAGGTGTAACCATACCGACCGGATTGCCTTCACCGACGTGCACCTAGTTGAGCTTATGATTAGAAGATGCTTGTTAAACTCCTTTCGGGGGCCATTTAAAATCCCACCTACCTTGATAGTAAAATCGGGTTGTAAGCTTGGGAATCCTGTATATTGTAATAATATAGTGGAGTACTATATATAAGATAATAGTTTATCTAAGAATCCGTAGTCCCTAGTTTAATTGAGATGTTAATAAATTATTTCATCTATAGGATAAAGCGTAGCGGATTATATAACATTTCCTACTAAGCCAAGGCCATGCAATACAATACTAAAAAATAAAACCTAGACAGATTTCCCCCAGTAACATAACATGCGTATGGGCGCGAGGTTCACCGAGGCCGGGTCTTGTCTGTCGACTGACACAAGAGTTCGGTCGACCGGGCCGAGTTCACTGCTGCCCGCCTGTCTGGTTAAATGTCTGCCGAGCTATTCAAGCCTTACTACTTGTAGTAAACTATATTTGGAATTGAGTGATTGGTTGACATTATGCAAGAGAATCCAAGTACATAGGGCACTGTACATTTATTTGGCATTCCTTATGTATAAAATGTATACGTGTCGTAACTTGCCTCAAAGTGGTATACTGACCGTAAAATTCAACGCCGCCATACATAATCCATGATGAGTTTGAGTGACAGCACAGGGAAGCGCCCATTTCGCGTAGTGGTGGTGGGAGCTGGCGTCCAGTTGGAATGCCTTGAGGCAGTCCAGAATGCCTGTGCTGAGATGACGGTATCCTATACTCGGGACCCCGACGGGAAAGCCATCACTGCTAGAAAGCTGTTTGATGAGATTGTCAAAGGGTACGCGAAGTTGTTATCGTATGTTTAGCTATCATTATATGACTTCAGGCTGATTGTCTTGTATACAGACACGAGTGTCGACTTCTGTTGCTGGAGAGAAAGGAGTTTTTGAGGCACTTGTACGAATGTTTGCCCAGCAAGAACCCGATCGAGACGGGCTGTACAGTAAATGAAGTCCTGGAGCCAACAGATGGTGTTCGAGTGTTTCTTGAAGATGGTTCGCATGAAGATGGGGATATGGTCGTTGGGTGTGATGGTGTTGCCAGCCAAGTCCGCCAGATAATGTGGTGCAATGCGTACAAGGCCACGCCCAACACCATCACGGATGGGGAAATGAAGTGTGAGTTTCTCTGGTCGTCTGAGTCATACCATAGGCTGCCATTAAGCTCATTATTTTGCACAGCGTTGGCAACATCGTATAAGTGTCTGGTGGGAGCCAGCACTCCCGTTCCTGGAGTGGAACCCGGTGCAATGACCGTAGTGCAGAACGATGGATTTAGCTTCTTGTACGAAACTAATGCTATCTGCTGAATATGAGTTGATAAACTAATATTCACAGGCTACTCTTTCAGCCCCATATGATCTTCTTTTTTGTGTTTATAAAGCAAGACAAGACTAACCACTGGCCGGCATTTTCGAGATACACAAAGGGCGATATTGATATGGAAGCCACCCCCTTAGCTACTTTACCAGTGAATGGCACGGTCATCTTCGGAGATATATAGGCTAGAGAATACGCGCAGACTTAGTCATGTGGAAGAAGGCATCTTCCAACACTGGCACTTTGGCCATATCGTGTTAGTCGGCGATGCAGCCCACAAAGTACGCCAGTCACATCTTTCCCCAAGTTCGGAAAAAAAACGACATGCTGATACTTTCTGCCGTAGTTCACACCAAACCTTGCTTGGGGTGGAATGTGCGCCATCGAGTCGGCCGCGTCGCTGGTAAATCTCCTGCGGGCAAAGCTCGCCTCTTCGGCCACTTTGGCCAAGGCGGTTTCGTTGACGTCGGCGAGGGATAGAAGAACGCCATGGTGGGCTAGAAGAAGGGCCGTCACGCGACCAATGCTGTCCGTGACGGAGACCCTATCCGCTCAGTTATCCGCGGCTCGGCCATTAACGCCAACGGTCGCACGCCCGGAATCACGCTTCCCGAAAAATTTGGACAGGAGAAAGTCATCCGGAAGGCCAATGCCAAAGCGGGTCTATCGATGGACGGCACGTCGCATGTGGAGTGTCACGGCACCCGCACTCCGGTCGGCGACCCCATCAAGGCCGAGGCCGTGTCGCTTGCGCTTGACGGGCCGAGCCGCCCGAAGCCAATCCTGATCGGCTCAATCAAGTCCAACCTGGGCCACTCCGGAGCTGCCAGCGGCATTTCCAGCATTATCAATTCCACGTTGATGCTCGAAAACAGCCTGATCCCTGCCACCGTCGGTATCCGCAAGCTGAATCCCAAGATCCGATTGAAGGAATGGAATGTCGATGTGGTGACGGAACTGCGCCCGTTCCCATCGCTTGCGCGCAGGCGAGTCGGCGTGAACCCGTTCGGCTACGGAGGTGCCAACGCCCACGTAGTCATCGAAAGTGCGCCAGCAAAGCTTCGCTCTGGCAGCGTCACCGCGGGTCCCGTCTACCAGCGCTCCAAGTACCTCATCCCCTTGTCTGCCTTCACTGAAGAGTCGCAAACCTTGCAACCTGGCCTGGCTTTGGAAGTTTCCAGCTACCCGACTTGGTTGCAAGACGTGACCAGCGCTTCACCCACTTCAAGAATCGCGGCTTCTTGGTTTCCAGCGAGGAAGGACTGTGGGAGAATCTAACGAAGCAGACACTGCGCCTCGGCCGTGGCCAGATGGCTCCTCTCGACTACGCCTTTGTCTCTACAGGACAGGGCGCCCAGTGGCCGCAGATGGGCAAGAAACTACTGGACGAGTTTCCTATATTAGCAGTCGCCATTTCCAAGATGGACTCGGTGCTGGACTCGGTGCTGGCCGCTCTGTCACACCCGCCGTCGTGAACCATCGCCGGAGCCCTCCGACAGCCCAAAGAGACGAGCCAGATCGGTGCGGTGACGCACTCGCAGCCGCTCTGCACCACCGTTCAAATCGGCCTCGTCAAGTTGCTGTCCAGCTGGGGCATCAACCCCCGCGCTGTGGTTGGCCACTCGTCCGGTGAGATGACTGCTGCGTTTGCATCTGGCAAGATTACCTTGGCGGAAGCCATCATCGCTGCCTATCACCGCAGATACGCCGTGGGCGTCCTGACACACTGTGGCAAGTATCAAAGTTTGGTCGCCAATGCTATCCCTAAGCTTGACGTCTCACCGAGCATGGTTTCTGACGCCACCTTGTATTCCTCGGTGACGGGCTATTCTCACCACGGCCCCTTTGATGCAGCATACTGGCGAGCCAATTTGGAAAGCCCCATGCTCTTTGTGGACGCACTTTCAGAACTGGCCAGGGGTGGCAAATACACCTTGATCGAGCTCGGTCCACACTCAGCCCTAGAGCTGCCCATTAAACAAACGCGAGCACATCTCAAGCTGGAAGAAACTTGGCTATCCTACTTTGCAGCCCTGCGTCGAGGCAAAGATTCTGTCGACAAAGTACTCGACCTCGTCGGATCTCTGTGGCTGTCTGGCCACAATGTTGTTTAGAGCAAAGCCAACGACACTGGATTCGGCAAGGAATGGACGCCAAGTGTCATTGCCAACCTGCCGCCATACTGTGCTGGGCCTATGACAGCATCCTCTGGAACGGAAGCCGCCTTAGTCTTGAGTTCCGCAATCGCGAATTCGAGCGCCACGAGCTGCTCGGCTCCGAGGTGCCTGGTGGGAGCGACACAGACGGGAACTGGCGGAACCTCTTGTGACTGGATCATCTGCTGTGGCTGTCGGATTATAGGCTCGACGACACCGTTATTGTGCCCGGCGGTGCTTTCCTTGCCATGGTCATGGAGGCCGTGAGCCAGACGACAGGAGGGAGCCTAAGCCCGGGCACCGGCCTGGAGATGCGAAACGTCAACTGGTGCATATCGTTGCTGCGTTGACTATCCCTGCCACCGCGAACAGCAGTACCGAGCTTTTCACTGACCTCCGCAAGTCGCCCATTACCAACATGTCCAGCTCCGAAACATTGTGGGACTTCAAGTTGACCATATACCGGGAGGGCGTACCCGTCTTACATGCCACCGGTACCATTGCCATCCACGAGTCAGCCGCTGCCGAAGCCATCGAACCGCGCATCCGGCTATCCGAGGCAGAACTGGAGTCATCGGCCAAGCAAATCTGGTATCAGCGATTTGGGAAGGGTGGGCTCAACTACGGACCCCTCTTCCAATCGGTCAACGAGATCTGGGTTCTGCGCTCCTCGGCGGACAAAGTTGTCTTGGGCATGGTTCGGTTGGAGCAGAAGTCGGCGGTCGATGGGTCTGCGCCGGCGAGGTATCTCTTCCACCCCATTACCTTGGAGGTCATGGTCCAGGCGGGCATCTTGGCCACGGTCGCTGGTCATACACGCGAGATGCAGGGTTTTTCGTGCCTACCAAGTTTGCCAGCGCCTCGTTCCGCGTCCCGCTGCCCCAGGACAGTAACGGGATGCCTCAAAACGAGGTTGAGCAAAGGTGGCAGATCCAGGCGACAGCACAGACTTCTGGCATCAACTCGGCCGTGTTCTAGGCTGAACTACTGACGCCTGGTCAGTCCTCCGTGGCCGTAATGTAGGAGTCGCGTCTGCAGACCTACACGGCCTCGACGAACCAAGGCGCCAGGGGTCTGGCACGTTACCCGACGTTGCGTGTCGTCTGGAAACCGGACGTGCAGGGACCTGAGCTTCTGCGCGAAGCGGATCTAACCAAATACCTCAATCACTTCCTCGCCGAGGCCCATTCCCCAGTCGGCAAGGACGATGGTCTCATCAAGCTGGGTGCCGCCATCAGTCTCATCAGCCACCGAAACACGCGCTTGTCCATCATTCTGGAGCTGGCGGCCGTCTTGGCTCTCGTCCCATAAGAAATCCAGTCCGCGCTACCAGCTGCGATGGACGCAACCAAATCAGTGCTCCTTGATGGTTCCGGGGCTGTTCTTTTGGCTTCTCCCAATCTGAATAGGCCAAAGCTTTCCGGGGTTACTGAAAAGGCCGTCGTGATTATTGAGCACACCGAAACTGGTTTGGGAGACTCTCTGCAGTTAGCCGTGACGAATACCGGAGCAGCCGCACAACGCATTCTGTTTGCCCATGTGACGGAAGCCACTCGTCTCAAGGAAGCTACGGCCATCTCCCTCCTAGAGGCCGAATTACCTCTATTGGCTGGCATAACTGACAGCGAGATGCGTCGCCTGAAGCTGTTGACAGGCCAGGCCAAGAACGTACTCTGTGTCACAGCCGGCGACCTCCTCAACGGAAAGACGCCCCAGATGGGACTGGCAGCAGGCCTCTCCCACGCGCTGATGCTTGAGAAGTCGTCTCTACGTCTCATGGTGTACGATACTGACAAGAGGGCGGAGGCGGACTGCGAAGCGCAAAACCTGCTGCAGATTCTGACGTCGTCGCAGATGACCGGATCCGATTTGGAGTACGTCGAGAATGACGGGACTGTGCACATGGCGCGTTTCGTGCCGGATACCAAGATAAATGCCTTGTTCCAGCTAGCGCAAGACACAACAGTAAGTAAAATGACAGGACAACCCATTCAACTGGCCATTGTGCACCCGGGCTAGTTCGACTCGATCCAGTCCACTTCCGCGCCATTGAGCCGCCACCAAAAGGTCTGGCCGAGGATGACATCAAGATGTCGGTCAAGGCAGTTGGTCTCAATGCCAAGGACTTGTACTTGCTCACCAGCAAAGCCGATACGCCCGGGGCCACGTGCGCCCTTGAATTTTCCGGCGTCGTCGATTTATAGTATTCATTTATTAAGTAATCGTAATTTATACTAGTTATACTTTCTTAGATAGTAATTAGATAGTAATTAGATTAAATAGTAGTATAATTAAATAGATTATTTGTTGTATAATATATAAGAGAGCTAGTAACTGGAAAGCCTTAAGCCTTATTAGGTTGGTGGTAATAGCGTTCTTAGCTTTATATATAGCTAGCTTATTAAGGCTTTAAATAATATTCTTATTATATAATATTATTATACCCCTTTTAATAGTATAAGCTAGGCTTTAGATTTATTATTTAAAGGTAATAAATAAGTATTTTTTAGTATTCTTTTTAAAGTAAAACTCTTACTTAAAAAAAAGCTAATAATTAGGTTTTTTAATGTTTAAATAATATTTCTAGATCTGGAATACTTTACTTAGTTAGCGTTAAAGGTCTTATAAAGTAGGGAGATAAAGCTGATATAAGAGTCTAAGTAGTTCTTAGTGCTAATAGCAGATTTTTATTTAGTTATAAAGTTACTTGCTAGTTTCTTTTTATTATAATAAGTATAAATAACAGAAATTAAATTATCTTAAACTTATAAATAAATAAACCTAGAACTTATTATATTATAAAAGACAATCGCGAGTCGCTGTTATTATTGCGTGCTTTCGCCGGCGTATAAAATTATAGATCACGTTTTAAGCTAGTAAATTTAATATATTATAATATATATACTATTTTTTAAATTATATATTATTATTTAATTAGCTAGGTATAACTATTAGTTATATTACTAGTAGGTCCTGGTAATAAGCTAGCCTTTTTTTTATTTTTTTTATATTAATTTATTAAATTAAATTATAATAAAAAAAATAAAAAAAAAAGGCTAGTTAATTACCAGGACCTACTAGTAATATAATTAATAGCTATACCTAGCTAATTTAATAGTAATATATAATTTAAAAAACACTATATATACGTATTATAATATATTAAATCTACTAGCTTAAAAGGTAATTTATAACCTTATATACTAATAAAAGCCTATAACTTTATATATTAGAGATACATATAATAATAATAATAACTCGTAACCACGTAAGTTATACCCTAAAAAACTTAGAGTAATCTAATATAATATAAATTAATAAAGTCCTGACTTTTATAAAGCCTATTATCTTCCCTATAATTACCCTGTTTTGCCTCTATACACCTAATTTAAATAAATCGCTCTGTAAACTATAAGTTGACGTTAGTAACATGCACTTAAACGTAAGCATAAGTGTCTTATGGGGATATGCTGAGATTGATAGTACCAACGCAGCTACTCGTAGGTCTCCGGCTTTACATCGCTCCCTGAAGCACTTACTGATATCAGACTTGGTCGGCAATCAACAACCATAACCATGACCAGTGCTAAAAAAGGTAATAAGCCTAATATAAGTAAGTTACTTATTATAATTTTAGGGATTAAAGCTAATAAGCTTAAAAGGGTAATAAAAAAGCTATTATTATAAAAGATATTAATAAGAAAAAAAATATATTATTAAAAGCTAAAAATATTAAAAAAGTTAAAAAACTTAATAAAATAACTAAAAAAAATAAAAAAAAAAAAAAAATAAGGGGGAAAATTAAGAAGAATATTATAAAGCTAATTAATAAAAAGTAGCTTTATGTTATAGTTTTCCCCTTTATTATAAAGGGTTATATTAATTTATTAAAAATATTACAAAAGATAATAAAAAGCCTTATATAAGTAAAGTTTTCTTATAAGGTAGAATATTTATAAATAATTTATAGGTATATAGCTAGGCTTTACTTTTTAGGTAGAGCTATCCAGTTGCTTCTTATTTTATATTAAACTATATAAAATCTGGACTAATTAGATCTGGGAAAACTTTTATATATCCTTGTCCGTACTAAACCCTTATAAGAACTAATATAATACAGCCTTCGGCTAAATAATAATAAAAATTCAATATTTTTTTATTAGCTTTATAAGAAATTAATATTACTAGTAATAAAATATAAATTATATATATTTAAAAGTCTAAAAAAAGAAAAGCTATTACTTATATATAACTTAATATTATAGCTTTTATAATTAATATTATTACCTTAAATAACTTTTATTATAAATTATTTTATAAGCCTAGCTAAGAATACTAAAATAAATTAATATTAATACAACTAATCAGGGTAATTATAGGCCGGAGCAGATTGGTCTGACCGAACAACGCCACATCGTGGGCCAATAATTATCACAACATTCTTAATAGGTCAAGAAAAAGCCAAATGCAAGACATCCAGTAACACCGTATTTTGGCTGTACCTAGTCCAGAGAACCGTAACGGACCAAGCGACACACCATAAACGTATCGCGATGCGTCAGGCACACTAGCCGAGTATTTTCAAGTATTCAATTAATTTACACCAGACTCACGTGTGTAATATCGCGAACCTTGTAATTTGGTATTGCGGCCGTATGTAAGCCAATCTGCAAGCTAAAGCCAGCCGCAGGCCAGAGCTCGTCGCCGGCGGCCCTTGGCAGGTCCCCGAAAGGCCCCCAAAGGATCAACTCTAATTTAAACGTCTCTCAATGTTATCAAATGTCAATTGACAGGTTATTCTCGCCCGCTTTGCTTACCCCTAGGACAACTCGTTCGTTGGCATCAGGGTCTTGTGCCACTATAGCATATTATATATTCGCATAAAATATCATGCAATTTTTTTATATAAACTCGACCCTTTACGTGTGTTGAACTGTGCCCGTACCATCGAGTTCGGCTTCCTGCACCGTTAGAGCCTTGGCACCGTGCCAGCACCCCCTGGACCGTCCCTCTACGGTCCGACACGCCTATAATTTACTAGTTGACATGCACTATTGGCAAAAGCATTGACCACATGTGCAGCTGGGCAGTTCCCAGGTGCCATGTCTACGCATATGTACATATGTCCTCAGGGTGAAGTCTGGTTGGTCCGTGCTACTTGACTTAATAAACAAAGGGGAGCCCACGAATTCTCACGTCAAAGGTATAAAAGCTTGCAGATTTGTACAGTCACACCAGCATCAGCTGATGAATCGGCTTTGCCTTGCCAATCCCCGCACAACAGAAAGTCGAACCATCCAGCCCAATGCATCTCCTTCGCACAGCATGGCTCCTCGCCATGACAGCCGCTGCGTGCACATCGCAGCGCATGTCAACCCACATGCTCGATAGCATTGTCGCTCGCAAACAAGGCGTCGTCGACTCGGGCGCAGCAAGCAGCACTCTTGAGAGCGGGATCCTCGCCCAAGCAATCGAAGACATCATTGCGTTATACCCAAAGACTAAATGCCAATACAACCGTTACCTCTCGTCGGTTTTAGACATTGCCTCTGCGCCTTTAACCAATGCTACCATCGCTGCCACGAAACCACTCGATCGATTCTCCCTCGCAACAGCCATCCACACCGCCCTCACATCAAAAGTCGCGCCCGTCACTGCACAATCCCAAAACGCCTACCAAGCAATCAATGCCTCCTTGGCACTACAGACTAGAAACGCCGCTGGAGGGCTATGGTATTACGTCTACCCAGAATGGAGCTACCTCGACGGCATGTTCTCCCTCTTGCCATTCATGTCAACGTATGCCCCCGCGCACACAAACCTGACAGACATGGTTCTCCAAGTCAGTCTGCTCCGCGACCACTGCACCCAAAAAAACACATCCCTTCTCTTCCACGGCTACGATTACTCCCGTCGTGCCATCTGGGCAGACCCGAGAACTGGCGCAAGCCCATACGTCTGGGGGCGCTCCCTCGGCTGGTTCCTCGCATCTCTCGTCCAAACATGGGACAAGCTGTCCTGCCAGGGCGTCCAACGAGGCGAACTCCTCACGCTATGCAACCTGACCAAGGACATTGCCGTCCAGCTATCCCGTTCTCTTGTCCAGTACGCTGACCCCGAAACCGGCGCGTGGTGGCAAATCGTTACGCTGCCTGGTGAAAGGGGAAACTATCTCGAGAGTTCGAGCACGGCTCTCTTTACCTTTTCCTTGCTTAAAGCGCTACGCATCGGGCTTCTTTCCGGACACCAGACGGATTATAAAAGTGCTGCGTTGAAGGCGTACGAGTATACTTTGCGCGAATTTATTACGGATACAGGCAACGGCACGATTGGGTTTAATCAGACGGTTTCTGTATGTAGCTTAAACTCGACGGCCTCGTTTGAGTATTACACCACGCGGCCGATTGTGCCGAATAGTTTATTGGGGCAGTCGGCTTTTATTTTGGCGGCGTTGGAGGTGGAGAGGTTGAGTTGAATCGTGCTGCGTCGTGTGTGCTTTGCGACTTGACATGATCAATAGTCCCTCTGAGATGCAACTCTTTCTTTCTTCTCGAGCTTACCCACGACAGAATTTCGTTTCTTTTCCGCTGCTGATGAAAGACTACATCAGCACACTAGAGAGTTCAATTTATACATAACTAAGCCGAGTGCCTGGTGTAATTGATGCACGTGGGACGACGATTGACCAACGTCGATACTTTTACCGTCATGGTTCGCCCCTACTCCCATGCTGCCCGACCCCAAGGGTCCCCGACTCCAACGGCCGCATCTCAAGACTCTCAATGTCAGTCACCTCGTGGTGATGGACATGGCTCTTGCTCGCATTCGTTCCGCTCTGCACTAATGGGTTCCCATCGTGAATCTCCCTGTATGGCCCCATCGCATCGCTGTCGTTGACTTGAGGTTTGCGGGCCAACGACGACCGGTTCGTGCTGTGTTTGGTCAGGCCGGGGATGCGAAGCTTGGCCAGCAGCGGGCGCACGGCGGCCAGCGAGGCGGCCAGGATGGCCAGCCCCGTCTCGGCGTCGGCCCAGAGGAGGAGCTGGTAATGCAGGTGTTCGGCTTCATCGCCACGGGCGTGGTTGAGGCGGATAATGATGATGAGCTTGACAATGGTGGAGGCGCTGGCACTGAGCGGCGATGCCATGTTAGCTGATGGGCGGCTTCAAGAACCTTGAGCCAACCTTAAAGAGAGTTGGCTGTGCTATACATGCCCAACCTGGCCGGTACACGGTGACATCAATGCAACTTACAAAATGCCCAGTCCTAGCAGAAACACAACGCTCAACTTCAAGAGCAACCGCATCTTGACATTCCAAAGGATATAGATCGGTAGCAGGGCATAAAAATAGTCAATCAGGATATTGGTAGTTGTACGAAAATACCCAACAATATTGCACGTTCTGGACCCGGCGTAATTGCTGGTGCCGGCCTTGGCACAGAGGTAGGACGAGTAGATGGTCATGACGGTGGTCCAAACAACGACGACGCCCATGGATCCGATGAGAAGCCATCGCATAGCCTTTGTGGTGGCGATGCGCATGAGTACAAGCGCCACGGCGAGCTTAATAAGACCGGAATCGATGTAGATGACTAGTTGGTTGGCAAAGTAGAACTGTGTACAATTGATGGATTAGTCTGATGCCCCAGTAGTGCAAATTCTGCCACGACGTCTAACGGCACGTCTGACATGGTAGAGACATGTACAGGAAAACATGTCGACGAGAGCTGCGTACCTGCTTTGCCTTTTCGGGATTATAGTATGGCTGCAGGGTCGAGTACGGTGTGTCGTCCTCGGCTGCATAGCCGTAGTGCAAGGCCGTGAAGCTCATGCCGCACAGCAGGATGTAGCCCACCTAATCACGAGGTCGGATGTCAGCACAAGGTCATGTCGGAAGAATGGTGGCTCCCGAGCAAACAAGACAGAGGTCCTGGCACTAGCTCGCCAGACTGGGGATCGTGAAACCTCACATACATAAGTCAAACACAGCATCGCATCGTCGGCGCCAAACGATTCTGTTATGCGCAGCCGCGAGTACACGCGGGCCGCCACCGCAACGGTGTTGGCGATGAGGAGGATGACGGTGCAGGCGACTATGCTGTCGCGGTATTGAGCCATTTTTGTCTCCTGCCTCGTGTGGGACGAAGGGGATATTCTGAGCGGCCTGTCAGGCTGTTTTATGGAGTGTTGGTCTAGGCTCAGGCTCTGCGCTCGACGGTCATCTCGACAGGAAAGACTGGAGATGCAAAGTTGAAAAGAGAGGGTTTTTACAGGATCGGACGACCATCAAGTGGGAGGAGTGGCCATGCAATGCAAAGGCGGCACACTCTTCAAATTTTACGGCCGGTGAAGATATGATGAAGAGACCAGCGCTCGATGCAAATCAGCATCACTGTGAGCCGTCATTGGAACCGTTCAGGTCATGTCTGGTAGATGCCACCGCAGGATGGTCTACAACAAGGTCGCATTTCCGGCAAGGCAATGCAGGAGGCATCGAGCCTTCTTCCTCCAGCAACAGTGGCAAGTAGCAGACAGCATACATATGTATCGAAAGAGCTGAACGGTCGGCAAAGCAATTGGGCTGGGGCTGAACACAAACAAAGTCGGTGGTGGTACAGAGTACGTAACACCAATCCTTTCCATGCTACCAGCCAAGCCCAATAATGGATGCTGGTTTTGTGGTCTCACGCTGCACATTTGGGCGCTGGCATGCGCCGCGCCACTGTCATAATAAGCCCACCAGGATGCGAATTCTATTGACCGGACTCTTGCAGTCTGGACGCCTTAGCCCCGCAATGCCCGGATTTGGCCTAGTCCAGCGCGGGACGAAGCGAGGGTGGGGGTAAGACGGAGAGTTTGGGAACATTCTGCCGTTCGCTTAGGTCCGGCTTCTGGGGGTACAATATATCCGTCATGTTGACTTTGGCTGGTTCTCCTCCGCTCCAAGAATTGTCTGATCCACCCTGCCTCTCTGGACTCCATTTTCCACCTTGGCCTACATATAACTACACCAAGTGTCGAGGGTGCACGAGCAACTAACTTAAAGATTCCTACTAGTATATAAATACTTTAGATTAATAATAAGAGTTCTAATAGACTAAAAAATAATATAATTACTGCTTATTTGTCCGTCCTGCAGGATACCAACCAAGGCTTCACGGTGTCTGGTCTCGCCACCAGCAACGACAGCGCTGCGCAAGGACAGCCGAGACTGTGGTTTGAAAGCTTTGAGCTGAGAACAATCAAGGCCGAATCGCCGGAGCCTGCAACCTTGCCAAATCCGCGATAGTAGCACATGACGGTCAGTTACAAATATGAGATGACAACAATGACTTCCCAGAAGCTCAAGGAGCATCTCGGAGCTCTGCATCCATCATGGCCCGAACGCGCCGGCTTTCGTCGGGACGTGAAACCTTATTATGGCTTCGCCGAGACGTGTTGTAAGCCAATTCAACCTGAATTAGATTCACAGGCGGAGGCACGCGAAACTTTGTAAGAGGCCTCCGCAATCAACCCGGCTCGTCTTCCGGGTCTTTGCGCTGTAGCAAGTATCGCTTCACGGATATATCGCCTTCCTACTTTCCAGCCCTGTAAAAAGAGTTCAAAGATTGTTTGTCACAAATCACCTTCTCTACCCTCGACCTGGATAAGGATTTTGGCAACCAAGGGTTTGGAGAAGCTTTATATTCTGGCCGTGGACGTACTCCATCTTCCTTCCGACATGGTAAAGAGTCTTTCTTAAATTCGCGAAACACTCAAGTCTGGCGGCAGGTTGATGATGCATGAGATATTTGAGCCTACTGGATGGACTGTTGGCTTTGTATTTAGATTGTTTCCCGGTTGGTGGGTCGGAGTTGACGGACAAGACGGACTCAACCGCATCTTGGGCCCAAGTATCACTCTCGAGCAATGGAACTTTCTCTTCCAGGCGGCTGTTTTTGATGGTTATGATACCTGCCTACGCGATGAGAACTCACTCTTGACTGATCAGAATGGTGGCTGGATTGTCGCATCCAGACAGAAGGCCGAAAGCCTTGCAGCACAACAGTCAGCAGTTGATGGGCCGACGAAGCAGGGCCCATCTATTGTTGACCCTCAATGCGAGAAGCAGAAGGATTTGGCCTCCAAGACGCGAGAAAAATTCTTGAGGGGCTTATAGGGTAACCTCATGATGTTCTGGATCTGACTGCCGCAGCCGCTGTTCTCTCCGAGGGCAAATTATCCAATGATGCAGTGACAATTTCCTTGCTCAGCTATAATCCCTCTTTCCTGAGGTCCAAGATGAGCGAAGTCTTGCGGCCACAGTTGCAAACTCTGGTGGTACTGGCCCGCTGCCAGCTCTGGGTCTCGATAGGAGGTAGCGTCATGCCACATCCCGATACAGCCATGATGGAGGGTTTGGCGCGGACACTCCGATGCAAGCAATACGGCTTGCACCTCTTCACCTTGTCCCTTCAAACCCCGGAGAGCATGGACTGGTTAACTAAGATCATTCAACAAATCGTGGACTTGAACTCGACCACATCTGGTGGGCCACGCCAGTATGAACAGGAGTACGTTGAGATGGACGGTATACTGCACACCTGATGACTTGCCGAAGGCAGGAGTCTGAAGGCGATGGTGAATGACCTTGTAGTTCCTAATGAACTATCAACGGATGTCCTGTGGCGGCAACCACCCTTGACCGTAGCAATTTTCAGCGAAGAGCTAAGAGACACTCGGCAGTACGTTGAGGCTGTGAATATACAAAGCGTATACCCAAGAAAGGGTGATGGTGGAGAGGGTACGAATGTAAGCGATGGGCAGGAAGACGAAGAGTTGACCATCATGGTGCATGAGATGGTACTTGACTGTGCAGACGCTGCCGTCTCCTCGAGTAATTTGTCCAGCCGAGAAGGAGAGAATACTTAGCAAGGCTTGGGCACATTCTGTGCTGGAGTGGTGACGAACATGAGCGCAAACCCCTCGTCGTCATTCAGCTTGGGCGACCGTGTCTGCTTAAGTCAACCGGGAGTTTACCAGTCCCAGTTGAAGGCTCTTTCGGAATTTTGGGTCACAGCCACCGACAAAATAGAAAGCGATTGGATCTGTGACGTGCTTGGTGTGCCTCGGGAGCGCATCATCCCCAGGATCTGGTTTCGCAAGCGGCCCATGCTGGTGTCTCACATGGCGGGAAGATTTGACCTGGTTAACAAGCATACTTCCTAGGCCCAAATAGTTGCTGTGTAGAGTTATCAAAGATTCCAGTCGGTACATTACTTTCGGCGTATCTTCCAGCTCAAGTTTATCGCTTGGAACATGTCGCTCGACCATCGGCGCTACACACCCCAGCATACGATTCTCTACGGTGTATATGGATCAGCTATCGAATGACGAAGCCATCAAAGTAGAGACAATTCCATAGTCAGCGATGAGTCCTTCCATGGAAGTCATATCGTCATTGTCGACCCAGAAGAAATTCTCTTCGCCTTCCCAGTCCCATGTCACCTACTTCCCTGCATCAGATCTGCGCGGCATCTTCGATCACCTGCATCGTCTGAAGAAAACGGAACATCTTCATGTGAAGTTTGACAATATGGATACTGTGCAGGTAAGCTCTCATCACAATAGTCTTTCCAATCTCCCGGTTAACACAAGACCAACGTCCATTTATTCGTCAGGCCAACGCAGATTTTGGATTCCACAGGCACTTTCCTTATCGCTGGCGGCTTTGGTGGTTTGGGACGGGCTATAGCCCGCTGGATGGTCAGTCGGGGAGCGAGATCCCTTATCCTGCTTTCCCGCTCCGGTCCGAAAAACAACCCGAATGCTGTTGTCCTTCTTGACGAGCTCAGAGCTCGGCAAATCAAATTTCAAAACCCTCGGTGCGATGCGACCAACAGGGAGAAGCTTTTACAAAAGATAGCAAGGCAACAGGCATTGGCATACGAATAGTACCACGCAGCTAACGTCAATGGGTTTTTGCACGTGGCTAGCTGTAGTGAACTCAGCTTTGTTCTCAATAACGTTTGGCTCAGCTAAAATACAAAGAGGGCTGGAGTTAAACGCTCGATAAAAGAGCACTGCCGCAAGGAAGGGTCTTGGGACACAGCAACTCCTATATTTTTCCTTTATTTCTCTTTCCTCCCAAATTTCTAGAGATAGCAGATGTTCTTACGGGATACTTGAATTCTCTGGAGATCAGTTTTCAATGAGCCGACTGCAGCAAGTTCTCTAGGCCGCACTGCTCGCCTAGAATTTGCGGCGTCCCGAAACCCAGATCGTCCCACGCCAGCACCGAGAACATATGCAAAAGCCGCCATGAATGCATTGCTAGGGTCCTTGACGATATCGTATACAGTCATGCCCGCATCCCCTGCCGCACCTATTAGGCGTAGCATAGATCGAGCGGCTGTCAAACCAGCCGAGCCGGCCGCCTCCCCAACGACGGGGATAAAGAATAATATTCCCATCACCATGTTCAGAATGAACTCTTCTTTCTGCTTCTTCTCAATTTCCTCAGCCTTGTCAATAATGCTTTTCATATTATCGACTGCTGCCTGCAGGGTAAGTGCTGGCAGCGACGCCGCGTCCACCACGTCTGACCACGGCATCAAGGTGTCGTAGATATTCAGGTCCTTGATAATGTCCAAATTCTCGGCCAGGCTTGCAATGGTGTCTGTGGAGTCACCGAAAATCTTCTTTGGGTTGTATACCTTGATCTTGTCGTCAGCGGCGATCGGGTAGTTGTACCACCAACGGTCATTCTGGTTTTGGCATTCATGAATGGCTTTGCCAGCGTACTGGCAGCCGTTAGCTGTCCTCATATGTCTTCTTCCAAATGCTACCCAAGCCTCTTCGATACCATATTGGCTCCCGATTTCTTTCCAAAACCCCTCCTCGTCCTTAAGGTGGAACGTGGCGTTAGGAGTGGTTTCCATAGAAATCATATCGAGCTCATCCTTCTGCTGTGGACATTTAATATCTAGCGTTTGATATCCGCTCTTGCAGCCGGCAAAATTGGCGCAAGTCTCGAGACAGGTAGCATATGTACAGTCACTGCAACAGATAACCTTCTTATACTCTGAGCATTTAAAGTATTGATGTACTTTGTCGCTCGCCATAAAGTTATTAATCTGCACAGGGACTTGCTGTTTTACAAACCGTTCATAGGTTTTGAATTTGCTGTCGTAATCATCTTGCAGAAGCTCGAGGTGCTTTGTCAAGGCTTCCTTAATCATAGCCGACTCTGCTTGAGCAATGTATTTCTCTGTGCAGTGGGTGGGCATCGTAGTTAGATGTTTTTCAACATCGCCCAACGTGCTGTATTTACCACTACAGTCCGAATAAAAATCAGGATCAATGTATGGCTCATATTCATCCTCAAAATCGTCGTAAGGAATACCGTCACCGCTGATGGTGCAGTGTTAGATCGGTTGGAGATTCAAATATAATTCCGAGAACATGAAAGAATCCACAGAAGTTTAGGGCAGAACGACTCACGGTAAAAACTTCTGCAGGTCAACAGCCCAGTCCGTCGTTCCAGCAAAGTTATTCATGAGATAAAACTGAGTTCGAATATCCTTAAGTTTGTCGTCCATGTACGCCACCCACTCAGTGTCGTCGTAGACCAGAATATTAGAGCCAGCTTCTCGCCACTGCTTGGTGACCTTGCCACTGGCAAGGATTTCTTCAATCTCTGCATTGGCTATGTATCCGGACGTGTCTGTACAACGGCCCTTGGCAGCGTGAGATATGCGGGGGGTTCCAGTAAATTTGCAAAGTGGCCCGTAACAGCCAGCTTCAGCCATCTTGAAAGAGCGCCCATAGCTGGCGACGCCCACCACGACCTTGTTAGATGGAACGCCAGCCTTAGTGATCATGATAAGGGCATCCTTAGTTTCAGTCATATTAACGTGGGATCTCAGACAATTACCTGTTGGGCAGCCAGGAGATGTCCACTTGTTGCCATAATCCCACTGCCCGTGGAGATCGTATGTCATGAAAACAATGTAATCAAGTGACATGGCCATGAGTGAGATAGGAAACGCCTTTAGATACCAATATGATGATGGAGCTGCAAAGGAGACAGACTTAGCATTAGATAGTCTATATTTTAATTCGTCAAGGAGTTTAAAATAGTTCAAGCCGTTTTGAGGGTCATCAGCTGGGATATCAGGAATATCGGGAGCCTATATGCTTATATATATACGTGTTAGCTATAGCTCCTCAAGTAGTATGTATTCAATCACGACCGTGTCAAGGCTCAAATACTTGCCCCAGGATACTCCCAGTCAAGGTCCACTCCGTCAAGATCATGCTGGATCAGGAAATCCACAATATTCGTGATAAATTTGTCGCGGTTCCTTGGCTGGACAGCTTCGCGAAGGATATTATACGTCCCCGGCAAGGCGCTGAAGTCCCAGCCTCCAAGTGAGATGATCCTTTTAACACCCACCATAGCTTTAAGCTTGTAAAACTGGGTCTGAACTTTGCTGATATCGATTCTGAAGTCTTTCGTCACTTCACCGAAGGCGAAGTGGATATGAGAGTATTTCGTGGTATCAATATCGTCAATATCCATCCATAAACAGGACCGTTTATGATTCCACGCTTCAAAATACGCAATTTTGATAACACTCGGAGGGGGCGAACTTCTAATAATAGCTCTTCCGCAATTGCTAATGCCTACAAATGTCGTCAATATGTAGGTCATGTTGAAGGGAAATAAAAATTCCACTGGTCAGTCCCCTACTCACATCCGTTCCTGACGCCAGAAGTTCCTGGGGCACCAGTCTCAGATTTGGATTCAATGCAAAAGTCGTCTGAAAGCCCGCACTGACCCCAAACATTACAACAAGCTTTGAGAGGACAGGGGTTAAGCCTCGACAAGTCGAAGCCTTTAGCTGGCGCCTTTGTACCGGGAACTGTTGGACCGCAGACGGCATTAGATACCGGTTCCGGCATGGGCGGTTTCCCTTCACTAACGCAGAGTCTGAAGCCAACCCAGAGCACTTTGCAACCATTCCAGCCCCAGGTGTCCTCGTTGAAACTTTCAATATCCCTAACCGTAAGGTCCCGAGAAGCGGCTATGCTGGCACAACTGTCGCCTCGATTCGTCTTGACAGAAGCGCAAATCCCGTCCGACTCGGGTTTTGGACGCCGGTCTTGCAGCTCCCCGCGCGAGCAACAGACTTGCTGGCCTTCAGCTAGGGTAGAGCATAGATCCTCTTTAGTATTCAACCTCATAAAGTCGCTTGCACTAAGGCCACATTTTGAGGCTAGAGAGCCGCAGCTATCGCCGCTCTTGACTTCCTTGGTTACACATGTGCCGTCGGACTTGGAATCAGGAATGCTTGAAGGGAGGATGCCCCGAGTACAGCAAACTTTTTCACCAACGACCAAAGTATCGCAGAAATTTGCACGGCGATTATATTTGGTCAGGTCGGACTGGCTAACTCCGCATATCTTGGCCAAAGCCCAGCAACCGTCTCCGCTCCTGACGGTGAGCGTTTTGCAATGGACCCGAGCAAGATCCTGCCAGGAAGACCTATAGCTGAGACGTGAACCAGTCATGTTTGAAGAGGCCGTCGTATTGGTTGGCCTCACAATAGAGGGCACACGGATTGTAACTTCCTTCCAATCTCGCCCACCGTCCGGACCGACGCATTTGCCGCTTGCCCACCGGCGGACGGCTTCCTGAGCAAACTTCAAGTTGTTTGCGTTAGTTGCAACTAATCCAAATGAATAATCTGCCCCAAGGCCATGTTCCTGACACAGTTGAAGAACTGTCGTCTGGGAAATGGACCTTTCCGTCGCATATGAGAGGAGGCTGTTGATAACGTCGATGGCCAGTCCATGCTGGTGAAGCTCAGCGCCAGCAAAGACGCCAACTACAGAAGTTTGGCTATAGCCGAATGCTAAGGCATTTTTCGAACAAGAAGGTTTCTGAGAAGCCAAGTAATGCATAACCTGACGACTTGCTGACACCAGATGTTGAGTTGCAAACGTGTCATTGTTCTGAGTGGGAGTCGAGACTTCCAACAAGCGGATAGAAGTCTTCACCATTTCGTGGTTAGGTGTAGAGCAAAGGGCTGCATTTCCATCATCAGGACTATGAATTTTGGAAAGTTGATAATTGGAGCCATAATCAGCCGTGCATGCCCTGAGGGCTGGTGGATCGTCACTTTTGACGACGAGATCCAGCAGCAATGTCTTGTTACATTGAGCGAAACTGGTAGCATCGGGTACCAAAAACCATCCACCTCCATTAATGCTATCTGGTGCCTCGCTGCAAGGCAGCGGACACGGTTTGAGCATGGAAGGGGGAGTTCTGATGTTTGCTGCCAGCCATTCTTCGAGTTCCTTATTGCCTTCTGTGTCTAGCGTCTCTAATGCGCCTGCTGAGCTCGTCCGCACCACGGTGGGAGGGCCTCCTTGTAGCGTGGCTGCGGCCTGTAGGAAGAAAAGTACATGAGGTATAGCAACCTGATAGAGCGATGCTTTCATTTTATTGGAGGGGGTAGGGAATGGCCAAGATCCCCCTTTGCCGTGAATGAGATGCCTTTACCACTGAGAGTGAGAGAGAAAGTGTGGGACGAGAATAGATCGGCCAACTGAAGAGGAAGAAATGGATAGATTTAATGTTGTCTAAGTGAGACAAAAAGCCATATGCGTGATAAAAGGCCCGGGGTAAAGAACGTGGCCAATTCGGCTGGTACATTTAACCGGCATCAGTCAGACCCTTGCAACTAACGCTCTATCGGGAGATGAAACAGGAAAAAGGGGAAAAAATCATGCGAACAAAAAAAGAACAAGAAGAAAGGGGTAAACCGAGGCGGGAAAGAAAGGCCGGGGACATACATAGATACTTTTTCAGGTCAATCTAGTATCCAGTGCTCTTTTTGCCGCCCTCTGCTACTATTACGATGGAGCACGAACAAAACACAATGACAGGCCATTAATATGCCTACGCCGTACGATTATTATCTTTTTCTCTTTTTTTTGTATATGGTTGCCAAGCCGGATGCGAGACCCCTGTACAAAGGAGTTAATATCTCACCACTCCCTCTATAGCCAATGCAGTTTAATCTGTAAGGGTCCCATACGCGAGACAAAGGATTGTCACGGGGTGTTCCCCGCAAGTTCTTGACCTGATCTAAGCGAGCCGCGGCGTGTGCACAGCGAAACTATAGCCTCCGCGTGAAAGCTATAGTCTATAAGGTGGATTACAGGAATGATGATTTCGAGTGAATCAAAGTGAAAGCGGTAAGACGTCCGTACACCATAACTTACCTGGCTTCCTTTCCGAACTCGCGCCGCCACAAGTCTTCTTGTGCCATAGACTCCAGCGAACTTTTCAGAATCTGCCAACATTAGTCTCTCGCTCAACAGGCTAACATGAAATATTGTTTCTTCTTGTTTGCGCTCTTGTGCCATGCGGTGAGAGTTTTGGCAGGAGGGCTACACGGATGCATGGAGCGTGTTTTAGCTTACCAGGCATACGTCCTCGACGAGTTTAACGATCCTAAAGACCGCAGCATTGGATTCAGTTGCACTCGCTGGGATAACAAAAACAGAGCCTGCACAGGCAAATGGCAGGGTTGTGCGGGATCCGCTGCCAATGGCAGATGCACTTATGACGAGTTCCTCAACCTTCTCAAATCAAAGAAGAGGGCCCCAGTGAGTGGCTGGGCAGTCTACAAGCGGGGAACAAAACGCCTGGATGTTGAAGAAACATCCAAATATTGTTTCCAGCAGTTCAAAGGAAACGTGCCCGAAATCCCGGTTTACCGTGTAATCAAGGGCGAAAGAGGAGACTTCAACTCCTACACCAGACGACTCGCCGAGACGGTCGACAACATATATGCCAACCATGGTAGCACCAAGAAATCAAGCCAATACAAGTTTGAGGATTTTGACAACACGCGCGACCGCATCGCCGTCTTACGGACAGCTGACCAGAATCGTTTCCTTATTCCACGAGCACGAAAATATTTCGGCAACCAGATAGAGCTTCAGATCGTGGATCTGGGCGAAGACCCTATTCGACCCGGTAAACGATTAACGGCTCTTGATTTTAAAGAGACTGCTCTCGCCGCTAAGAAGGCCGGAGTTCAGGATTATACGACGAGACTCGGAAACTTTGCCAAGTCGTTCTATTCGACCGGCGATGCTAGGCAGCATCTCGCGGTAAGGAGGAGTTACCGAAAAGTCGCAGACCGCTCCCGGTCATGTAGAGCGTACAGCGAATAAGCACTGGACCAAGCGCAATGAATTTTAAGAAGGAGGAAGAAGATCTGCTCCCTGGGAAGTGAAAAGTCATTGCTATATCGAGAACAGAAAAAGAGCACTATTTGCATCTAGTGTACGCGGGTTCTAGTTTCATTGTTCCATTATTGCTAAGTTCCGTTTAGATATCCTTTTTATTTTAGAACGTATTTCTCTATAAACAGGATCTCAATGTTTTGCAGCTTCCATCATGTCGTTAATTTGATCAGGATCCATTATTTGGCCCGTTTTCTTATCAATAAACTTGAGGGCTTTTTTTTCGCATGACCAACTAAATTCATCCCACGCGTCGCACCAAGATTCCAAACCATCCTCAACAACTACCTGATATTCCGCGACGTTTGGGAATTTCTCTAGGTCCTTGGACTCTGTCCAAAACCAGAACTCACTGTTCTCACGATGTAATCTAAGTCGACGAATAGCAAAGCTGATGTGATGAATAGTCTCAAGATAACCGAGACCAATATCAATCATATCTGTGTCGTAATGTATCCACGTATAACGCCCTTGACGCTGGTGTGCAGTAGAATCAGAATAAAAGACCTTTTGGTAAATGTTTTGTTGACGGGCTTCCTGGCAGGTATGTAGCATTGCAGGTGGGAGTACAGGCACGTATGGATCCTTCACCTCTTCTTCTGGATCTGCGGAGTAAAGGAATCCTCTTGGGAGCCTCGAACCAGATATAGCTCGCACATCGACTATACGGGGCTCAACTGCTAATGCCCATATTATGGCTCGGATCTCGTGCGGCAGGCGAGGGAATGGATGGAAGGTAGCCATGCTCTAATCGGATATTATTGTCGGTTTCGCTTCGACGAGAAACATCAAAAAACAGGCCTTTCATGTGGAGCTGAGAAGAGGAGAGGGTCTCCGCCGCAAGAGTGGATCTGCAGCCTGATGAAAACGGAGAGTAAGAGATTTTACCGGGTGGAGATGAGTGTTCAATATTGGCTGCTGCATGGAACAAGGCCCGGTATTTATAAAATTCCAAGCAAGGACATGTCACACGAGTCCTGCAGATGTCGCCACTTGCGAAACTGAGCTCAACTTTGATGCTTCAGTATAGAAGCCTTACTTGTTGACCTGTCCTCGAAAATTGCCTGCTCCAAAAGAGCCTGGTTACTCCGCAAATGGATCCCTGAACTGCTTGTGCTCCATTCACGGAAATTGCGCGATGAACAGAAATTTTTTTTATTCGGTCATCTCTGCAGAACTATACAGGCCGTCGCAGAGTAGTGTAGGGGCCAAAAAAGCCGGCTTTCCCACGTGTTTATACTAGTTGTTCAATAGTTTTTTCTTTCCTTTAACATTTTCCACCTAACAACAAACTGAACTCTTTAAATCTTCTCTCCTCTATTACCACGTATTTTTACTATTGATGCTCCGTACTTGAGATATTATTATTGTTTTCTCCGCCCGCAATCTGAATTTACGCCATGAGGCCTGCCTTGGTTCTCAAGTTCGCGACTTTAGTCGCTGGTGACGTGCTCCCTCAGCTGGGATGGGACCCCGAAACGGTGAAAAGCTGCGCTGGATGGTATGATAACGCTGGAGATGTTACTTGCGAATACGTCAGACAACTATTTGGTATTCCGGCTGAGATGTTTACACAATGGAACCCTTCAATCAACCTTGACTGTAAACCATGGAGGATCCAATCCTACTGTATTATAACTCAGGAAAGGGTAGATGAGTACGAAAGAACACATGGTACTTCCACCGCGACTTCTACCTCCACTACAAAGTCTATTACCACCAGAACCTCAACTACAAGCACCCTTGGCCCTTCGCCTACAAAGTGGACAGAGCTTGGCTGCTACAATCAGGGCATCCCATCTATCTTAGAGGAACGTATAACTACTGAAGGGGGTGACGACACTCTCACCATCCCGAAGTGTCAAGACATCTGCTACCATTTAAGCTTTTACTTTGCCGCTTTGAAAAGTGGTAATGAATGTTGGTGTAGCAGCTACATTGGCGGCGAGTATGCGAAGAACGCAGCTGAGTGTAACCGGCCTTGTGCTGGCGATAAAACAACTATCTGCGGTGGAAAAGACCGATTTAACATCTTTGAGGCCAAAATACCAGAGCCGTGGGAATCTATGCGCAAGTCGACTCTGTCCAGCCCAGCTCCCACAGAACAGTTTGTTGCCGAAACTACCGAGCCCAGCTCAACGATCAAAGAAATGCCACCGGCCCCTAGAACGACTCAATCCACCTCAGGCGGCAGCAGAAATATTGGGATATTTTAGAATAACTCACTTTTTAGAGTTGAAATATTTTCGCTTAATTTAAGGGCTAGGTCGTCCGTGTGGACAAGACAGAAAAGAGCAATTATTTAGGAACAAGAAATAATATCAGCTTTATATTAGACTATGAATTCAAAGAATAATGTTATCTACATTAACTCGGAGAGAGAAAAGTATAATTTTTATAGAAATCTTTCTGAATAGCATATTTTTATACATCCTGTAGAAGTAATAAATCTTTTGCCGCTTTCTGCTTCTAGTATTAAGTAATTAGGGCCAGCTCCAACTAAGCCAGAGGGCAAGAATGTAAATGCCTACAAGGAATTATCCTAGCAGCTAGAATATAAGATATTTCTTTCAACAAAAGTCAGAATCGACACCGTTATTATTCCCCCTAATAAACCTTTGAAAGGACCACATTGCTATACGTCCCCACGCATTTAGAATAGTGACAGATAAATCTCCAGACAAGATACTTGCATGCAAATTACTAGTAATCTCTTAGCGTTTATGCCTTGTAGGTGTCTAAGGGGTTCCCGCTGGCAAGGTAGCACACTTCCAGAGGGGCCAGAAAAAGAAGAAGAAAATATTGAAGGTATTACCCGCTTGTGTAGGCAATCGGGGCCTGTTATTACCTGTTTTCTATTTTATTATCAAATTCTCTATTATTTATAAAAAATTATTAGCTGTGCTTAGTCTTCTATAATTCGCGCGATTGAGAAGCTATCTTGGCCGTACCTTGGCAGAAAATGGCCTGATTTGTGGATCTCTTCGACGTAATAAAAGGAATATTAATATCCAGGCCGGACTCGAAAAAGTCTTTTGCGTTGACCAGTTACTGGATAAGAGCAAGCGGGCACGGTACTATGTAACCTGAACGGTAGTGGGCATATTTAACGCAATTAATATAGTAATACTAGAAAGCCGCGTCTGCAATGAAACCCCATGATATATGGTAAGGAATACAGCTATAACTCGCTTGGTTCATTTTAATGACTAGAAGCATTATGCGGATACAGAGCTAACCATGGACTCGCCCACTAAGTCACTAGCTTTGTTGCACAACTATGTAAGATGAGGATTTCTGAAGGATCGCGGCCACTTCAAAGAAAACCCAGCAAGCCGGTAAAATATCATTAATTGTGGAACCAGCTTTTTGTGTTTTGCCGAGATCATTGCTCTACTTACTATTCTTTAGGTTTATTAAATATGTACTCTATAGCGTCTCTCTATGTCAAAACCATCGTCAAATTTGTCGCGTAGTTGCGAGTTGCTTCCAATATGCTTATATTTGCAGTCGCCGCACTCGCCGTGACGGGCCTTTCCAACACACTGGCAGGGGGCTCAGACCAACAAGCCGGCTTGCTAGCTCGTGCAAGCAGTCCAAGATTCCCATTTGACGAGAATACATCTCAGTACTGCACCTTTTGGTATGAAAATGATGGATCTATGCCATGTACAGAGGCCCTCGATCTTTTCAGTGTGTCTTTAGAAGACTTTGTCCGATGGGTGGGTGGTAATGGCATTTTTAGACTCTGGGTTGGATCACTGAAACAATTACACGCACTAGAATCCTTCGGTAACCTCTACATGCGACAACTTCCTCGAGTCTCGTTCTTTCTGTATGGAGGCTAGTGGTGAACCTGTTATCACTACTACGTCCACTTCTACCGAGCCCACGACAACTACGAAACCATTTAACGGTAAGTTGGAAAACTCTCTCCATTCCTCTGGCTGGATGCATATTTATGATGAACCAACAGGCATTCAAACTCCCAGTCCAACCCAGCCAGATATAATCGACAGCTGTAATAAATTCTACTGGGTGAACAACGGCGAGAGCTGCGAGAACGTCGCTTCCAAGAACGGCATTCCACTGCAAGATTTCTTAGCCTGGAACCCTAAAGCCGGCAATCAATGCTACGGCCTCTGGGCTAATGCCTACTCGTGCGTTTCCATTATTGGTTATATCCCACCCACACCCTCTGAGCCTACAAACGGCGTAGAGACACCCACGCCGATACAGCCCGGCATGGTTGCCGACTGTAATAAGTTCTATTACATTAAATCGGGAGACTCGTGTGGCAGTATTGCCTCTAATAGCGGTATCTCAGTCTCTGACCTTATTAATTGGAATCCCGGGGCTGGTAAGCAATGTACCAGTCTATGGGCCAATACATATGCCTGTATAGGCACGCTTCCAGCATTCCGTATTAAGACACGATACCATATTGATTGCACAGGCGACGTTTATAATGACGTTTTAGTCAGGGGTGGCATGTGTATAAATACTGGATGTTCTGTTGGATCCCTTGAGATCGCGGCCGAGGGATACTGCCCAGATGGCCAGGTTCAGATTAGCTACTGGGAACAACCAAACTGCGTTGGTAAGTGGTTTGGGTATGGGTATACTAAGCGGGGGCAGTGTCGCGGTGTCTGGACTGATGGATGGAAGTTCAAGTCGTTATTTCTACGGTGCGCCAAGGAGGAAGATGATTGCGTTAGCCAGGGGACCTGCTCATACGATCCAGAGCCTGATACATCTCTTTGTTAGACATGTAAATGCCGCAGCGGCTTTTGCCAACGTTGAATAAACATACTGCTGCCTGCAGGCAGCAGTATAACAAGTGCCGTTGCCTTGAATGATTGACTTACTCTTGACTAACTACTCATCAACGACATTGCTACTAATTTCATCGTAACTCCGACATGGAAAGTTCATAATTTGCTTCTTATTTTTAATAGAATTTGTTTACTACACTACTTTATTGGGCTCCGATGCCGCTTCATCAGCTAGCTCTTGCACGCTTCGGAACTTCAAGTCGGGGAAAAACTTTGCGCGGTGGCGCTCGACCTTGCTCCAGGGAAATCGAACACCTGCGCCGTGCCCCCAAAGCTCCAGAATGGCAGCTCCATAGCTTTCCAGGCTCTCCTGTGCTATGTATTGCTTGATAGTCTGAGAGAGAGACTTATTCTGAAATGCATACTCTGGGTCTCGGCTTTGAATGAACCGGCCCAACTCCATCCAAGTCATTTGCGCGCCTGAAATAAAGGTAAACTCCTCCCAGTCTTCCCTGTTATGCTCGATAAGTCGGACAGTAGCGCGAGCTGTGTCTCTGGCGGAAGTAAAGTTGACTAGTTGGGTTCCATCGCCGTAAATAGTAAAAGTTTTTCTGTCGTAATTCTGCGGCCACATGTCGCCTAGGCTGCTCATGAAACGCTGTTTCTCTGGTACGATGTAGTCGACGTACCAACCGGGACTGATCGATGACCAACTCACGTCCTGTTGACTTCTAAGTGCGCTGAGAACAAGACGAATCTCATCGGCCACGCCTAACGGTTCGTCAGGGAAATCCTCGAGGTTGCCGGCCCATGTGGCTGGAATTAAGCGTTTGCATGTGGCAGAATGTTGACAAGCCCGCAAGATGGCCAGGTGGACTGCCACATAGTCAGGCACTCCGACTCTCAGCGTACACACAACTGCGTCGCAATCGGCCAGCGCGGCGGTGAGATCCGTTTCACTGTAGTCGGTGATATGTTGGGAAATTTCAAGATCCTCGAGATACGTCTTGGGAGTTCGGGAAACAGCTAGTACTTCATGTCCGCTCTTTTGAAGTTCTTCAACAAAGTACCTAGCGAGATCGCCAACGGCAACAATAGCGACTTTCATGGTGGTTACCTGGGTGGCACAATTATGCCGTGCGAATACGTTACTATTTCCTGTCTCGCTTAGAGCAGAGTAAAAGTAATATGAAGTAGCAAGATATTTATGACCGAAGCTTGATCGACGGGGATTCCAATCGTTCGAGCTCTAGACGCGTCGATGCTATCATCGTCGGAGTTCGATGATCCAGTTTTGCGGAGTTCAGTAATGAGGGATTTATAATCAAAGTCGAGGTCCTTCTCCCAAGGTGCCTCTTGGATCTGAATCAAACTCATAGTAGCTATGTGGCCGAAATAGTGTGCAGAACTGGTGTTGTTGCACGCTTCAGTAGTCCAACAAGCGAAGACCACGGACTTACCCAGCGGACCAGACGCCACTCCTGTAGACCACAGATTGCGCCCAAGCATTTCTGAATGCAAGTTAGGCTTGACTATAGTGGCTAAGCTTGATAGCTGCTGGACAGTTCAGCTAAAGTCTAAAACCCGTCCATTATTCAACGACATATTTGATCGTATTGATTGAGCTTAATGGATCAAGACGTGAAGCAGGATAAAAAACAACTGCAGGCAAAATTTGCGCACCATGACTCCAAAAAATCCATTATTGTGCAGTGCCACTTCTTGAGCAGCCAGGCGAACAGACCACTACAACTGGAAGTGATGACCACGGGTTCGGAGCCTTGGGGTCTGTCACGCAAATCCGGAAGCTAGTCGACGGGTTGGTGGATTCTGTATCGGAGCGGAGTAAGGGGCCCGAAAAACCCGCGGAGCCGATCTCCGCTCGAGGATGACACATTGGATGTCAGATTAGTAATTCAGGCTTTCACTTCCTTCTGCTGCATCCAGCATACTCGGGCCAAAGCTGATGGCCTGCCGTTGCCTCTGCAGGTAAATGCGTCTCTTTATCCATGGATTATAAGCATTCGTACCGTACAGGTTCTACGCCTGCAGGAAGTAGCTCCTGGAGTATATAAAGCTCAATACGTCCATCGATAGAATAGAGCCTCATACAGCCCGCATCCACTGTTCTTCCCTTCCTTATCTTACAAGCCTACACTTTTCAGCCAAACATCATGAGCATTGCTATTGCTGGCTCAGGCGATCTTGCCCGCTACCTCGTAGAGGAGCTTCGCCGAGCAGGTCAACCCGTGGTCATCCTTTGTCGTACAAAGAAAAGCCATTTTGAGCTTCCGGGAGTCACTCAGAAAGAAGTAGACTTCAAGTCTGTTGATTCCTTGAAGAGTGCCCTGGATGGTTCTGTGGCCTTGATCTCAGTGATTCTCGACTACACCATGGCTTATACGGAAAGCCACATGAACCTGATAGCAGCTTGCCGTCAGACTTCGACTTGCCGACGCTTCATCCCAGCCGAGTACGGAACAGACACCGCAGATTATCCGGACCAACCAGGATTCGAGTATGCCAATCACGAGCCGGTACGCCAGGCACTACGCGAACAAAACGTCTTGGAGTGGACATTGGTATGCTGTGGTTGGTTGGCCGATTACGTGCTGCCGGTAAAGAACCGCTACATCAAAGATATCGGTGACTCGGCTCCATTCAACTTGTCAAGCAAGCGAATCGTTATTCCTGGAACTGGTAAAGAGCTGCTCGACGTCACCTCCGCACGAGATCTCTGCAAGGCGCTTGTTGCATTGACGAAAGCTCCGGCAGGAAGCTGGGAGCGATACACTTATGTCTCTGGCGAGAAAACTACTCTGGGACGCATGTCACAGCAAGTACAAGCAAAATATTCAACCCTCGAGTTTACTACTAAACACATCAGCCTCAACCAGCTTGTTAATGCTGTACGTGAGGCAAAGACGCAGGAGGAACGCATTGAAGCCGAGTACGGCATCGTCACTCTGAGCAGCAATGGTGGTTTTGATCCGGCCTTTGTCCAAAAGCAGCGAGGAACGTACTTCAAAGATGTTCGGTTCCGGTCGGTTCAGGAGTTGCTGGACGAGGTGGACAAGCATCCGGACTCTATCATCTAATCCGGACAGGGTAGCAGGCATGATTTAGTGGAGATGTTGTCCTCACAGAAGACGGAAATGGTCCTTTTCAATAAACGCAATGCTTAAATTTGGGTGGGTTCTATGCCTGTTAACTATCTACTGTCTACTACACTGCCTTTCGGCAGCGGCAACTATAGAAGCTGAGATGTCAAAGAATATATATAAACTATGTTAGCAGTTGGTAAACAGCCAACTACTTCAATATCGGCATATGTTAGCTGCAGAATATCAAGGAATGTGCAAGTTCTACTACATGGTAGGCAATTGTAACGTAGGCCATTTAACGTACAACCGCCGTCTTAAATTTGCGCGTATTCAAGTAGGCTACATGTTTTTTTATAACTGCTCGGTCAAGCGCCGTATCTATAGATATTCCGTTTTGGAAGTTAAGCCTATGTATTTTTTATCGGATAACACACGTCGATAAACATCTTGCTATAAAAGTAGTAAGTGGCAACAGTAATCCTTATGTTTCTGCCTCATGGCAACGTTGCTCTTGCTGTTATGATAAAACAACTTGCGCACCAACATCCGCGAACACTGATCGCCGGGGCGGCAGCTGGTTCTGGCGGCAATACAGGTGCAGTCCTAGAGGCGCTTGGGAACCGATACGCGTCCTACACATATACGGACATATCTACCAGCTTCTTCGAAAACGCCCGCACCGTGTTCAGTCAGCACGGCAGCAAACTCGCCTCCGAGATGCTCAATGTCGAAGACATCCAACTATGCAAAGGAGCAACTGTGCTCTGCCTTGGGGATCTGGATAACCCCGTGTTCCGCGACATGCACCCGGGGAGATTCAAGGGATTGCAGAACGTCATGGAGACAGCAGAAGTGGTTGTATGGGTGACCTCGGGGGCCAAGGAAGGCTTGGATCCCGATGTCAACATCATTTTTGGACTATCAAGCACGTTGCGGGCTGAGCGTTTGGGTCGCAGGCTTCAATTCCTCGACACCGACAACCCTTCGTCTATTGACCCGTCCATGCTGGCCAAGATGCTTCTCCGTCTCGTCTTCCTTGACCCATCCAAGACCGACAAACTGCGATTGACCCAGGAGCCCGACTTGGGCCCAAATCCACGGCCGTGGTGCTCGACGAGCGCCAGGGGGCATTCGGGCTGCATGCAGTTTCCGTTAACAGCGGCGCGGGAGACAACGCCCTCGCTCTTTCGGACGAAAACAAATCTTTGGTCAAGGTTGCCGGGGACGACGTTTTGCATCGTTGGCACCACAACAAAACTGCCGCCGAAGACACGGCAGAGCTACACTTTTTCCTAGCAAAGGCACTTGCTGGACATTTGCTCGGCGGATTTATAAAAGGGCTCGCGTGGATTCACAGTGCACCGCACGACCTCAGCGAGGCCATTGACGCTGTGGCCCGCGAGCAGGGCGTCGCCGTGTTCCAGAATCCAGACCACGTCCAATATGGCGAGAATTTCGGACGTCATTTTCATCCATCCCCACGCGTGTCAAGGAGTCTTGCAGGATATACGTCCCCAAATCCCGCAACTGGTGCTCCGGGACTGCCTTTTCCATCATATGCCCTGGGAAGACTTTGCCGCCGTGTTGGCCCCTAGGATGGTGGGATCTAAAAAAATTTTTCTGTCTCGTGAATAATGCCAACAGTGCCGCAACCGAGATGTCGTCACTTCTGGTGGATATGGGGTTCGAATTATGGGCGGTGACAGAGTCCAATCAAGTCTTTGTCCCCCGTATGACGCCCTTGAGACTGGTGTGTAGGATCAGAATAAAAAACCAGTTGACATTTTGATACATTTTGTGGGCGGGATCCCCAGCAGGTGTGTAGGATTGCAGGTGGGAATACAAGCACGTACATATAGATCCTTCACCTCTTCTCCTTTATCTACAAAGTACAAAAATCTTCTTTATACTCACACATCGCTTGTAGGGGAGTCAACTGATAATGCTTATATTATAACTTAAATCCTATACGGCAAGCGAGGGAATAGGTGTAATAAGCTAGCGATGTTTAAATCGGATATTAATGTCGCTTTTACTTTACCGAAATATGAACAGACAGGCCTTGTATGTGGAGCTGGGTAGAGGAGAGGGTCCTCGTCGTAAGAGTGTATCTGCAGCTTGACGAAAACGGGGGAGGATGCGATGCTACATTACCAGGTGGATATACCTGTCAAGTGTTAACCAATCCTCCGAAATTGCCAGGGCCTGTTTTCTCCGCGGATGGATACCTGAACAGCTTGTGTTCTAAATTGCATACGGCGCCAGGCGTTGTGAACAGACGTGTAAATATATCCACGTATTCGGTTATCCCTACATACAGGATTATGCATGTCTTCGTCAGAGTATTGTGGGGGCCACAAAAGCCGGCTTGTCTATTAACATGTTTGGGTTCTTAGTTGCGCGACCGCTTTTTTTCTTCCCTTCAACATTCTTTTCACCTAACATTGACAGATATTGACAATGCCTTTAGCAGTTACTGCAGAACCACTATACCCAAACAGTGATGGGCCAGATCCGGGCTGGCAGCCGCCCCTGATAGATCCTCCAAACCCACCATGGGAACCAGTTGCTCTCTTTTGGTTGATGGTGGTGATGCTTTTTATCGGTTTTCTAGTAGCGAGACAGAACGAGTCACCGGTGGCATCACACGTCGCGCCGCTCACAGAAACAACGCCGTTACGAGGCACAGAACTGCCACCACCACCTTACGAGCCAGGGCCTTTGCTGCACTATCCAGAACCTCTAATGCCTCATCATCATCATCATCATCATCCAGGGTCGCCCACACACTATTCAGCGCCGCCAGCGCTCGAATAAATCTAGTGTTTTGAGTTTAGCAGCCTAGGCACGGCACTATAAGGCAAAGGAAATCTTACCAGACCAGACACACGCTGGCTTTGTTGTATTGGGCGATTGGATAGGCGGCGAGGTGGGGGTTTTTTAAATTGTCCTATGCAGCCAATTATAATACCGTTATGCCTGGCCTGTAAGCAACCCAGGCTTGTTGTCACGCATATAGATCTTTTTCCCAGGTATAATTACAATAACGTCTAGTGCTAGATTTATAACTACATACTAATAGTAAAAATATGATACTTATATGCTTATACGTGTTTTAAGCTCGAGGCTAGAAGTTCGGGCCTAGGCAGGACCTTTATGCTGCCGGCCCGGACCCGGACCAGATAAACCCTGGAGCAGGCACGAATATATATTAAGTAAAAAAAAGGGGAAAAGGGAATTTTTTTCTTTTCTTTTTCTTTAAGTTTATTCTTACTATTATTACCGTATACGTGCAGCCGCAAGTATAGCTAGTTGATTATAATGCGAACTTTTATAATATACTCACGCTATTCCTCTATTATCTTAAACAAGTTTTGTTTTCAGACTAGCTACTTTAACTAGTTCTTTTACCGGGACTTATCTAGTGCCCCTTATATATTTAGAATATAAGTTATATAAAAGAACTTCAAGAGTAATACTTATATAAAGATTACCAGCAATCTCTTGGCGGTTATATCTTATAAATACCTAAGTAGTTTTTACTATTAAGCTACTATACTTACAAGGGGGCAAGAAGAAGAACAGCTATAACTTATTCTCTTAATTTAGAGGCCGATTACTTTGTGCTATTTAGTTATTAAATTATTTATTAGTAATAAGAAGTTGTCAGATATAGTTAATTTCCTGTAAACCCTACTAATCAGAAGTTATCTCTTTAAAAGTCAAGTATCTTCTAGGGGACTTGCTGCCTTATAACTTATAAGAAATATCGCTAATACTAAGTAGATAACATAATAAGGTAACAAATATAATATAGCTGTTTATACCTGATAGTGTTATTAGTATAACTAGTATTACTCAAGTCTCGGAAGACTAGCGAGCGGTCCTAGACGGATAGTCACATATCCAATAGGTGAATTGACTTTGCAGGATTGCCTTCTGAACCTGATGACGGCTGTCCGCATTGAAAGGACATGCTAGTATCCATACCCCCGTCGCCGAAGCGCACTCCAGTGATATATAGCAGGGTTCCCTTCTGCAATTGGGCGGCGGACGTAGTATTTGACAGGCTTTGTCCTGTTATCGCCTTCACGATTCAGGATTTCCGTCCCGACCACGAACTTGCCCGCATATTTTCTAGACTCTCCCTCGTCAAGGAAGTGAACCAATCCAGTGTACCCTTGGTCGCTCTTCTCAAGCACAGTGTCAATGTGAAGCTTGGTAACAGCCGCCGATTTACTAATGCAGTAATCGATGACAGGTCGAAGAGTTCCCTCTTCCAGACGTATTACCTCGGCAGATATCTCAACTGCCTTTGTGCGCTGAATCAAGTTCAGCAAGTCTGCCTCTCTTACACTAGCTCCCCTTATCCTGCATCGCTTTAGCATGGGCGGATTATGGAGCTCAGCCACATACCGAAGTATGTCTTGACGTGGGAAGTTAATAAGCAGGCGCCTTTTTGGCCACACGATGGAGAGGTAATGTAGCTCAAAGTGACTGAGACGGGGACAGGCAGCAATAAAACTCGCCAAACCAGTGAAATTGCCCTCTTGACCAGATTCTGTCATGATCTCTTGGTCCCTCTGCGTTGGTTGTCGGTCGGCTTCTTTGTCTTCCGAACCGCAATCGCTGAGATCCTCGTCTATCTCTTCATCTTCATCAAATGCAAATACTCTATCCGTGAGACTTATTGAGAGTGTCGTAACAGCTGTCAACGAATCGACAAGGCTAGCGTCTGTCCAGTCAAACATATTTAATTGATCGCAAGACAGGCTGCAATTCTGCATGTCTCGATCGTTGAAGATGTTCATTTCTCTGACGCGTAATTTGCTAGCAGCCAAAGCCCGGATGACCGTGTTGAAAGTATGAATAGTACATTGCCATAGGCTCCTTAGCGGATATACATTTCCCGTACTATGCGGTAGGTCCCTTTTGTGGTTTTTCGTCGAAACTGCCACTCGTAGTGAAAGTGACGGCAGAATGCAATTTTTGCCTTTCGCGATTCCATCGAATGCTTGGCTCAGCAGGTAAATTTGGTCTTCAGTTTGAGCACTGCAGCTGTATTTCCTGTGCCACGAGGGAAGCGTGCTATCGTCAAGCTCATGAATAATTCCGACGATATTCAATGTGTTGACCTTGGACAAGGGACTGTCTGTCCGCGTTGCTTCCGCAAAAGCGAGCAGAGAATTCGTTGTTAAATCGACATACAAGGACTTGAAAAACCTGCTACAGGCTTTCGTAGCCAGAGTTGCGCAGCTAAGTCGTAGATTGCGAATGTCAGCCAAGTCCAGCAGCTCAACGATGTGTTCAATGACCGGAAGCGGACAGGTCTGTAAACTTGGTGACATGTTTGCAATTCCTCTCGAACACCCACGAGAAGGCCAGGCGAGAGCGTCTGGTTATAAGTTGCCGATTCGTAAATGGAGCTAGACGAAACAGTTGACATTCAACCAAACCATGGTGAAAAAAGGAGAGGGCTGTGAATCGCCCGTGTGGGGACTGGGTAGTATTTATGTTGGGTCAACTCGATGGGGGACATTGATGGAACTCGTGTGTTGCGGGACAGATGTCTGGTCAAGTTTTGCTGCCAGGCTATATATCGATTCCTTCCTTGCTATACCGCGGTTATTACTCGTCGCCACGGCGACTCCCGCCAACAACATGGCCTAGGCTTTGCCGGTCTTGTCCTCCCAACACTTGAGAAGAAGCTACGTGTCTTCTGTCTTGATAGTATCCTCTGTTACAATGGCAAAAGTCTTTTCAGATTTTTCAAGAGTAATAGCCCTTTTGACATGCTCAAAACCCTCTCTGGTTTTGACTTGTACCTCGATATCACCATCTGGCTCCATTATGACGGCAGCAACATTGGTGTTTGCAGTCGTGGGATGCTTCCATTCTCCCCCTACGGGCTTCATGTCTAGTCTTGCAATAAGGGTTGCCACGGTGGCCAGGACCTCATTTGTCGCAAAGTGTCGGCCGGGACAGAGAGTCTTGCCGCCGCCAAACGCGCGGAAGCAGACATCACGCGGGCGATTTTGTCTCTCCTCGGAAAGGAACCGGCGTGGGTTGAAGTCGGAGACATTGGAGCCCCAGAGTCGGGCATCCTGGTGGATGATGCGGCTGGGCATCTGCAACATGGCGCCTTTCTTCAGCAACCAGTTGTCGAGATATGTGTCTTCCATGACCTCGCGCACCGAGGTTCCCATTGAGCTGTAGCGAAGCACTTCTTGGTACGAGGACAGCAGCAAGGGACAACTCTCCTTGAGCTTGGTAATATCCACAGTTTTGACGGTGCGACCGTTCTCGGTTGTTGTTTCGGTGCAGGCGTCAATCTCCTCCCGGATATCGCCGAGGAGACCGGGATGGGAGTGTAGCAGAAGGAGAGTCCAGAAGGCTGCTGGCGCCGTGTTGACCAGTATCGCAATTGAGCCTCCCACCTCGTAACGGGCAATATCTTCCAGTGGAACGTTATTATTGACCTCGGCCTGATAGCGTTTCTGCGCAAGAGCCGAGGCCTTTTGAATTCCCCCAGCCTTGTAGTATGCTTCGAAGGCCTTGGCGACCTTGGTTCGAGCCGCGATTGGCTTTCGTGCAGTAATGGAAGGAAGGACGCCAACAAGTATGTACATGAGTCCGCTCTCAAATTCCCTACAGCGTAAATATATATCAATCAGACAAGGGTGACTGTTGGCCCGAATCAAGTCTACTGACCAGAAAGCATCGGCAACGGCCTTGTCGTCGTACGGGTTCATGGGACCGTAGACAGATCTAGTCGTAGCCGTGGTAATGGTATCCTTGAGCCAGGCGTTCATATCAATCCGCCGGGATTCCCCCTCGGGCGGCTGCAGTAAATCCAGCGATTTTGCAATTTCCTGAACCATGACGCGGTTCATATCGTCGAGCAATGAGCCGGGCTTCAAGGCAGCTCTCATGGCTGCGTAAGACTCCATGGAGAGACCAAAGTCGCCCTCGTCGCCATTGACGTTTTTGGCCAAGATGGCCTGGGCTTCGAGGCTGGCTCCGCAGACAGTGGATGCAAACTTGGCCTCAATGGGCGGGAATGCCAGCGTTTTATACTGTTTCTGGACCTTCTGAATGAGTTCAGGCTGGGTAACCACGTACATCTTCTGGCCCGGGAGAGTCAATGTATAGATGGGAGAATCCATCTGCTGACTGATGCAAAGTAAGAATATTTCATCAAGTCTCCAATGCATGCTAGAGGATATCGCGAGGGATAAATTACCCGATTTGGACATAGTAATTAAACTTACTGCGTGCAAGTCCAACCATGTGGCCGATCAAGGGAATCCGCTGAGGCGCCACCGGCGGCTCGCGAGGACCATGGCTGCTAAACATGTTGAGAATAGAGAAGCAGGCCAGAGTGACAACGGTGGTCAAGACAAGGAGGGTTGCGGGATCAGAAACAGCGAAGGACATGACGCTGACAGAAGAATGCTGGAGGGAACAGGGGATGAGGTCGATGAGCGCGTGGATGACGGGCTTCGCGAGGGGCTCACACAGAGCGGAAACATAAGAAGAAAAATCCCAGGGCTGGGGAAATGCGTTGGTCCGTGTAAATGGCGTGGTTGAGGGTGCTAAAGCCAGCCGGTATGCAATCTGACCTCGAACGCGTAAACACCAGGTGTTTCTTAGACGCAAATGCTGCGCTGCAAAGCTTACTTGACTGTTCCAAGGCCGAGGGAGGTTGGATTGGGGGCAGAGATGAGGAGAGAAGGGGGCCGAGTGCAGCCGATCATTCCATACAGCTTGACGAGGCTGCGCCATTACAACGTGTCAGGTTGGGTCGTTGTTTGGGAGGGGGGGCTGCTACCTAGCTGAGAACACTGCCTTATGACGAGGCCAAAGTTTTGTGATACGTCAACTTGCACTGCGTTGCGTTGCATCAGTCCAGCTGTTGGCGTCGGTGCTTTCATTTCTTTGGGCCACCGTTGACTGTCCTGCGGCTCCAGACCTGAAATTGGCGCAAACACGATCCTCCCATCCCTGTATAGCCATCCCAGGACAACATTGAACGTTTGAAGTGTCGGCAAAGAGCCAGGTGAGGCGACGACGAGAGCCTCGGTTTGCCGACCGTCGATTTTGTGTATCTGAAAACGCAAATGCTGGGAGACTAGCACGTTGTCTGCATAAATGGTAAAGCAAGTAGGTATATTCAAACTAAATACGAAGTAGCGCCTTGAAATCAAGTTGCTCCAGGCTTGTTCGGCAGCTTACATTATGCCACTCGTTTCTCGCTCCCACGCCAACATTCACTTCGATATCGTGTATTCGGCCATGACAAATATAAACGTCGCTTGTTACCCGTCGACAAGTTGACTACATCTCGAGTTTGGTCTTCTTTCGGATGCTGCCGTTACCCAGGTTCATCTCCCGCAGCTATAATGAGTCGGCCTCGCTATCATCCCAAGCCATGTATCGCTCGGCGGCGCTGGATGGGGGCAAGTGATAGGATTGTGAATGCTCTCTGTGTCTTTGCCTTCCCTATTGTCACGTAAATGAGGACAAGAGGAAACACGTCGGTAACAACATTACCGACACCCTGGGTGACAACAAGGCTCCGTGTTCGCGTACACATGGGTGAGACCAAGGCGGCAAGAAAATCGAGTTGTGAAGATCCCGTAGGTGAGCACATGACGGCAAAGGCAATGGATATGGACAGGTGCCAAACCGAAATGACGACAATACCGGTGATGGAGACAACGCGCATCCATTGTAGAACGCTGAAAAGCTGAAGGTAAAGAATAAAGACGGAGATTTTGACAAAGCAAATAGCCAACGGGCTGACTACTTCAACGAGGAGACCAAGCTTGGTTGGTGATGAGCCTTTCGCGTTCTCGCGGAGAGACTCAAACAACTTGGAAATAAAGACTTACGACGAGCTGTGATTTTGTAAACGAGCTTAGAACAACATTCCATGCTTCTTCCCCAAATGCACCTCCGGAAACGCCTATGAAGCAATTAGCGGCAATGCACAAATGTTGACCTGACAAAAAGTTGATGATACAAGTTATAGTCATAACGGTAAAGGCGAGGCAAAGCATCTGGACCGAGTCAGTCATCACTGTGGGCAATGACGAATGCAAAAAAACGGACTAATCCTGTAATGAAGACGACTTTAACCCTCCTTATTAGTTGCCACAGAGCGAAATAGAAGAACGGGGCGCTGATGAGGAGACGAATTGTAAAACTGACTTTCGTCGGCCACGGTAGCCTTCCGGTGAGCGTATGCTATTGAAACGAATCGGATAAACGCAAACATCAGAATTAATGGGATGCATACGCTGGCAGTGATGTAAACTTGGTAGGCATTAGAGTCGGGATTGACGAAGTTGGGCGTTATCCCCGGAGGTGGTGTTTAAATGGGATATTGCAGATTGCGTGACAGCATGTCGGTGTCCATTAGTCCTGTCACGGCGTCGATGACGGACGACAGTACTTTGAAATGAATGAAAAGGAAAAATATGCTTAACACAGGTGAAGTTGGAGCATTTGGGATAAAACTATTGTTGACGGGAGAGCCGCGGCTTTTACCAACGGTGAAGATCCAAGCGAGATGACGGCGTCACTCCGGTTAGACTGCCAATGGTTCCTAAATGCTTGACTCGGGTATCTAGTGAGTGTCGTTACTTCTAATGACATCCTGTGGCTTGCGGCGCTAGCCTTGTTGCCTTCATACCGCTTACATGTCTGCTAGCTGGGGGCGGTATTGCAGATGGAGGCGGCAATTTGTCGCAGACGGGGCGAGACTCATGTAACCCAACGTCCCTTCAACAAAAGGGTGCTGAGGAAACAAGGTGTGGTGTCCCAACTACATGTTTTGTATCAATCGTGAGTCGACACAACACTTGCACCTCCGATTTCAAAAGGGCGTGTTCAAAAGGGCGTGGGGATCATTCAGCATACGGATTGCCTTGATGTATTGACCAGTCTTCAAGCAAGGGAAATTGGCCTATAACCCCGATACGGAAAATCCAGCCTTGGCCTGTTTACGATATTATCCTGACGAAAAGGATACTATAATAGAGGTGCGTGAAGAATACTGTGGAATTAAGATCTTTTATAACTTTACCGCTCGCGTAGCAATAGAGACAGATTTTAGGGTTTAAAGAAAGGGAACAACTTAGCGATAATATACGTATTTTAATAACATTCAAGTGATATTGTACTTGACGTGCTATGGCGTTATATGCGCGTATATACATGAAGGTGCTATACAGCACACGTATCATGTAATCAACGTGAAATAGCATCATGTGCAAGGTCTAGCCTGTGGCTTCTATGAACAGCGAGCCTTGCTGGTATCTCTAGCTTACAAAACTCACGCACTCCTTTTACATGTATTCTGCTGTAACGTTTCACCGCCATCGGTCATAATAATAGGTCTTATTCATTCCTCGTGGGAATCTGCAAAACATTAGTCGAAATAGGGGGTCGACCTTGGCAGCTTACATATGTTGGCAAGAAATAATGCAATTTATTCCCCGAGAAGGCCCATAAAACTAGTATTAAGGCTATACAATTATATTAAGTTAATACGGTAAGTAGGGTATATAACTTGGCTTAATAAGTATAACTCGAATATACAATCTCTGTGACTCGATATACCAGCGACAACGGGAACGGGGGATATTCAGCATAAAGAATTATGTAGGTAATAAGTATAGCTTAATGCGACATGACTCATCCGGAATACAAAAACCTAATACCTGGTAGAGATAAAATCAATCAAGGGTCCGGTCTTATTAGAAGTTCCTGTGGGTCAGAGACGTTGCGCCAAATCCACTGTGGAATCCAACTACCCACAATGTTAGCTGATATCGCATTATAGATTGCTGTAGGCATGTCCAAGACTTACTGCAGTAAGAAGCAGTTTCTACCTGTTGGAGAGCGAAGCTGCTACGAGTCAGGAGGATTATTACGAATCTCTGGCTTCTTGCATACGGCGAAACGTGGCAATAGCGAGCTTCTGTTTACATAAATTGGGCGTGGCCCTTTCAACTTGGTGAGCATCTCATCACTAGCTTCGACAGTCCAGACTTTGCTCTTGGCCGCATTTTCTTACACGACCAGACTCTTTCAACCCTACGATCCAGCCTTTTAGCACCATGAAGTACGCTGTCCTCCTTGTTGCTGCCACCATGGGCTCCTGCCTGGCCCAGTCCCCCTCCGGGCAGAAGCTCCCCTTCAAGCCCGCCCCAGAGAAATCGGGCATATGGTGCCCTATTAAGGGCTACGACGAAGATGGATGCGGCACCAAGAGATACTACCAGGCCATTAATATGATCAGTCAACAGTCCTAGTTCATCCAGGTTCAACTCTAAACCCCTTTGGGATACTACCGAGGCCTGCTTTAATGCGCATGAGCAAGAGCCTAAGGAAAATGGCAAGCGCCCTTTTCACTTTGGCTTTAGTGCCGGCCCTGACTGCGCCGACAGACATGGAGGCTTGATGACGGTAACGTCGTGCGGCACCGAGACGTACTGCAAGGCGATTGATGAATGGGGCAGCGAAGACGGAAGACTGCAGGAGGATATCCGCTGGAGTAGCACCAAGGAGTGCCTAGACGCCCACGTCCCTGAGCCTAGGAACCTGCCCTGGAAGCGGCGTGACAAGGCTAACTTTTGCGGCAGCCGTGCAGATTATAGCGAGAACACTTGCGGCACCGAGGAGTATTGCAGGTTGCTTGAGAAACAACCAGGCCTAATCTCCACGCCGCCCTATATCGGGACCAAGACACAATGCCTTGCGGCCCACGTGCCAGATCCGGACGCTATCTGGTTCCCAGTTGACTAGTCGAGTCTGAGCAGTCAACGCTCTGGGAAGGTCTCGAGCTGTTTTTGTCTTACCATAAGACTACCAGACGCCAGGTTTCCGCCCAGTTTCAATGTTCGCCTTCGCTCCACACCCTCGCGCTACGACAATGGTTATGCACCAAAGACCACACTAATAAATGGGGAATAGGGTAATAGATTAGTTGAAATAAATCATCTTCTTGTATACTCTTGCATAATACAGATCAATCCATAGACTAGGATCAAGGCATTACTCGTACGCTACAAGTATACTATCCGTTATCGACGATCAAGTAATTATTTGCAGGAAGTTATATATTCCAGGCACCAAGCTCGAGGCCTTCTGCTGTCAGAGTCTTGCAATAAAAGTGGTCCAAACATCGAGTAGGCTGCAGTTTGGACTGGTATACTGTCTCCAGTTGGGCCACAGTCTGGCAGTGATCCTAGAGGAGTGTCGGAGCATTGCATTCGGTTTCATCGATACATAATACGGTCCTTTTCACGTCTTCGGTGATTCCCACGTCAGGAACCGGTAGCTGCGGTAGTCAGGACGGTGTGGTACGCATGGAATTTAAATGCTGATAAGCGTATTACCAGCAAGAACATATCGTCTACCTCCGAATCCTCCCGCGAAGCTTGGCCTGCGGAGCAGTCTTGGCCTCCATTGCTGGGATCCCCTTGCATGTTTAAACTTGAGAATCTTTCTGGTCTATATATCGTTTCCCGGTTAGCCTCTCAGATGGACTTACTGATAAAAGGCATGATGCGGCTGTACTTCTCCCAGTTCAGGCAACGGACAGTAAGAAAGCTTTCTGACGAGGTCTGAGAAATGAACAAATAGTAGTTTATAGTGCAGAGAGCAGAATAATTCTTTACAGAATCCATTCTAACTATCTGTAAAAGTCGATAAATTGCTACTTGAACTGGGGTGGCTGTGACAACATACATTGTTAGCAGGCAGGTGAATCCATACAATATACGACTTATTCAAGGGAAGCGTTGAACTGTAGAAAAGTTCCAAGACCGATTTTGCAGCTGTAGGCAGCTGAATACAGCTCCGAGTCGTGAATCTCGTCTGGAATGCCTTAATTCCGGCTTTGTAGACCCAAATGAGTCCCACGAGTTGCTCGCAGTGGTCTGCTTTTAATTTACCTAGCTCCCCAGTTGCTATATTGCGCATTCTTCCATCGTCTCAGGTCTTCTTGATGCTTCTAGGTTCAGCAAAGATACTAGCCAGGTGTCTGGAGCCCCTTGATTACGCGAGGGGTGGCGTTGTGTCTCTAAACCGATCTATCAATGTCGGAATTGCCGCCGCTTCTAGAAGTCTCACAACCATCTGCTTGTCCTCGACGAAACTTGTACAGTGGAGGGGGGGGCATTGAAGACTGTCTCCTGCATTGGGGTCTGAAGCTTGCTTAAGGGCCTCCTCAACATTTTCTTTATCGTGCGTGCCCTCACGTGCATAACATTCTACTGCGATGTGCATCGGTGTCTGGCAGGATATTTGTCTTGATAGTAAGACAATCTACCTTTGTATATTCTAACTTACTTGGGGTAGCGTCCATGATCGTCTTGGTATGCCGCATCACACTTTGCTTGTTGTAGCACTGACTTGAGGGTTTGAGCTTAGGGTTACGATGGAGGTACATATGTATCACAGGGGCTGTCAGGGGCTTCAGCCGGGTATAAAAAGGGCCAATTTCCCGGGTTTTCAGGGCATTCATCTTATTCCTGCAGGCATGACGAATATGACCTTTTGGCCCAAATCAATGACCCAATTCTGCTGTGTAAATTGCAGTTTTTCACCCAACACCTAGTCTGTCTTGCAGCCTCAGCTAAGGCCACCTGATTGTCATGGCAAGATGGTGAGCCCCAACAGATATCGACCAGTCACAAAAGACGAGTAATGTTCCGCGTTGCTTTGAGAAGAGATTCGGAAGACGGCGAATCAACCGACAAGGCGAAATTACATCAAGGTACCGAGTACCAAGGCCCAGGTGGTATGACAGCGATTAAAACACCGAGGATCAAAAAACCAACAGCACGAGACAGCTCTGTGCCAATCGCTCTGTGTTGCATGGGAAGCCCGGGGAGTTCTCGTCACGCAAAGTCATGTCGACATGCGACACGACAGGTCAGTAAGCCTACGTAGTATTCGTACTGCTATCTGAAAAGACTGGTTGTTGGGCGGACTGTCTTCCAGCCTTGGGCTGCCGCCTATTGAAAAGGCATGAATAGATTGGCCGTCTGATTTCCGCTGGACAATTACGCTGCAAATTGCAATCCCATCGCTTTGGCAAAGTATACGTCGTCGGGAGACCATTTCATTCCGAGATTGCTGTGCCGGGTAGGACAAACTCAGTAAACAGCCTTATTGAGTATTGAGACGAAACTGCGTCGCCCCGCATGTGCCGGGGAGGCAGACACAGATTCTATTCTTGGTCGGATCGGTCTTGTCCCCTTCTTGTGAGCGTGGGAGACGGGCATATTTACGATGAATGACGGCCGGGGGTAGAAAGGGATCGTCTCGCTCCAGTCCAACAAGACTACAATGTCAACATGTACTTGGTCTTGTCCGGAGCCGCGCGTGCTCCTCGCTCGCCTGGGAATTGGACCACCTCGTAGGTCATGTCGTGCGATGTCGTCTGGTCCTTGCCGCGCTCTCCAACTCAAAAATCACCAACCGCCTCGTCCTTGTTCGTCGCAAACCTCCCCCACACTTTGGATGCCATGGAAACCCCAACACCTATCATGGAAACGGCAATAGTTGAACCGGAGCTGGTCGCTCGCGATAGATCCCTTTAGCTGGTTATCTTTTCTCTGTGCTTTATTGGCTTCACGGCATCGCCCAGCTTTGCGCTATCTTTGGGCACCGCTGGCCGACCATCCTCTCGGTTGCCATGTTCGCCCTGGGCAGCAGCATCGCGGGCGGCGCTAACAGTGCTACGACTATGGTTGCTGGCCGGACTGTCTAGGGCTTGGGAAGCGGCGGCATCACGCTGCTCGTCGAGTTGGTCGTCTGCGACATGGCGTCGCCGAGGGACCGGGGGAAATATCTCGGCATCGTGCTTTCTACCACGGCACTGGGAGCCATTGTCGGGCCCGCGGTTGGCGGCGCGCTGCCACAGCGAGACTGGCGCTGGTGCTTCTACATCAACCTTCTCATTTGCGTCTTGGCCCTGCCCGTCATGGTCTTGTCCCTTCGAATCAAGCATCTGCGGGTTCCGTGGACAGTCGTGTTCACGCAGGTGGACTGGGCCGGCAACGTCATTTTTGTTGGCGCAACCGCGCTTTCTCGTCGGCCTCACGTTTGGCGGAACAATGTACGAGTGGTCTTCGTGTCGGACCATGACTCCCATTGTCGTGGGCCCGGTTGCCCTGGCCAACTTCCACGCGTACGAATACTACATCAAGGCCGCCAATCAATGCGTTCCTCCGCACGCCTTCTCCAACCGGACCTTGGGAGCAGCCTTTTACATGGTGTTTGTTTCGTCCATGTTGCTGCAATGGGTCTGTTTCTTCTGGCCAGTGTATTTTCTCGCCGTTCGCGGCGCGAGCCTGGTGCAGCCAGGGGTCGACTTCTTCAAAGTTGCCTTTTATGTTCCTGCTTATCCCCGGGTCGGCCGTCGTGGGAATTATTCTCCCCGAAACTGGCCGCTACTGCCCCCTACACGCCGTAGGCTTTGTCCTGAGCACACTCGGGCCCAGGCTCAACGTTCTTCTGGACAAGGATACGCACGCGGGCGTCTGGGCCATGCTTCAGATAGCAGATGCCGTAGGGGGCCGCTTTCTCCTCCCAACTCTTCTGCCCGCGGCGCTGGCAAGTTTGCCTGAAAAGGACGTTGCCAGCACCACCGGCATGTACTCGTTCTTGCGGAGCTTCGGCTACGGATGGGACATCACGATCCCCAGCGTCACGTTTCAAAACCGGTTCGACGCTGTTTCCTGCCGGATATCGGATTCCCGCCGTGAGAAGTACCCTTGGGGGCGGCAGGGCATCCGAGCTTTCAACTGGGGCCTTTGTGCAGGCGTTGCCGCAGCCCGTCAAGTCCCAGATCCTGGATGCGTACCTCGAGACACTCAAGGCGGTCTGGCACGGTGCCATGGCGTTTGGGGCCACAGCACTAATCGCAGTGGCGGTTGAAAAACATGTGCCACTAAGAACCGTGTTGGGATCCAAGTACGAGATGGAGGAGAAGGCTAACAAGGACAGACAAGACGTTGTTGAGGCGGCGACCGGGGGGGGACAAGACCACTGTGTAGAGTCGAGTATTGCGTTCGTCTACCGCGCTTCACTGGGACGCTCAAGAATATTTATACCATTTACAGAGGTTGATGCTGTCAATTGCGTTCATATTCGGCAACCTCATCACATAGGCTGCTTGATGCGCGTGAGGATTTCCTCGCACAACGAATTCGGCCAGTTGTGCATGCAAGAGTGCATAAAGTACGCCCAAGCACCTTACAATTAGATTAAATCATGCATCAGAATGTAAAGGGACTGGGGAAGCTGGGGCTTCTCACCCTTCACAGGTTGCTCCGTGGTGAAGCCGTAGTCTATGATCCTAGTGGACGTATCCAACAATCCAAGTCTATGATCTGGCTGGTCACGGCCGGTACATGCTAAAGAATGAGCCTCCCTGGTGGGTTCGGGAACGATATATTTAATTAAAGAAGCCCGCCATAAATATTCCCGCCAAAGTTCACCAGAAAGCGTCAAGTGCGCTTGCATCGGCGTCAGCAACGCCAATGAGCCTTTGCTGAACGGGAAACATGGACATGGACTCGACAGGTCCATCGAAGGCAAGCGGCTCAGGTTATAGGCGCGGAAGTAGTCAATCAAGTGTCAACTCCCTCTCGGCCAACGGCCTACAACCATTCGTACAGGCGTTGATCCGTCTTGTATGCGTGCATCGGAGGCGTGTCGCTCGCATAAGTCAGACCTTTTCATCCCCGCCCCCGTAAGGATTCGTTCAGCCTTAGTACGGATACACTCATATCGGGAACTCTCATGGTCTTGGACAACCGCAGCAGACCCCGGGGGAGGGGGGGGGGTGATGATATTTTGGCGACTGACAGCGAAAAGTAGCCATGTGCAACTTCGTGTAACATGTCGACACGCATGAACACCAGGAGATGGAGCAATTCATCATCCACGACGGCCCGCGACAACTAGTGATCCTGGTCGAAATCGATGAACGCGTCGTGTTCGGGTGGGAAGGGACGACGAGGCATTCATAGGCTGACGGTTGTTGATGTGACCGGTGTCCCCCAAGACGTTGCAGTGCAAGCAGGGAATCTGGATGATGGCTGCGGCGAACTTGTGAAGAGAAGAATGGTTGGGGATGAAGGCGGGAATGCCATGTACGGGAGGACTTCATTCTCCCATGAGGGAAGCATTCCAGCTACTGTGCCACACATGGCGCCGTCAGCCGGTCAGTAGCAGAATCGAATATGAATCTGCTCGCTGTGATGTTGTGGTGAGGAACCCAGTGAACCGAGAAATCGATAACGTAAAACGACACGCGCGTGCGGCATTGCATGTTCAAAGGCTGATTTGATCAAATATCATTGATGATTCATCGATTTGCTGAATTAGGGGGCATTGAGGCGCAAGGCGAAGAACAAAGGGCCTCAATCGTCTTGGCTTTGTTTCATTGATGCAGCTGGCTTCAGGTGTCACCGTCTTCCATCCCTATATTCTTTGTGCGTTTTCCGTTTTTTCCAGTCGAACCCTTGCATCACATTCTTTCCATGCGCGACAAATATTCTGGTTTCTTTGTTCCCCAAATACAGCTAGCTTCAGGTGTCGGCGTCATTCACCACTTCCCTGCCAGTGGTTGGAGTATGCATCCAGACTGATACTTTGGAAATATACTACGTGGCCGACCTGCTATTAAGTAGCTACATGAGTTGAATGAAGATGACCCATGCGTGAACTTAAAATAAACACCATTTTCTCCCCGGCTTACTAGACCCTGATTCACCAAGGTTGCATGTACCCTGGCTCTTTTGCACTACTTGAAACGGGCAATCACCCGAGCGACAACATCTCCTAGACATCTTCTGAACTCAGTACGCACAATCACTTATGGGAAACATTTATTTTTCACGTGTCAGACGTTTGGGTATATAAATAAGAGACTGTCCCCTCGTATTCCGACCATTATGCTGCTACAACACGCCGGCCAAGAAGTAGCCAACAACCTTCTGCCCTTCGACAACGAGCGATTTCCGCAATACAATAAGTGTCACCACTCCACAACTTGCATCATTCTTCTTGGATACGATGTCGTCAACTGCAACTACAGTAAATCCAACTACAATTGGCCTGGAGCTGGAATTCCTGGTGGTCAACAAACCAGGGACACCCACTAATGAAGCAGCCTCGTCCGAAGACGATCGCTGGCCACCTGTGCCGAATCCCAAAGCACATTCTGATTATTACCACGTGGAACCCCTGTTGGAGATTTGCAAGCTTCTAGAAGATCAAGGTCGCCAGGTCGCATGCATACTCGACAATACAAAGGGCCAAAATCCATTGATAACAACTCAAGACAGCAGCATTCTTCTGCGCGAAAGCAAGACAGATGGCTGGTTTCATCTCCATCGCCTCTCTGTCGCTAAGGATAAAGACATTGGAAGGCTTAGGGAAAAAACAGACTACCGAGTTTGGAATACAAAATTTGACGAAAGCCCTAAGAAGCTACCGTTGCGTTTCGCCATTTCGAATTTCGAGTTGGAGCGTACCATTGAAAGTACGCTAGATTACCCTGTCCTGGAAATGATATCACCGATCATCTCTGAACCGACACAAGAAAAGGACATCTTGGATTTGGTGGAGACACTGAGAAAAAAGTTCAAAATATCAATCAACCCCAATTGCGGCTTGCACATCCATGTCGGTTATCACTCAAATCTGCCACAGGATTCCGAGGATTCCGAGCCTTCTGAGGCTTCCGGGGTTTCTGATGATTTGGAGGATTCTGAGGATTCGGAGGATTCTGAGGATTTCAAGGCTCCCAAGACTTCCAAGGCTCCCAAGGCTCCCAAGGCTCCCAAGGCTCCCAAGGCTCCCAAGCCTTCCAAGGCTTTAATCAGAGCTAAAAAGGTAGCTGCGATAGTATTCTTGCTCGAAAAGACTTTGATCCGTGAGCTTTGTCATCCAGATCGACGATCGGCGCTGCAGCTGAAGCTTATTGGTGATGAGTCGGCATTAGCCGAAGCGGCCAAAAAAACGCCGGGTCGCGTTGTTCGTCATCCGAAATTCAACAATTTGGTAGAAAATATCTCTCAATTTCGAAACCAGTCAAAGAACAGATGCCCCGAGGAAGCTTCCGTCTTTAGATTCTTGGAAGTTCTATTTTCATATCCGATGATGGAAAATAAGGAAGGTCGACATTTCAAGAAGAATCTGCAAACCGAAAAAGGGGAGAGAACCAGTCTTGCATTTCGCAGGGATATCAAAACTATAGAGTTTCGACACTTCGAGTGTACTTTCGACACCAACATGATCAAATTCTGGATTGAGTTTGTGCGGCAGATATTGTCTATTTGCAGCAAATCAGAACTAGAATTTGAGGCCGATTTCAAAGATTTGTACGAAATGGCGACCAGGCAAGAGCAAAAGCCGAGCTGGGAGGATTGGTTGGAAAAGCTTGGTCTTTCTCAATACAGGGAAACCTGTGCTAGCTACATTGAAAGGTGCAAGGAGTCGCCTCTTGGTGAGTCTATCATACTGCCCGAGTCCTTTGATTTGTAAGGCTACGGCTGTATTTTAGCTAAGCAGGCAGGAAGCACATCTAAGAGTACGAGTGGATAATATGCCGTATTTGTGACAAGAGCTGAGAAATAGGGCTTGGAGTGTGATGGCTTAGTTTGAAGATAGTTTTATATAGTGTTAAAGGTCCTTGGTTCTTGAAGGGATGACAAGGCGGGCTTGATTTATTAGATACATGAAGGGAATAGAGATGCCTGATATTCCGAAATGCTCCGTGATAACATCGTGTAACCATCGTTTGCTGACATAGTCCGTACGACAGTAGTACTTCACACCTGCTAAGCTGCTTTTAGAGCTCAAGGCAAACGACGCACAGGGCAGCAGAGGTGGAAGAAGACATGTCGCACGGATAACGATAGTTCCAAACAAATATCACGAGACGTTATATACTGGGTCAGAAGAGTTTTGAATTCAAGTCTGCTATAAAGGGATAGCCCATAAGTAGTAGACCATCCACACATTGGGACTGTCGAGTAATGGGCACTACTTATTTCATGTTGAAGGGTTCCAAATTCAATATATACCATTATTGGAGTTACAGGAACTGTCATTCAGTAAGTTGAATATTAGGCTCTTTGAGAACAAATGAGAAGCTACCCGGTCTCAAGGAATGGCCGTTAATCCTCAGTGCTGGGTGGACTATAGCTTCTCGTCTGGAGCGGTCTGGTTAAAACGAGTAATGGAGGAGAATGAAGCCGTTGTGCTTCGCATAGCGATTTGGAGTCGTCATATGTGCCGACGATGTCGACACACAAGGCTCAGCCAGTGGCGTAATCGCCAATTATCTTTCAGTTGATCTTTCACACGCGCATTACTGTAACATCTGCTTTTGCATTCTTGGGGATAATGCCGAACTCAGCCGCGCGGAGGCTTTACAATACCACCGAATTGTCTCGGATTTAGTCATGGGCTGACGTGAGCTACCAGTAGGGACCAAGAGCTACCTCAAGTCGTCAATGCCGGTCTTGATCAAACGCTCGTAAGTCAGACATGAATTTGAGAGACGAATTTCGCTGTCGTACCAAGTTTTGAATTGGCATACACCGATACGATACGATGAATCTCTTCTCATGTCAGCGGCTTTTCCTGTTTATTCTACTCCGCAGGTGGATAAAATGCAGGCAGAATTCGAGACAGTGAGGCAGTATATGCGTCAACATCGAGACCCTACTGCATTATCCGCACTTATAACGGCTATAAAATTTGCTGTGACAAAGCGTCAGGGCACATACGCAACAGGCGGGGAGACAGAGGGAATGTTTGTCCCAAGCATCATGCTTGTAGTCACCCACACGCTTACATTCTTGTCATCATCTTCCCCCACTATGATTGCATCTTGTGGAATGATTCAACCGATAAAAACGCACATATTGGGCAATATCACGGGGAGAGAGGACAGGGTCTTGTTATAACAACGAGTCATTTGAGGGCTCCGAGCGAAGACGCGTACTCTTCGCCAAGTACTACACCTGGCAGTACACACTAAGCAACAAAGTAAAATACATGAGTTACATTGCTGTAGACAATATAATATTTAGATATATTCTAACTATTAATCGATGTGCCGGAATGGCGTAGCTTCTGTTGCCTGAATGCTTGTCTCTCTACACGGACTGCAGGTCACGCTTTTATCCGCGGCTGACTTGACATCCTCTCAATTGCACGTCCTCTAGCTAACACGGTAATCCCCATATTTGTTGGCCGTTCACTCACCTTTACACTTGACTCTTTTCTCTTCTGTCTGCCGCCGTGGATAGGTCGGGTTGTAGTAAGCACCCACTTTCTTTCCAAAAAGAAGGAGAAGGAGAGCAAGACAAGAAAGCAAAAAATAAATCATGAAATGTCGTCCCCTCACGCTATGGACTTGCCAGCCATGGGGCTGCCGCCGGGCGTGGTGCTGAATTTCGAGCGACCAACCAGCAGCAACGCCATGTGTTGATCGTCATTTCTGTGTGTCTCGCTGTCTCGACAATTGCCGTCTTGTTCCGTTTGTATTCAAGATGGGTAGTTCTGCGCAAGTTTGAGCTGCAATAATATCTCTGCTTGGAATCGTACACGATATATCTCTGGATTCCCATCATATATATCCGTCTCAGCTGGAATCCTGGTTGGTTCGTCCATCAATGGGATTTACACATGAGTGACCTGATGGAATTCTTGCGCGTAAGTCAAGTCGTCTGAAGTAATATGTCTTCAAGGCATTCCGGGCGTTTATTCCGCGTCCTAAAATTTTACAATGTATAGCTTTCCATTCCCACGACGTGCATGTTCCTCAGTCTCATCATTACGATCAAGACAGCCATCCTCGTGGAGTGGATCTGCATCTTCCTGCCAGATGGCGGCAATCAGCGTCACCTGTTCTTCTGGACGTGTCACTTCATCATCTGGGCCAATATTATTTACTGTACAGTCGTCAATCTATCTTGTGTGCCGCATGAGTACCTCTGGAACCGCACAGTTATAGGAGGCTGCTGCAGAGTAAACACGGCCTATCTGGCCCTGGCGACGGCCTGCTTGGCCTTCGCAATCGACACTATTGTTTTGTTTATTCCGCAGCGCATTATTTGGACTCGTAACATGTTGCGGCGGCGCAAGCTCGGCGACTCAATTGTGTTTACGCTGGCCATGGCTGCCTGTGTCGCGTCCATTGTGCGGCTCTATGTCACCGTGTTGAAATCCATGAGCGCCGACCTGACGTACCACTCGTCAATGGTGCAGCTGACGGCGGTGGTCGAGGGCGTGTGCGGGATTTTGGTCCTGTGCGTACCGGCGATGCCCAAGGCCGTGAGTGGGATGAAGCGGAAGGGCTATGGCATCGCGGCTATCTCGGGCAAGGCGGCAGACCAGTTGACCCGATGGCTGCGTCGGCCGCCTCGTAAGGATGATCCTGACGGCGACAGTAAGGACAAGGACGACAGTCTGTCTTGGCATATTGGATCTAGCTTGGACAGTCGTCCGCTGCCTAACATCAACGCGGACGGCCTGGGACTGGGCAATACCATCAATGGTCCGCAGCACGAGGTTGGGGGCTGCGAGCTAAGTCTCAAGACTGCTGACGAGAGATACGGGTGCCTCCGTGACGGTCATGGAACATGAATATTGGCAGTTGACGCCGGCATTGAGTAGCACAAGGCTGTGACGGACATGGACTGGGACTCATAGGATCCATAACCCAGCTTCCATACCTCAATGGTTTGACCGGGCTCCAGCGTCTTTGTGCCCAGTAAAGTCTTGCCGAGCGCCTCGCCGTTGACTTCGTCGCCGACGGCAAAAATCCGCTTCCCCAGCCCAAGGTCCAGAAGCTATCATGAGCATTCGATGCCGATGCTGCCGTTAGCACCCGTCACGAGGGCTGTCTTCAAAGTTGGGGCGTGTGACCGTAAGAATCCGAGGAGCCCAGAGGGGTATTGCTACTCGACCCTGGCATTTGATATATTAACCACAGCCTACATCCTCTAGAATACGTCGACGTACAAGTGCATGTACTGCGCACTGGCCTGTGAGTGTTGGCCCAGGTAGTTGGTGAGTTGTGATCGGCTGCCTCATCCTCTATCCCATCTGCGGGATTGAGGGCAGGCAGACATGTTTGACCTTGGTCACTTTGACAGAATTGACACGTCATAAACTTCGCCTTAATGCTTTTCTCTCGTGCAACCACCAGCGACATCGTCGTGCGCCCCACAAATTGTAACCGACTTGCACCAACGAGAACATGAAGCGGCCGGGGCGAGAGACTGTTGTCGCTTTATTCCAGGTGGCCTATTCTTGGAAGACGCTGGCGTAGCCAGTTCAAAAGAACGACATCCGCAATGGAGAAGAGAGGGAAAGAGCGTTGAATGTGTTGAATACGTTGAAAATGGAGCGACACTGTGGAGCACGGTAGATTCATTGCCTTGAAATGTTGCTTCTGAGCTGGCTAGGCATTTATCATGTCTCGGAGAGTAGTACATATGATGTTGGAGCTATCCTCATTGATACGAGCAACAAGGGCTCTATATTTTATGTAAAGTCATGATTCTGATGACATGTTGCAAAGACACTTTATCTGGCTAACTGGGTCTATTTCGGACCAGAGGCAAATAAGTTAATAACTTACAAGAGAAAAGATAACAAGAAGAAGGCTAATTTGTCCTAAGATGCTATCGGGGATGGGGACTGTTTCAATGGCAATTAAAGGTTGTTTGGCGGGGATCCAGTCTACAAACTCAGCGATACCGGAAAGAGCACGGGCGATAATAAACATGTTCCATCTTCGGATTATACCGGCGCCATATCCATCAGACAGGCGGCCGAAGAGACTTGGAATGCTGGTCAGCGTCTGAAGAGGAAGCCAGCCTGCATGTCGACCTACCCTGCGGCGTTGAATATAACTACCAAGTACTGGGCTATTTCGTCTCACATGCACGCCTCCTGAATCCCTGCGAAGCCATATAGTCGTTAGGGATGAAAATGCCCTGGGTTAGGACGAATATGCCCAGCAGCAACATGACAAACGGGAACTCTTTGAAAGGTGCAGCGAAGCGGCCGGCCCGCGTCTTCTTCGGTGCCGGCTTCACCCTTGGGCAGACTGCGAGGATTGCAACAATCTGCAGGCCGAGGATGAGAAAGGTCCCAGTCCTCATGGCCCAGGGGTACCCGACACTCCGGATTATACGACTGATCATGATGGGGAAGATGACGCCGCCGACTGATGAGCCTGTCGCCGTGGTGCCCGCGACTGCTCTGCATTTCTTGCCAAACCAGGCTGAGACACAGGCGAGGGCTTCATTGCGCAGGATTCAGTCATCATGGAATTAGTGTAGATCCAGCCTGTGCTGGAGAAAGAGCAGCACCATGCCCCTAGGACGGCCAGCCACGCAACGGTGCCCCCGTCAGGGCGACCAGAGTCTTCCGATTTCGTATCATCGTTTGGGTTCGTGATGCCGTCTTTGCTGTGCCGGTCGCCGACATCAGACTCCAGCCGTGTGGCTGTCTTGAGGTCGGATCTTGGTGTTGCATGGCAGTGGTATTATCGACGCCGTCCATGCTGGGCATGGTCAATGACTTGTGACACAAAACTGGGGGGATTATTCAAGCATGAGTTAAGTGCAAGAAGCGGCTGGTTCAATATCAATTGCTGGGTGAAGCGGAACGCTCGAGTTGTAACAGCTTGTCCGCTTCACGTACACGTACAAACGCAGGAATCCAGTCTTTATACCGATTTAATATCTCTCTCTCAGAATCTCTTGTTCTTGGCTGATTTCATGTCAGAGCACGATAGCCTGGAGAATTGTAGCATTACTTTGGCCCCAAGCTTTCTCTTGAGTTCCGCTGTGAAGACCACGAAAACCCGCTAAAATCAGGGTGGCGATCAACTCGACGTCAAAGGTTGTCAATCTGGTTGACGTCAATCAAACCAACCGAACTTAACGTAGCCTATTCTACCAACTCAACGTGATAACGATATTGAGTGGGTTACGTTGATTAGGTGTAATGGGCCAGAATTCTCCCGAGAAGCCGTTTAGATATACAACATCCTTCCTAGATGCAGAAGCCAGTGGGTGTCGCCCAAGGAAAAGATGGACCGCTGGTTTCACCAACACTTTCGATGGTACAGACCACAAACGTCGACTTCGGTGCCACAAAACACTTCCAACCAGCCTGGCACGGGATTTATGCATATAGATGCAAGGTATAGACGTCAATCAATTCGAGCTTGGCCCCCGAGCACACGTCGGGTATCTCGTTGGCTACCACGCCAGCAGTATCTATAACATCTGGGCCACCAAGATCAATCAGGTTATCCTGTCCCGAGACATACGATTCAATGAAGAGGAATTCTTTGACCACGCAAAAGAGCGACTCGGGATTCAGCCAGTTGTTATAGGAAGTACGCTCCTTAGAGAGCAGCTCTACAGGAGCACACTCAATGGTAGAGTGCTTTTGAGTGTTCATTGCCAACGTAACTTCTATGATTTCATTGACCCGTTCAGTAGATCCGCTATCCGTTTTCCAAGCTCTAGGCTTTGCTTCCACCACTCCATTGGCTTGCTCAACCAAGCCTCGGGTTTGGGGTGATCTTGGTGCTCCGTTGATAATCTGGACCCTATACTTACGCAGCAACAGCAACGGTCTCGAGCCGCCGGTTCCGGAATCGTTCCGGCCACCTCGTATATTAGAGCCAAGGCGTTGTCTTATTATTGGTATATGAGCACTCTTGGTTCTCACGCCATATCTGGCTTTTCCTAGCTTGTAAACGAGTACTCTTAGCTGTTTCTTGCGCGAGTAGTATATTATTATAGTTTTATAGAGGGATAAGTAGAGGCGGCGATTATTTAAGAGGACTATTAAGAAGCACTTTATAGGGGGAGCTTATAGGGGGAGGTATTAGAAAGTGTATCAAGATATAATAGTAAATAGTAATTTATATTAGTTTATATATATCAAGCTGAGGTGATATTTAAATAGGTGATTTTTAATATTATTGTAACTGCTAAAAGAAAAGAGAGAGTCTTCGTCTTATTTATTTAGTTACTGCAAGTCAACTCTAATAAAGAGTAAAATTAATGGGCGTAATTTTTTAGAGGAAAAAGGATAGAGCAGAGGTCTCGGCAAGTGGGGCCGTGCCGTGCCGGGGTGGGGCATTTCGCACAAGAAAGGATGATAAATAACGTTGATTGGACGAGATCGGCATGGGTACGCTTTTTGGAGCAAAAACTGCGGCTAGACTAGAAGGCCTGTACACATTCTGGTAGAAAAATCGGGGCGTTAACGAATGGGCACGCAACCCGAGCTGTCCTCATTAATAGGTCAATACATATGTACTTATGTATGCCTAGTCCTCAGACGAGTGGCGGCTACCTTGGCTAGCTGGGTCAAGGATCCGCCGGACATCATCTCGAGCACGCTCATCTCGATACCTACCACTTGCCGGAACCATCGTCTTAGTTCGGTTGCCATGAGCGAGTCAAGTCCCATCTCTGGTAGGGTCAGTTCGGTGTCCACCTCATGGCTAGGCCTCAGCAGGAGGTCGTTCACCATCGCTCCAACCTCGCACGCCAGGACTTGGATGCTAGCTTCATCTTCCAAGATGGTCACATCATTCGAAATCTGATTGAGCAACGACTTGAGCACGCCCGAGTTGCAACCCTCTGTATGTATCTCGCCGGAAATGTTGTGGTAGCTCCCCATTCGTCTGTCATGGCGCCAGCTGCAGCGATTCATGGCGTCCTCCAAAGGCAAATCCGACCGCAAGCCCATCAAGACCTGACTTGTATTGCTCCACGCGGTCAAGGGTTCGTTGCAAGAAATCGGCCCCGTGTTGCATGGCACTGCTCCCGCCTTTGCTGTCAGGAGGGTGAGTTCAACAAAGTCGAGATAGTTCTTCTCGCCGAGGTAGTAGGCTCCTTGCAACCTCATATTTCTTCGCGCTGTGGCGCTCTCTGCGATATACCCGGCCCCCCTTATCGGGGAAATGTTCAACACGGCTGTTGGCAACCCGAGATTTCTCCTAAACTGGCAGAAGGCCTCAAGGAACGAGCTGGACGCTGCATAATTCCCCTGCCCTGGATGGCCAATGACGCTGACCAAGGAGCTGGCGATCCAGAAGAAGTCCAACGGGCGCTCCGCGAAGGCGAGGTGTAGATTCCACGCGCCGCTTACCTTGGGTTTTGTTACCGCATCCCACTGTTCCCATGTCATGTCAACCATGGCGCTGTCCCGCAGCACCATGGCAAGATGGAACACCCCTCGGATCGGTGCCACCGAGGAGTTGATGGCCGTCTGTACATTGTCCATGTTTTCTGCAGCTCCGGCGACCAAGGTGACCTGGCAGCCCATACGCTCGAGCTCTAGTTGCGTTGCCTTGCTCATTTCACTCACCCCTGCGCTCCTGGATAGAAACGTTATCGATCTGGCCCCATGCTCGACGAGCCATATGGCCATGGATCGGCCAAGGCCTCCCAACCCTCCAACCAGTAGGTATGTAGCCTTTGAGTCGAACTCGATGGGTTTTGCCCAAGCCTCGGCCTCATTTTCGATATCCCCGAGGGCCATTGAAACCACCACCTTGCCCATATGGCTTCCGTTCTGAAGGTGGCGAAAAGCATCCACAACGTCTTTCGCCCGGAAGCAAGACATCTTTGGTATTGCTTTTAGCCGGCCATTCTGGTACTCAGCAAGGAACCGATTCAGCGTGTCACTGACTTGGTCAGGCCGCTTCCTTGCCAACTCAAGACCATCGAAACAAGCATATTGGCGATTGCCCAGAAACGGGTGCATGTCTAGCTGCCCGTGACCCAGCAGATCTCGCTTCCCAACCTCGATCATGATGCCGAACTCGGCCACACATTTCCATGAGGCGTGCAGTAAGTTTCCTGACAAGCTGTTGAGGACAAGATCGACGCCACGATTGTTTGTTGCCTTCATGATGCCATTCATGAAGGATTCGTCTCTCGATGAGAAGATGCGTGCACGGGGGATGCCCTCCTTATCCACGAGATGGTTGAGTTTCTCATCGCTCCCCACGGTGGCATAAATCTTGGCCCCGACCATGTTGCAAACTTGGATAGCAGCCATACCAAGGCCGCCACATGCCGAGTGAATGAGTACGCTCTGTCCGCCTTTCAAGTTGCCCATGTCGAGGAGCGTCTTGATTGCAGTGTGGAAGACAGCGGGGATTGTCGCGGCCGCCTCAAATTTCATCCCCTCTGGCATCTTTGCGACTAGCTTAGAGTTAACAACGACCTTGGTGCCAAAACAACCATTGGGGGTCAGCGCCAAGACCCTGTCTCCAGGTTCAAACCCTCTGACATTAGACCCAATGGCAGAAATGACTCCGGAAGCATCCAGACCCAGTGCTCGCGGGGTTGCTCCCCTTGGGTTGTACACCCCTGAGGCTATGAGGACATCTCGAAAGTTAATGCCGACAGATTTGACCTCTATCTCGACGGCCCCAGGAGGGAGAATCCGGGGGAGTTCCTTTTTCACCCAATGAAGCGCTTCTATAGCACTGGGATTTCCTGACTCCAAGGCCACAAGGGTGTTGGCATCCTCGGGGGTGCTCAAGCGTACAAGCTCCTTCTGGAGTAAAAATGGATGATATCGTCCCACGTAAACAATCCCCTTTTCCACGACAAACTCCCTGTCGGGCTCAAGATTATCCTCATCGTCTTGCCGTCGAATTTTCAGCAAGACTTGGAGTACAAGCTCAGCGAACTCTGCTTCGCACTTCTTTATCTCCAGAGTATGATATTTCAGTCCTAGTTCTGCTCGAATGGTTCTTGCAACGCCGATGGATTGTGCTGCTCGTGGATCGATGCAATTTATCTGAGCGGGATTCGTCAACCATAGGAGGTTCTGCGCCGTACTGAGACATTTAAGGGTGTTTTGGAATTTCTGGAAGCTTTCTTCTCCGATGTCTTGGAAGAAGCACTTCTCAAGATCGACACACATGATGACGTCCTGCCCAGTCGGCAACTCTTCTCCCATCTCGAAAATCGTTGTAACAAATTCAATTTGTTGCAGGGCTTCAATTAGGGACCTTGCAACCACCCCCTGCGGCTCACAGGTGACGAGAGACACCATTCTTTCCTGCGGCAGTTCTTCCGACATCCTTTTCGACACAATCGTCATGGATAATGCATACGGTGCCTCCTCGTCGTGTATGACTTCTTCAATGCCCGTAAAACCTGATGCCAAAAGTTCCTCATGCCATCTCGAAGGGTCAACAAAAGGCTCATTTGTGCGGCCGTCGTTCTCCCCCAGCCACCAACCCTCGAAGTGCCCGAAAACGTAGCCCGGAGACCGGGACTGAGTATAGAGTTCTGACAATAAAAGAACTCCCCCAGGCTTAAGCAGTTTATTGAGATTGCGGAGGCTTTCCTCGAGTGATGGGGTGGCGTGAACAACGTTGGCAGCTATAATGAGGTCGTAGGTTGCTGGCGTGAACCCTTGTTCTATGGGATCTCTGGTAATATCAAACACCATGTACTCCATGTTTGGGGCGTGAGAAAAGCGGTCCTTGGCTTGAGGGAAGAAGCCAGCCGAAACGTCGGTAAATGTGTAGGCCGAATACTGAGGCAACCCCCCTTGATGCAACATGTTGCGAAGAATATGCTCGGTCGTCCCGCCGGTGCCCGCACCGACTTCGAGGATCCTCAATTTTGGCCTTGTGCAGGACATGATGCGGACCAGGTTGCCGTAATCAAAGCTAACGGCATCGTAAATTTTGGTCAGCACTCCATCCGTCATGAGAATATCGATGGTGTCCTCTTCGCCCTTGAATATGCGTTCGCAGTTATCGTGGATGAGTTTCAAGCCTCGAGCGAGAGCGTCCCTGGTCGTTCCCACAAGCGCGTCATGTCGGTTGGTAATCATGACTCGCCGCTCCTCACGCGAGATGCCAAAATAGCTAGCGAAATTCGGTACCAAAGGGTTGTTGCTTGTCGTCGCCTCCCGTACCACAAGCTGAAGCCACCGCCGCAGTTTCGCAAAATGAGGCCGGGCTGGTGGAAGCTTCTCCAGTCTCTCGGCGCTGTCAAGGATACATAGGAGCGCCATTTCTTCCAGCACATGTCCATGATTACGGCTGGCCGGTGGCGTCTTGATGAGCTGTTTCGCCTTGACAAAGTCCGCATCGGGTAGCCACTCGAGCCTTGCTGCAGCATGAACATCATTCTTGGTCGGGCCACCCCCGACGGACTCCAGTCTCAGGCCGGACAGGCGAAGCGCCATCTCCCCATCTGCTGTGGCCTCAATCACCTCTCTGCTTTCCGCGACGGACTCCCAGGCCAAGGCAGTCATGCGGTCGCCGTGCGGGAAGATGTCTAAACTCTCAACTTGAACTGGAACAAGCTGTGTGATATCTCTACAAAGCCCCTTCACTTGAGCTACAATGAAAAGTTGTATGCAGGCGTCGATAACCAATGGGTGCATGGTAAACGCTTTTCGGTCATCTTTGCTCGGTACAGCGATGTTTGCCGAGGCAAGACTGGTCGACACAGACGTAGAAATGCCTCCCAGTCCCCTGAACTCGGGCCCGAGGTTGATGCCTTGGACGCCAAGAGCTTCATAGAGCCGAGAGGCGGCCACCTTCCTGGGGAGTTCCTCTTGTTCAAGAGTGCTGCAAGGTATACGCCGAAGTGGCCGGACTTGTCCTTCGACATGCTTGATCCAGTTTGCTCCGTTGTATGAGCAGATGCTGAAAGTGAACCACGACGAACTGTCGGAATCTGTGAGGCGATGAGGATGCAAGGTAGTGATGATCTCTGTATCCCTGGTGTCGGTCAGGACCATGGCAACGCGGGCGACCGCATGCCTGATACTGTATCCCGCTTCGCCAGTCATCTGTCGCACAGCCTCACCAGCCATGGCGACATAGCAAGCGAGAGGGAAAACGACATCCTGATCAACCTTGTGGTCCATCAGCCATGGTTCTTGCTCGAGGGAGAGTATGTTTCGCCACTGTGGCTCGAGGTCGGGCGATTCCAGAGTCCGTGATCCGAGAAGGCAGTGGTGTGGATGGCTGCGCTTGCGCCAGTCTCGAGCCAACCGGCTCTCGTACCAGAAAGAGTTGCTGTGATCCCAGGAGTATTCTGGAAGTCCTGAGATGGCTTTGGCGCTGGTAGGGTAGAGTGCTGCCAAGTCGAAAGGAACCCCTTCCTGGAATAACCGGCCAAAAGCAGACAAGATGCTTGCCGCGCTACTTTCTCCTCGCATGACAGCCGATGCGTAGCTGCAGTGCCGACCAGCCCCGGCGCAGATCTGTCGCACAGGACCAGCCAGAGTCGAGTGCGGCCCGACTTCCAACATGGTGCCGTCACCCTTTAGCTCCATCAGCTTGCTGACGGCTGCTGAAAACCGCACAGTAGAGATGAGGTTTTGGACCCAGTACTTGGGGTTAAAAGCATGGTATGGGCTCACGGCGTGGCCTGTCACACTTGATATAAAGAGTGAGGTTGCAGTGTAGTGCCACTCGCCCAAGGTTACTAATCCTCTCGAGAGGAGTTCCTCATACTCTTTTGCCAGAGATTCCATCTGATCTAGTAGATGGTTAGTATGATTTGCAGCTCTCGAGGTTGAGGGAGAGGGGCTCACGGGAATGGTAGGCTATGTCCACGTTCAAGAGTTTGACCGGAACCTCCGGTAGCTCTGACCGTATTAGTGAGACAGTATCAAGAATCTTGGGACGGTCGCCAGATAACGTTGTGCTCATGGGACTATTTTCGCAAGCAATCTGGACGCCGTTTACAATGAATCTGGAGAGTTCCCGAGGCCCGAGTCCTACTGCAGCCATGGCTCCTTTGGCTTTCCCCAATCGCATTACATGGCCGCGGTAGTATGCGATCACAATGGCAGCCTGCATTGAAATGGCACCCGACGCGTACGCAGCCGCAATCTCGCCACTTGAGTGACCGACGGCAGCCGTGGGCTCAATGCCCGCCCTGGCAAACTTGTTAAACAGGGCGACCTGAAGAGCGGTGCACACGGGTTGTGATATCTCGGCGGCACCGAGTCTAGTGTGCTGGGGCGGCTTCAAGAACTCATCTGAGTACAGTGTTAGATCCTGGAACGATCAGAACGGTTTCAGTTTCCTCACTCTGCAAAGACCAGTCTGGAGCTGGGCTGAGCGCCTGGAGTGTTTTCTCCATTGTTTCAATATCGGCTTTAAACAAAGCATCTGAATCCATAAGCGCCTTTCCCATGCCAGCCCATTGCGCGCCTTGCCCGCTGAATATCAGATACAAGTTTGGTGGGCTTATCGGCGACTTGACAATGCTAGGGGCATCTGTAAACCTGCCGTCGTCGAGGACCGTGTACCCACGATATGGTAGTTTCTCGCGTCTAGTGGCAAGCGTGTAACCGACGTTCCTATGATTCAGAGGATCCGATTGTTGTAGGAACTGCTTGTATCGCGCCAGCTGGCCCTTGAGGGACAGCTCGGTGTGTGCAGACAAGAGGAAGAGCCCGGGACTCGACTGAGGGCGCTCACGCTGTGAGGCATAGCCACGGTACGATTCGACAATAACCTACGCGTAATCATGTCGTTAATAGGGCGCCGGGCGGCGGGACACACGGAGATACGCACATGGGCATTGGTGCCACCGAGACCAAACGAGTTGATGCTGATTCTCTCAGCACGGTCACTGGGGAATGCGGTAGGCCTGATGGGCACTTGAAGACCCCTGGCTGTGAAAGGAACTGGTCGACAATTATCAACATCTGCGAGGTCTAGACGGGTTTGGGGGGCCAGAGCTGCATCAGTCGACTTTGCGTCGTGAACAACAAGAGGCTGCAATCCACCAGCTTACTTTTCGGGTTCGGTTGAACAAACTTGATGTTGGGTGGAATGATACGGTGCTCCAGGGCCAGAATGGCCTTGATGAGGCCATTGAGCCCAGACGCTCCCTCGCTATGGCCGACATTCGGTTTGACAGAGCCAATGTAAACGCCTCGATCGCCAAATATGCTGCCAACTGCCGTCGTCTCGACAACGTCTCCGACGGCTGTGCCGGTTCCATGACACTACAAGTCAACCATGCCAGGTTAGCTAGCTGTCTGCATGGGGAAGCCGTCACGTCGGCCTTGCAAGAACAGTACATGGCCTCTGCCCTGGTGTTGAACGCACCTCAATGTATGCAGTCTGGCACGGGTCCAGGCCAACATCTTTGTAAACCTTGCGGATGAGCGCCGCCTGTGACTCGGCGGTGGGATTAGTTAACCCGTGACTCTTGCCGTCGGAATTGGTGCCCGTGCCACGTATAACTGCCCGTATTGGATTGCCGTCTCGCAGTGCCGTTGAGACTGGTTTTATATAGATTGCGCTGACGGCTTCCGCCCGACCAAATCCGTCGGCCCGCGCATCGAATGTTTTGCAGGAAGCATCCGGTGAGAGGATGCCGTCCAGTCCAAAGGCGGTTGTGACCACCGTTGTCAGAATGACGCTGGAGGTTGCAACAACAGCGCTTATTGCGTCGCCGTTTCGAATCGACCGGCATGCCTCGTGAAGCGCGACCAATGCGGCTGAGCAGGCCGTCTTGATTGTCATACTTTATATTCGATGGTCAGCCAAACAAGGTTGTATGGATGAAACTGAAGTGGACAAACCTTGGGCCCTTGAGATCGTGTTCATAGGACAATCTGTTAGACAGCATGTAATCTTGGGATCCTGTGAGGATATAGCCACCCTTGTGTTGCGTCTCCTTTGCCGCCATGTGCAGCCAGTCGTCTGTGTACGCACCAACAAAGCATCCAATAGGCTGCCCGCGATAGTTGATTTCCCCTGCATCATCCAGGGCTTCTTTGGTGACTTCGAGAAGCTGCCGCTGCTGCGGATCACATCTCTCAACTTCCTGCCGCGTCATTGATGTCAGGGAGGTGTCGAGCCGAGTGAAATCCTCGTCCAGAAAGTAGCCGCATTTAGACTTGACAATCTCTTTTCCTCCCAGGGAGTCGTCAAAGGAGTCGACATTGTATCGAGTCTCAGGAACTGGACCGATGGCATCCTTGCCGTTGATGAGAAGATCCCAAAAGTCACGAGTGTTGCGGATTCTGCCAGGCAGTCGCACCCCGATACCACACACGGCCACTAGATATTCGTCTCCAGGTGTACTGTGATCGAGACTACCGTTAGGACAGCCGCTGAACATGTCGTTGACTTTATCGGCGCATGGGTTTCTGGATACAGGTTTTTTCCTTCCGAGCTGGGTATTGTGGCTGAACGTTGAGAACCCTATGAGTGATTTAGAAAGCTTAATCACGTTGGGAGGCCAGCAGCCAATATATAGCTAGCAAGGGCCACTCCGGCCGCGGAATTTTCCCAATTACTCTCGCAACTCTCCTCACAGCTCGTTCAATAGAGTGTCTTCGTTTTCCTGGACAAACTCAGCGGGTTTTCGAAGCAGTCGCCGAGCGATACCAGCCCTGTCAGGTAATGTGGGTCAGCCAACTCACAAGAATTACCTAAATTCATATATTACTTGACTATTTGGTAGAAGTATTTCAATAAAATAGATGCTACTGGGCCCGCCCCGTTCTTGTGATGCTGCTCAGTAGCCGGGAGCCAGTGATTGGAAAGGTCCAGACCAGACCAAGTCACCAAGCCACTTTGGTCGGACAGGCTGAAGCATGTGCTGCACCCACCGGTAACAAAAAAGAAAGTACGTTTTCCTATTGCATTTATCTTGTCGTCGTCATTCATATTATCTTCGCTTTCACATCCCCCATCAGGCCCCCCATCTGAGGCCCGGAAATCTCCTAGGCCTCCATACGCGCCTTCATCCTGCTTCGCTAGTAAACAACAGTAAGCCTGGCAGTCCTAAAACACACCCAGAAGCTCTAGAGGGAAGGGAGCAAGATCGTCAGTCGGTAGAAATTTCTTGCTCGGCGCCGGCGGCATAGGGTAGAGTGAGTGGCTTTTGGACAACGGACGGAAAGGGAAGACGTCAAAGTTGACGTCGCGGTCCATGAGGACGACAGAAGTACAAGCCACATAAGCATCGTAGAAGTGCTTTTGAGCGCCAACTACAATAGGTAATTCATGCTTGTTCAATGAGTGCCGACTGGGGAAGAGAGCCCATGAAATCCTCAGACCCGACCATTCCGATCACTGCTGGACGCAACAACGTATTGGCCATCGTTGGCCTATAACAGCATCTCGTCACTTCAAAGGTGCGATACAGCTGACAAAATAGTCCAACTATCTTCCCAAAATTGCAAACAGTAAGTGAGAATTTGTATATTATGTCTCCTCAGGTACAAGCCTCTTTGCATCTTGGATTAATTCATATCGCCAAGTCAAAAAATATATCACAGCGTCTTCCTCTTTGTCTCTAGCAAGATACGATGGACTCGGCATCCGGCCAACTCTAGAGCTTCATATCATGCGAATAAGCAATGGCCAATCAGGAGCGTCACAAGTTTTGCATCATTATCGGTGCTGGTCCCGGTGGCTTGATCCAGGCGGCAGAGCTGTTGCGTCAAAAAGTTTTGCAAGCAAAGGACATACAAATCCTTGAGAGAAACGATGATTATGGTGGCGTCTGGAAAAGAGCGACGTACCCTGGGGCCGCTTGCGATGTATTCAGCTGCCTCTACCAAGTCAGTTGGCATCGAAACCCGGGTATGTTTGCCTGACAAGACCCCAAGCCCAAGCATGCTTAATGCATCTACTACGAATGACACTAACCATTGTCATATCCAGACTGGCAGTGTCTCTTTCCGAGTCGCTCAGAGCTCATTGAATACTACAAAAACTTCGCCAAGCATTACGGCCTTTCCGCATGCACGTCGTTTGGACAACATGCCGTGCGGGTGACATGGGCTACGGAGAAATCGCTATGGATTGTTGAAACAAAAGACTCTGAGTCTAGAAATTACAGGCGGTGGACTTCTCGTGTCTTGGTCCAGGCCGTTGGGACCTTCAGCCAAAAACATACACCTGCAATTGCTGGACTAGATCGGTTCAAGGGGGAAGTGTGGCACGCGGCAGACTGGCCCGAGGACTACGACTTCACGAACAAGACTGTGGCATACGTGGGAACTGGTCCAACACTGGTGCAGGCGTTACCACACATGCAAGCGAAGGCCAACCTGGTCCATGTGTTTTGCAGGAGCATGGCCTACTGCCAACCGATGCCCAACTTTGAGTATCCTTTATGGGCAAGGCGGGCCTTCCGGTGGACTCCCGCCCTGCTTCGTATCTATGCCTTCATTCTTGCAAGCGCCTTCTTTATTTGGCTATACTTTGCCTACAGGCCCGGGTCGTGGACCGCCAGGCTAACAGAAAGGGGTTGCCGCTGGTATCTTTACCGAGAGGTATCCGACGAACACCTCCTCAGCATATTGACCCCCGCAGGTCGATTTGGATCCAAGAGGCCGCTAGTCTCGTACTCGGGATTCTTTAAAGCCTTGCAGAAAGACAATGTTCGGGTGATCAACTGCCCCATTGTTGCCATGGACGAGTTTGGTCTTATTGTGGAAACACCAAGATCCAGCGATTCCAAGAGGCGTATAGAGGTATTGGAACGTGGCGAGGATCATACTGAAGAAATTCAGTCTATGGATCAGACCATTCATGTGCAAGCAGACGTACTTATTTGGGGAACTGGCTTCAAGGTGCAGGAATGGGGTGGAACAGTGCCTACGATAGGGCGTACAGGTGAAACACTCCGTGAGCACTGGGATCATTATCCAAACACACTTTACGGTATGTAACATGGGCACTGATGGTCCCATTGGAGGCAAAGCTCAGATTTCAGTACAGGAACCATGACATCGGGATTCCCCAATCTCTTTTTCATCAACGGCCCCAACACCACGCCACCTTGGGCAAGCCCAATTCAGGGATTCGAATTACAAGCGGCCTTGAACACCAAAGCCATCCGACATATCCATCAGCGATCCCTCAAGTGCCCAATCTACTCTCTCGAGCCTCGCAAAGAAAAGGAGGAGGCTTGGACAGAAGCAATAAAAGCGCATCTGAACAAGCTCGCTACTAGTCCCAGCCATGACCCTACAAACTACTATCTCAATAAACAGGGCCAGAATACTTTCTTTTGGCCGTGGTCCCACACGTATTACTGGTGGAAGGTGAGACAGTTTCGCCTTTTAGATTACATGGAAAATTGCAAAAGTCTAAACTAAACGACAAGACTGGTGAACGTCACAGCGGAAACGAGTGCGTTGATTGTGCAAGGTAGAGATGCTATCAAGGCAGGCTAAGATGGAAGGCGTAGGCTGGGTCATGGACTTGCTATTGCATCTTGTTTAACTTTATTGACCGAACATGCTCCAAGATGCGTTGTCCCATGTCACGCGGATAGGTGACGTGGTCTTCCAAGGCCGGCTTTCAAGTTCCATTGCAGCCGATTCCGGCTGCAACTGCAAAAAAGGACGCTTTGTCACGGTTCACAAGGAGGTCTAGATTGAAGCCCAAGGCATCAAGGACCTGAACACCTCAGTCATCTAGGTCACATTACACCCACACAAGGCATTGTGTACATATACAGGTCACAGTTAAGAGATGGAATTGCTCAAGGACCTTTGATACTAAAGCCGATTATTAGAGTTGAATTGAGCTATTGCTCCACGCCCCCTGAACCACGAGCTATTATCACATGCTATGCCACACATATTTTTCAAGCACACAGTACATGTTGATGCATTTGGCTTATCAAGGATGATGCACCGTTTGCGACATACACTTTTCAATTGATTTACCGCACACACAGCGATCCTTCAAACTAGGTATTTGCTAAAGCCCTTGGTCCCGAAATCGGTGAACAACGTGTTTATATATCCCTGTGCTCCTGAAATAGTACAAGGCGTGTCTCCTCCGGTGTTTCCTCAAATATAGTTTAGTCACCGTGCCTGCTCAAACAATACAGCACGTCTCTAGCATTTTTCACCCGCCCTGCCATGCGGTCGATGTACATCAAGCAGTGCCAATACTTCGCCCGTGTCCAGTGCCCGATGGCTAATTCATTCAGGTGTATAGGAGAAACCGGATTCACATCCAGTATCACATGACGGCCCGAATTCGCATCCGCAGCGTTAAATTAATTATCCTTAAGTTTACCTTTATTCTCGGCATTTTCTCCCTGCAAAGACGTGGACTCCCACATACTATGCCCGTCTATATTTGCTATACTTTCCCAAAGATGACCGTCAATATCTGCGAAGCTCCTGCAATATATGCCGTACTGGGCTCCGCTAGTTTCGACAGTATAAGGATCCGCCTTGCCACCAGCTGCAGCTGCTGTTTTCACAAGCTCGTCCACTTCTTCCTTGGTTTCTTTAGTTATAGTGAAGATAACCTCGGTAGTCTCGTTCGAGTTTATGACTTTTGTTCCAGGGCGGACAAACTGAGAGAATTGGTCTTCTTCAATGAGAAGAAGAGCAATATTGTGGCTAAGTCCTGGCAAGCGAAATGCAGTTGATTTTGGAAATAGCCATTTCATGTTCTGTTGGAATTCGATAGCGCGAAAGAATTTTGTCGCTGTTTCGAGCTGTAATGTGCTCAGCGAGATGTAGAATACGGGCTCTGCTTCTATTATTTGCGGCATGGTCGATTTCTTGCGCGTATCCCGTATGTAGAGAGTTGGAAAATAAAGTAGTTACTAATAGTTCTCTTCAAGTATCGTGTTACGTTTAATCGAAAGGAATTTTATTTCTAAGGTTGAATACAAAGTAGGCTGTAGAGGTAGTATTTATATTTCACTTCAGTTGTCGCGTAGACTATAGGCTAATATTCGAGTTGCTAGAAAAAATTAATTTAGCAAGGTTACACTTTTGCCCGTTTGAGCGCAATAATAGCACTTAGTAAACAGTTGGAACTGCAACCTGGAAGCCTAGAATCCTAGTCTTCCTACTATAAGTTTACTGCTACTATTACTAGAAGCTAAATAGTACTAGCTATTCCCAGCCCTAGCACATAGCGTTAGCTACTGTGACAGTCTGGACTACCGCCGACCTTGTGTTACGGATATTGGAGCCCGTAAGGTGCTAGATAGAACAGTCGAGAGAGCACTGACTACAAATGTAGTCCAATTGATATGTTGACCCTTTTGGCTCAATAGTTAATGGGTCAGGCCACAACCTGCGATAGCTGTCGGGCAAAATCCACTGAGGGGCTAGACCTTAGTGGACGCGCACCTCTCTAGAGTACCTGAGGCTAATCTAAATTAAAAGACCTGGCGGGAATATTTATAAAATAACTAAGAGCTTAATTTAAATTAAAAAACCTAATAAGAATATTTATAAAAAAACTAATAATCTAGGTAAATTTATAAGCAAAAGCCAGGATAGCCGAGCTTACGTAAAAAGCCTTATCGTGGAGGTCACGGTAGACGTTACTTATTATATAGTTAGGGAACACAGGTATTACTAGGAACTAATATACTGATAATTAAATAGCTGAACTTAGTAGAGCCTCTAAAATCTAGACTAAAGCTGGTTACGCGGTTATTTTACCACCGAGGTAGTAATAGTAGTTGGAATACTGCTGCCTAGAGCAGGACTCGAGCTTGAGGAAGGGTCGACAGCGAGGTTCTTTAATATCTAGATTACCCCCTTAAAATCTAAAACGCTTTACCTAGTTAGTACTAATTATCTTACAGTATAAAAAGATAAAGTTAATATAAGAGTTATAAAAGTTATAATAGTTTAAGTAGTTTAAGTAGTTCTTAGTATTACTAGCAAATTTGTATTTTTTCAGAAAGTTACCTATTAGTTTTTGTATATTATAATAGGCGTAAATAATAGAAATTTAATTATTGTCAAATTATAAAGTAGACCTAGTACTTATTATATTATAAAGGATACAAAGCGGAGTTATTTAAATAAACTTTTGTAGCGAAGTAAGGTAAATAATTCAGGGGCAAATAGCCAGGCCCTACTTCTTTGGGATTATCTAGTTGCGCCTCGTTTTGCCTTGGACTACACAAAATTATCCCTGTCCGCACCAAACCCTTATTATATTTAGAGAAAAACTTAAGAACTGATACAATACAGCCTTCGGCTAAATAAAATCGAATATCTCTATAAAAATAGTAATTAATACTATTTTATAGTAAACGTATCTAGGAGTGTAGAGTTATCTTCTCCTAGCTGCTCGACCGTATTACTCTGAATAATACGTACTTGCTTTTCACCTCTTAGACTAATCCTGTAAGGGAAGTTAACTAAACGGCTAATCATCCCGTGCGTTGGCTTGCAGGCTGGCTTTATTTCGACGCCGTTTTTGTCAATCGCCTTGCTAATGTTGAATATAGCTAGAGTCTGTGCAATGGTTAAGAAAATAGTCGCGTTGGCGAGATAGCGCCCGAGGCAAATTCTGCGCCCGTACCCAAATATACCAGTCGGATCAGGCTCGTTTCTTGGCTCTAGGAACCTCCCCGGGTCAAAGGAACTTGGATTAGAGTACACTTGAGGGTCATGGCAGAACCACCATACTGCAGGACTAAGAATTGCCCCCTTCGGAATCAAATAGCCGCTGTATGTAATATCTTCAGTTGTTTCGTGAGCTGAGCCCATAGGTGCGACAGGAAACCAGCGCAATACTTCCTTTACTATGCTGTCAATATATGGGAGCTTCTCTTGGTCCTTGAAACTGGGTAGTCGCTCGTTGCCAATTACTAGATCGATCTCCTCTTGCGCCTTGCGTTGCACTTCAGGGAACATAATCATAGCCAAGATGCAGGCGTTCAAGGTTGTTGCTGACGTATCCGAGCCACCGGCATATAGAGTTCCTGCTGTGTACTTGATTGTATCCTCATTATCGCGGCTAATCTTTAGCTCCCCAGTATCCTTATTGAACTGCTCGACTAGTTTAGATACGTATGATGGTAGATAGCTGCCGCTCCTCATCTGTCTGAGTACAAAAGAGTAAGGAACATCTACCATTAAGTCGGACATCTTGTGAGTTCTTCGTGCTATCTCCTTAAACCCCATACCAGGCAGCCAATCAGGTAGGTAGGAGATAGCAGGTATTATATCAACTAACCAGTAGAAGGGTTGAAGCGCATGAGAGAAGGCGAGCATCACATGCGAGATCAAGTCAACTAGAGGGTCAGTTGTATCGTGGTTTGTAGAATAACCGTAAGTAATCTTTAGAATAATAGAGCCAACTTCGCTATTACGCAATTATCAGTTAGCTTACACATGTTATATAGGTAAGTTCCAATATACACGTGCATCCAACTTACGTTCTTAAGAGCTGGAATAGATCTTCTGGCCGGGCAAAAAGTCGCGCGAGGAACCTCCCCACTTCACTTTCTATAGCCTCATAATAACGCGCAACAGCTGCTTTTGTGCCCAGCTCCTGGTGCATAAGCTTGCGTTCCCGTCGGTACATGTCGTTGTATGGGAGTTGAGATAGAAATCTCCAGAAGCCACATAACTGGAACGCGAATACTGTAGTAGGTTTAAATGATGTTACTGCGGACATCTTGTCTAGGAGATCATTTGCCGCCTGTTTGTCATGGATAATAATTCGAGTTCTACCCATTACTGTAATGGAAAAAATCGGGCCGTATTTTTCCTTATACTTGAGCCAATGCTGATACTCCAGGGTGCCTGGGGGAGGCGTGTCCATAATATTGCCCACGATTGGTAGAGGTTTTGGTCCAGGAGGAAGGCCACGAACTGGCCGCATCCGCAGGTGTTGTTGGTAGACGACAAAGCCTACTATAATAATACCAAAAACTGTTAGAAGTAAACTTGCCATAGTAAATTTTAAGTATAATAGAACCTTATAATAAGATAAAGAATTTATTATATTATAATACGGGCTTACTCGAAGGATTAGCCGGGAACGCAGAATTATATAGTAATCGAATAATAGGTATTTCCTGCGCTACAAACTCTTAGAAAGAAAGAGAGCCAGGCTAGATAGAGAAAATAGAGAATATACGTAGATAGTCTTCCCCCAGAGGGTTTGACTATTTTGGCTTGTAGGCAATAGCCAGGCTTATTCGAGTAGATAGAATATCACATATAAAGTAGAGAGGGGAGCCGTTTACTGCTATTACACGGTATATAAGCGGCGGATATAACTACACGTGAAAAGTAACTTCTAGCTATCGTATATTTTAGGTGACAACTATTAGTCATGTTGTTAATATAGTAGTAAAACAAATATTCTTTGGCCAAGATTACCGCTGGGCGTTATTCAACGATTTGCTAGGCAATAATATAACAAGCATAAATTACTAAAACCAAAGCAGTTGTCTAGGGACTGTGGCAAGTCGGATACAAGAATATATTCTCCAAGGATAAAGACTCTGATTTGCCTGTAAATAATAAGTTTACAGCCCTGCGTAATAGCAAACAAGGGCTGATTTCTCAGATGCAGGCTTGTAGTAATAGGTCTCTCGTAGCGTTTCCTTCCGCATCGTTTATTAGGGGGCCAAATCTTAGTAAGTATAATAAGTAGCACTATAATATAAATAATTTTAACGCCTAATTTATTAACCTATATAAATACTAGTATAATAGGCGATTTAAATACCTAAAACTAAGTAAAATAATACTAGATTTACTTAATATATCTATCTATACCACAGCCGCGAATTTGTGTAGTGGTGTGTAGGAGCTTTGAAGCCTGATATTGAATAATAGTAAAATACAGCTCTTTTCAATCTCCATGTAACGTCCGCTGCGGCGGACTGGTCACTCGAGCGAGGGTTACTCTACGAATGCAAGGTGCAATAAATACAAGGTTGTAGTATATAAACGCAATAACGCATAAATTGTTATGACTTTTGCGACCCAATTGTAGTCAAGATAAAGTAGGGAGTTGGATACCCTGATTTTCTTGAAATATTTCTATGAAAGAATATTGTGCCAACAATCCAGTGGACTATCATCTGTTGAGACGTGGTTTTATTAAGCCGCGTAATTGGTAGGGTCGTTATTTCCTGATGGCGCGTAACTTCTGCATTCAATTGCAGCAACGTTGCAATCGAGCGGGCGGGTGTTTCAGCTGTCGATGTAAGACCCTGCCTTTTACCGCAAGGATCGACTACGCTGTTGTGATCTCTGAACGGATGGTTCTCAGCATTCTGTAGGCCCGTGTAGTTTAATTCTCGGCCTGGGATCCTTCCGTCTTGCACACAAACAGAGTCCAGCGCCGGAACAAACGGAACAGACCTTCTTCGCCTTCCTCTGTTCGTTCCGGGATCGCCGATGTCAATTTTCCTCTCGCAGAGGGTAAAGGTTGCCGAGAATCGGGCTGATATTACTTATCCTGATTGGATTACTTACTGTTGACTTGGTACGAGCCAGAGTCACGTACTAAGCGTGACACGAAGAGCTGCTGCCTAGTGGCACGGACCGAGAGCTGTCAGCCAGAATTTAAAAGAAGCAAGTTCAATCACAGCACTTACACTTGAAGACCTGCTGCTATCAGACCCAAACGGCCGTCGTGTGGGAAAAAAAAAGAAAACAGAAAAGGTCAAGGTAGTCAGGCGCCGGGGCATTGTGAGGCAATTCGAAATACCTCGAGTCGAGGGCACAGTAGAATTGATGAGTATATAAAGAATGGGTCCATAAATAGACGCACGGATCCTGCGGCTCTGAGCAGTACTCTAGGTGAGCGGAATAAGGTGTCTCAGATATCTCTATTTTAGCTGTCCGATTTACTATAAGTTCAGTGGTATTTGTTAACCTCTGAAAGAAATTACCCACAATTTCTATTATTGCTATATATAGCTGTGTATTTGTGGCCTAGAGTAAAATTAATACGAAACTATATATAAATCTATACGTGGGTTTTCGTCTCGTGACTTTGAACCCTGTTTGATATACCAATAATTATCTTAACCTCCGAATTAAATTGAGGGAAACCTCCTTTTATATATAGTTAGAGCTCCTAAAAATCGTATTATAATTCCGTTTATCTAAGCTTTACTTGATCAAGTACTAGACAAAGTCACGAAAAGCACGTTTTATGGTATTTTTATATAGCACAAGTATTTCAATACCTAATATAACATACATAACTCTCAAGTTCATATATAAAAGAGTGGAGTTATACAGGAGCCAAGTACACATCAGAGTAGCAGTATAACGAGAGCTAATACTTTGAATCCGCCACTAGTTCCTGTTCAAATCCTGTATTTAGGGCTTGATAGGATGGTAGGTTTGCGTGGCCATTACCTTTAATTAGTACTGTAGGCGGCGCCAAGCTTTCGCACTTCGTCAAGTATACCCGCCACATCACGATTATTGCAGACTTGGCCGTGGTATAAACTTTCTGCGATCGGCTGCATCTTTTCGAGCACACGAACGTCGTCTCCCCGATGAGAGCATACCTGCTCCACTAATGCTACAAGCATTCTGGAGGTGATCGCGGTATTGCACCTATACAAAATACGTGAGTCTGTGCTCGGTCTCTTCTTCTCTTGGCCTTTTAATAAGGTTGTAACTCGTCGGTCAAAAATAGATCAAATAGACTTGAACACTCACACCATTTTTGCTACCTTTGGTGAGCAGAGCAGCAGGATACCTTTGCCAAGGACATCGGATAGCATAGTCCACCGCTTGCCAAAATGCTTGCGGCTATGAAATTGAGTCCGCAAATCTTTGCGCTCCCTATCATTGCGAGTAGGCCAGTCATGGTAGATATTCTGTAGAATGTTGTCAATAATACACGTTGCGTCTCCTCGACCGATACCGCGCTTGCGTCGTCGTGACTGCCACGTCTCAAACGCTCGCAGATATTCCTTGTTGAGTTTGACCAGGGATATGCGGCTGCGAATTTCGTCGTCTCCCATCCGAGTATAAAGCAAGCATACGGTCGAGTAGGCAAGTTGTAAATCGTAATACTCAGCATTTGGGTCCACGGTACAGTTGTCAATGTTGTACAACCCCCATTTGGCCCATCGAGGCAGCTCGGCCGCCAAATATTCCAGGTAGTCGGCCCGCAAAATCGACCGCGCAGCAGAAATTATGAAGGTTTGGGCTTTGCTACTTTTATCACGATCGCCGTCTGAGTTAGGCGAGCTTGAAGCTGGCCACCTTTGCCAGTTAGCCAATCCCGGTGCATCTGTCAAGGAAATTGTGGGCAAAGGCGAAGTCTGGCTCACTTACTCGACAGAACCTCCGACATGTGCCGTACCAAGGTCCACAGGCGGCCAAGAATTCTGGGGGACATCAAACCCGCCCGCCAAGTTTCGGCATATTCCTCCGGTAAACTGGTCCCACGACAGTGGTAATGGCATCGGGAAAGTCGGTCCTTGAAAATCAGGTGATGGGTTCACGCGAATTTGGTGACCGGGCACTAAGAGGTCGTCGTTGGTGCGTTGAGAGTCGGTGTTGGCTATTTCAGATAGGTGAAACCCAAAATCGGAAGCTTTGAATCCATCAGCAAATCCAACTTTGCTCAATATCGAATTAGATAACGAGTAAACTCTGGATAACTGAGAACATACACATCCCAGCATCACTTGACATTTCCGCAATATTATTCTCGTAATCGAACGGCTCAGTAAATGAGACTATGTTTCTAATAGATAGAAGCTCTAGAGTTATTACCAAGTTCCAGACAGCTCGGCTCTGCGCAGACCCAGGTCTGCGTCAAGAAGAGTATTCGAATGCAACAGCCAGCTTACCTTGTTAACAAGACTTGGGCTTTCAACGTGAGATTGTGGGTTGTTGTATTCGTCTCGTCTGTTCTGTCCATGAGGATGGTCACATTCCTAGCTATGAGCACACCGTTTTCTGCTAAGAAGTTTCCTAACGTATATATAAGTTGGTCAGCAGCACAAAATGGCGTCTGGAGTCCTGAGCTAGGCGTATTTTCATCCATTTCGCTTGATCTGGTCGACTGTAAGGAGAATTGGGGGGAGCTTGCGGGGCCTACCTATTAATATAGCGAGAGCTGCCAGCTGAACTACAGTGGGGTATCAAAAGTCTGTCAAAAACCTACTTTTTATTGTGTGGCGGCTTTAACGCGTATATAACAAAGAAAATCGGAGAAACTATTTAATTATACTTATAAGTCTTATATTTAATATATTTTCCTCCAGAAAAGGTAAAACCGCTAATATAAATTTATTTAATAGCTTTATTATTAGTATTATTAGCTTTATTAAGCTTTTTTATAGCTAATATAATAGCTTTTTTAAAGTTATATTTTAGCTTTATATTTTTAAAGGCCTTTTTTTTTATATTTTTAATAGCTTTATTATTTTTCTTAATTTTTATTAGGTTAAGATTTTTAGCTTTATTTTAGTTTTATATTAGCTATTTTTTTTTATTATAAAAAGCTTTTAATCTAATATTAATTATAATTATATTACCTTTTCAGCTTTATTAGCTTTAACCCTTAAAGGTTATAATAAGTAACTTACTTATATTAGGCTTTTTAGCACTTTTACTTATATTATTATTATTTATAAATAGCTATAATAAATATTAGTAAGTACTTATAAAAGATATATATATATAAAGGTAATAACTTATAATTAGTTATATTATTATAGCAAGGTTTTAATAATAAAAAAGGTAAATAACTTAAATAAAAAAAATAAAACTAACTTAAAATATAAGTAAAATTATATAAATATATTATATATATAAGTATTTTAGGTTTTTAATATAACTTAATATAAGTTATAAGTATAAAGTTAATAGGTTTATATTATAATATATCAGATTAACTTTTATAATAATAATAGCTAAAACTATTATAAAATAGCTTTAGCTAGTAGCTGTGGTATAATACCAATTATACTAGTATATTTAACGCGTTATAATATATATATAAATAGTTTACTTTTTTAATTTTTTACTATTTTTAGCCTAATATAACCTAATATTATTTTAGATTTTATGCTTATATAATACTTGTATTATATATGTAATTTTATTTAATTATAAAGCGAATTAACTAAAAATTAATATTTTAATATTTAGTTAATTTACTTTATAATCAAATAAAATTACATATATAATACTAGTATTATATAAGCATAAAATCTAAAATAATATTAGGCTATACTAGGCTAAGAATAATAAAAGACTAGAAAAGTAAACTATCTATATATTATAACACGTCAGATATACCAGCGTAATTAGTACCGCATTATGGCCCGCTAGTTACGGCCACCTCACGATAGCCTCAGCTACTATTATATAGTTAAACCTTATATATTATTGCGTAAACCTACTAACTTTATAGCTATAACTCACGCTAAGTTACACTAAAAACCTAAAATACCTATATATATAGTATATTTGTAAGGTCTGCCCTCTCCCGCATTCTAAGTCAATCCTACATCTAAGTTATCTGCCTCTTCTGCTATTAAGACCATAACTAATCGTGAGTTGCTGCCCCTACACACACATATCTCCCACAAGCACTTGCTGACATCCACCACAGCTATCTACAAACAACAACAACATGGGCAAAAGTGCCAAGAAGCCCAACACAAGTAGGTTACCTATTACAACCTTTAAGGGTCAAAGCTAATTAAGGCCCAGTAGGCAACACAGCTATTGACGGATTAGAAGCCCTCTATAACAGAAGGGATACCTGCCTTAAGGCCAAAAATCCTGATTCTATAAAAATTAAAAAGGTTATAAAAATAATTAAGAATTTAAAAAAAAAGGCCTTTAAAAACGCTGAACTAAAGTATAGTATTAAGAAAGCTATAAAACTGGCCATAAAAGGGGCCAATAAGGCTAGTAAAGCTAAGGCCAAAAAGGCCAAAAAAGCTAAAAAGGCCTACAAGGCTAAAGCTGCCAAATAAATTTGTATTGGCGGTTTTACCTCTTCTGGAGGGGGAAAAATTAATATTTAATATATTTATTATTACTTATAGTATTATAATATAAATTATAAAAATTATATATTAGGGCTTATAAAGGATATTATAGGTCTTAACAGTTAGTGTTATACGCGCGTTTATCCCTAATAAATTATTAATAAATTTTATAATTTTTTTAATATTATTTTTTTAAATTTATTTATTTTAATTTTTAAAAATTATTATTATAAAGAAGAGACTCAAAGTCAGGTAGGCTAGGGTAGGTATTATATTGTGACAAGACTAAAGCTTGTCCTCTCCTAGTAATTATAGAATTGCTGTATTTATACTAGGGATTCCCCGGCGAATTAGTCACCTTACACCTGGCTTACTAGAAGGTGCACCAGGCACAGCCTCTGTTTTTACACCTTATAATTATTAATTTCATAAAAAATTGACCTAGAATTGACCGCCCACAAAGCCAGCCTGGTAGAATTCCGAGAGTTTAAGAGACGAGAGCATGTTCCTGCTATAACAGCCGAGACAGTCTGACCTAGTCTCGTCCTCAACATACCAAGGTACAAAATGAATCACCTTACTGCGATGAACAATAAAGCATCTTTGAATCCACTATAAGAAATCTTGATTGTATCAGGGTCTACATATTGCAATTGGGCCCAGTTTCCGGAATCAGTAGATCGTGGCCGTGGCTGTGGAAAGAAAAGTTCCGTCACCATGTCGTCATTTTTATCTAGCATTTGTGTCTCACATAAATTTATACCAGCAGGTCAGGTGATTTTAGTAGGTAGGATGCGGATGACAGGCGGCTCGAAGGCGCCATGGTTTCACGACACTGGCTGGGGATTTGGTGGCTTGGTGGAATCATCTACCAATTGCAGTGACTGCCTTTGGCTCACGATTTGGTGGAAGCATGTGATCGGTTTCTTGTAGCTTATATATTCAGCTCGTCGCCTTGCCACTCTCAACATGTTCTCTTGCTGCCTTTTCCGCGCCCAAGAATTCATCGCTTGTGAATCAATAGGTTTCTCTCTCCATCTCAGTACTCGTGTCATGTCTTACCCAACCAAACCTTGCTTTGTTGGCTCTCTCAAGGGCTTCGACAGCGAGGCCCTCAAACACCCCGCTCTGAGGTACTTTAGCGACCTCAACGTGGATTTCTGCGAGACCAAGGCTGCTCATTCGGGGCCGCATACCAAGTGGAGCATCCAGGACTGGGAGTTCCAAACCCAACACGGGCAGGTCGTCAAAGGGGAGGAGGCTTGGAAGCGGCTCATCCATACAACTCGATTCTATGAGAAATTCTCAATAGAGCCCCTCTCCGCTTTTATTCAGGATACCGAAAACGGGTACGATGGCATAGTCTACGCGAATTTGTATGCAAACTTTGTGAAGCCGGGTGACAAGACTTATTCAGACATCAAGGGAACCAAATGGGAGTTGCGGGTAAGTATCTATAGTTGTTTCTCAAAAAGGGGTCGGTTGGGCAACTACTAAACGCAATGTAGGTTCCCCGCGCTTATTGTCTCACATTTGTCAAGGACTCTGATGGGCACCACGGCCTGAAGCTGAGCAAGCTAGCCATCGTTGGGGATGTTTTGGGCACTATGGCAATCGCAGTTCAGAGGGAACTAGCTTCGCAAGAAGATGTCCTTCGAGTCTAGAGGAACAGAACGACCTCGCAATTAGTATGTGGTGGCGGTGTATCGATTGCGCTAGAATAACCATGGTTCAACACGAGTGCCGGGATATGTTGAAAGGGCACACTGAGCAAAAGGACAAAAATGGACATTGCAGACAGCCGGGGGAAATTGCACGACTAGGATCAGGTCAGTCCTAGAGTCCCGTCCCCGCATGGCTATATTGACCAGACTTCGCGTGGAGCTCGGCGGGATTACTGACGGTTCTGGGTATCGCAGCTAGTTTATCTTCTGTTGTAACCTACAGGTAATATAACTATCGTGTCGTTCTTCTAGTACCAAAACTTATCTATGTCGTCGATCTGTAACGGATTTTTACACATGGATACACTCAAAGGAAGCCGTGCTTGCTCGCGAGGACTACGCTTCTCATTCAAACCTTTTCGGCGAGCGAGCAGGGGAGAAGCTCATCTGACAACCTCCATGCGGCGTCAAACTTTCCCAGGGCTGGCATGATGCTGCAACACGAGACGTAAGGGCGTTAAAGAAAAACTATTTTTCAGGCATGTCTTATTAGAGTTTGTATAGTGTGGGGTGGCGGCAACATTCCTGCAACCTGCTCGCGGGTTATGTGGCGTTTAAAAAGGCCGCCTGCGTGCATCTGAGCAAAAGTAGCCCAGTCCTAATGAGGTGACACATTACCTTGACGACTCTTCGCTTTCACACAAGGCCGTAGTAGCCCAACCCGGTCTGGCGAGTGGTTTTAGCCAGCAGCAGTATGAGACCGTCGGTGTGATGATAAAAGTCGTTGTGCCTCCTATTCAAAACATTGCCTGCCCGAAGCATCTTGACCATGTAGCCAATGCACTAACTAATTAAGTTCTAGTCTCAGGAGGATACTTCAAACTGTTTCCATCTCCTTTGCCCCGTCCCCTCCGGCTGCTAGGCGGAACTCATCTCGCTTTAATTCCTGCATTGTGCCAGATTCTACTCACCCTTCAACGAGTGCTTGTGTCCTTTTGCAAACGTCGAGGTGGCAGTCACATAGACGATATGGGAAGAGAACAGCCCCATTAACCACCCGCCAAAGAACGTACAGAGCCCCATGATACCTTCCGGACACAGAAACACGTGGCGACACAGATAGTACGTGGGAACGGCAAAAACCGGACCGCTAATTAACCCATTCTGGTACGTTGCCCATGCAGTGTAGGCGCGCATGTCTCCCCTACGTTTTGCGGCCTGGGAGAGAAGCGTGAAGCTGATGGCATGGAAACCCCATTGCGGGACGGTGAACCAAAAATCTGCTTTCGGGCGGTGTGACCATTGATCGAAACTTGACAGCTTGGGTCTCAGGAAGGCCAGACTCAAAAGCGAAGACGCGGCGATGATGAGCCGAAGCCTGCTGCTGGTAAGCGTCTCGTTGACGGGGCGAGACTGGCGTCGACGAAGGTAAAATATCGGAGCGGCCACCAGAAATGGACCAGCAAATACGGCGCTGTACAAGTTGACGGTCCATTTGGTCTCTCCCCACAGTCGTCCGAGTACAATCCAGCAGAGCCGGAGAAAGGGGGCAGACAGCATCAACGAGTAATTGAGCATCATGAACTCGCGGTGAGAGCCGACGTCTCCGTTCCAGACGGCGTACACTGCCAGTGCCATGGTCACCAAGACACCCAGGCTTAGCATGGATAAAATCATGGCAAACGACTCGCCTGAGAACACCTCCCTCGTTGGGATCGTGTCGATGAGGAAGGACGCCGACGACCCGGAGATGATCAAAGCACAGAGACCGTATACCCTTCCGAGACTTCGATGGACAATGGGATATTTAAACTGAAAAGTCTTGTTGAATTGCAAAAGGCCCGTGATGATGGCCACTGTGCCGCTGATGGTGTGAGGGAGCATGGACGTTATGTTTCGTAACAGGACGAAATATTGACCTGGACCGTAGTCGTCGGGGTGGCCAGACCCGTTGCCGTACGCAAATTCGCGTGATACGAGGGCATGCAGCATTTTATCGCCCACGGAACTTGGCATCTCGCTGAGAAAGTACGTGAAGGACATTGGCGCATACCACAGGACAAGCAAAGCCAGAGAGCCAAGCAAAATCCTGTCGTTTATGGCGCCGGTGCCTTCATTTTGTTTCTTGGCCACGTATTTTTTGCCATTTTGGCCGTGAAGCGGCGTGGGCGGGCTCTCTGCGACTTGTGCCAGTAATTTTGTTGTCGACATTTTTTAGGCGTGGCACACGGACATGGGGAAAGATGTGCAAAAGAGATGGAAAGGTGAGGGTTCGGACGGGATGGAAATTAGTAGCGAAGAATTGCTTTTTATTCTGTTCATTCTTGGCCGTCGTACGACGGACGCCGATGCTGTGCAGAGTTGTCCCGACGTTCCACTGGATAAGCGAATGCTCTCAACCCCCCGGACCCACTTCATGGCTGAATAGAGAAGTGGACATGGAGGTTTCGATTTCGCTGCCAAAGTTAGACTCAACTTGAGTTTGGAACACATGCACGTTTAGCAATCTAGTTACCGAGGTTTGTAGTATACTTTATTTAAGGGTCTGGTAGACACGTTCTGTCGCACACGGAAACTCGGGCCGAATCGGGGCCAGCAAAAGGTCGCTGCCAGGGTGGCCAACTTGCCTGCACACGGGTCTAGCAGACTCGACATCTAAGCATCGATTGATCGGATCAATCGCCAAGACCTGTGTGTGGAGGTAGTCACTAGCAGTTGCCATGATGAGAACCGGCTGGCCAATTGGCTCTCCGGATCTGATGCATTACGTCGACTGGGATGAGGCGCTAGACATCATTGTGCGCAGATTTCGTGGTGAGATCCACCTCATCCCCATGGGCAATGAATAGACAACATAGTACATGAAGCTTCGAATCCGCTGCTATGTGGAAGCTTTGTTGGCATACCGTCATCTTGGACCTCTTGGCTTGCGTGTGACAAGGGCTCAATAGAGGGCTTAGAGCAATAGCTCAATTCAACTAATAACAGTCTTTGGTATCAAAGGTCCTTGGTTTTCCTCAAGGCCTTGAAGGTCAAAGACGTCTTTAAATACAAAAAGTCGGTGAGGACCTTCTGCCCTAATCCCGTGACCGTAGCCCTTGTGTAACAGGGCGATTTCCGTGTAACATTGCGTGACCATCTTACTCCTCTGCCATCGTCATCAGATCCAACAAGCTCCGTTGTCGACTCTCATATTATATGTGCTCTTTATAATAAGCGCGTCACGGTATAAAAGGAAGCTTCCATGTAATGTATGATAGTTTTCATTGTTAACTAGCAAATGCTAGTTGCAAGCTCTATCAAAAAGTAATTGAATCCAGTCAGCTAACAGCTGTGTACTTTGACGAATGACCTGATTCTTTCCGAAATGTTAAGAAGCGACCCCTTGTTTTGCCCTCTTGCAAACTATTGTATTGCTCCTGCCTTTTGCTGCTGTGAAATGGCTTTTACAGCTAGGCTAAACTGCAAACAAACTTTGACCGAGATCGCGAGGGTAAGAGCCTCGATTTCGTTTAGAAATCAATCTCATCCATCCACTTGAAATACTTGCACCAAGCCTTATATCCTTTCACAGGCGGGTATGGAGTGAAGTGCTGTACATCCTTGCAATCTACAAAGGCAAACCGGAGGAAAGGCACCATGTAAGGGTGATGGCAGCGCTGCTCAGTTTTCCAAATTCTAAAGACGATTCCTTTGTGCAATGTATGAGTATCTCTTATAAAGCATTATTTCGAAAGCAACTGTGTTTGGAACTTACCAGCGCTACCATGGCACTTGAACTGGTCACTAGTCTCTGGGTATCCCATGTTGGTATAACCCGACAAGTCCAAGTCGACAGTATCAGCTCCATTCAGAGCGGGAAGTGACGCGGCGTCCTGGAACGGAGCCTTTTTATCTTGAAGGGTGTAGGTTGACTGCTCTTCCCTATTGACCAACGCTGGTGCGCCGTTGGCAACAGAGCTAAATGCAGCATCCAATGTGGGTGCGGCGTTGACAACAGAGCCAAGTGCGGCAAGCACGCTGAAAACTGAAGTGTAGTGCATTGTGGCTTTGGGTAAAGCTTCTCAAAGAGTCGAAATTAGAATGCTGTGGTGAATGCCGAGATGGTCTGGATTGCGGTTGGAAAGTGATGGACAAGATTACGCAGCAACTCTAGGTATATATAGACGCAGGCGCAACAGGATTACAATGTGCGTAGCAAGACATATCGTAAGTCACATATACCATTCTATTGTCAAGATGGCAATTACTCCGAAATCATGCCACACTTTATTGCACAAAGTGGCTCTTATTACAAATAATATTAATAGCAGGGGTATTTTGTTCAATGCTATTCAGGCGGCTGTCGTCATGTAATAACAGCCATATTAAATACTTCAAGTACTACTCCGCACCGATCTTACTATGACTACATCGCTTATGCTAGCTAGCCGAATAGTACTGTGCAGTGTTTAAACAAGAATAAATCTGTACCACAGGTAAAAATGCCCAGTTATTTCAAGCTAGACAAGGCAAAATGAGAGTGACCAGTTCTCTACTTTTCGCTCGTCTAATTGGGAGGCATTACAGACCGTGTCTTCATCGTTAATAAAGGGGAGCACAAGGTTCTCAAGCGAGGTAAGTGGAGAAATATCGGGACATGAGAGGAATGCAACTAATAGTATGACAGCATCTTATCTGATCTAATGCCTGCACTTGGCCTTGTCCGCCAAGCAAATAGTCAAATTTCTGCCCTAGCAATGCATAAATGCCTCTAAAGCTTGGACGAGTTTCCCGGGGATAGCGCATCGCGTTTTCCACTTCCCCCTGCAGTTCTCCGAGCTCGTGTGACGCATACCGGGTCGCCGCATGGCATTGTAGCAACCGGACATGTTACCGAAACGGAGTCGGCGATGCAGCCGATGACATGCCGCAGGGGTCGTGCAGCAGAAGATTGTTATTTATGCGGCACTACACTATTCCATGTCACGGCCACTTGGCTATACCCACCTATACATTCTTACCCACATGACTGCCCGTGTCTTCTAAGAAATTTATGGGGTTATAGGCGAAGTTTGATACGCGGCTACAGGTCGTTCTGCTCTCTCAGGCCTCTGCCCATCTGTATGTCTTCTCTATTGAATCCATATAACCGATGGCTTCAAGCCTTATAGCCCGTGAGAGTATTCCCAGCATAAGTAAGTGAAACTAAATCCGCTGGCATTAATCCGTTGCTTCCGTCGTGTGGACCCATTTCATACCTGGCCGCAAGGTTACGAGTGGTCACGAGCTTCCACGAGTCAGTGTGTATGTCTGTATCTCGGGTGAGCAGATTACCCGAGGATACTAAAGACGTAGTTGCAGGGCGAGAGCGCGACACGCCCTGAACTTATTCGCCTTGTCTTGGGCCCAGAGACTCATTTAACGCACCGGAAATCTGGTATTTTAAACGATGGAATAAATCTCAATTATATTAGCTGCGCGGATAGTTACATTGAATTCAAGCTACGCGGATTCCGGCTTAAGCTAGGGGGTTAGGCACGGTATCCTAAACGCTAATCTGGACATTTGTGTCCCGCCGTCGTTATAGTTGTAGACGCTCGTGCCAAAAATGGACTCAAGATAACACAGGGAAGCGGTACGAAGACGAGAAGTATCTCGTTGGTTTTATTGCATTACAAGACGTCAATTTGGCCTTATTACGAGCCCAGATTGCGCCGTGCTGGCCCAGTCGTAGGTTGATGAATTTCCGGACCTTAAGGCCCCATGGATGTGCTCATTGTTCCCCTTAGCCTTGCACGCATGCTGCTTTGTCAATGTACAAGGACAACAGTATAAGCAACAGTATACGCAATTACCAGGACCCAGACGGGAGAAACGTTAGAATGCTCCTCGTGAGGAGCCTGTTAATTGCGGATAGCTGGTTTGCCACGTCATATTACAGTAATATTCAAGTCATTTATAATGTTCTCACCCACTAGGGAATGGTTGCAGTGATTAAATCTCTAATGAACAACAGCGTCACAGATAGAAGCTCGGGACAGTTTCTACAAACTATAAGCAGGCCATAATTGAACTTCTAGATGCTGTTACACATATTCTAACATTTATGCTTCGTCGACCAGTGAAGGTGATTATACAAACTTTTCTATCTGATGCCAAAAAGTCATACGAGGCATAGGATGTGTTCCTTCGACTAGACAATTTCGCAAGACCACCGAACATGTCGGTACCTGAGCTCGCAGTTTATGTTCTATCCAGTTCCAGGTTCCGTTTTTGCCGCTTTCAATATCAACACCTTCGAGAACAATCTCCTTCAATGTTGTCTCTTGCTCTGTGGTCGCCCGGTGACAACGCAGCAGTGGCATTAGGTTTTCCTGTGTAGTTGAGCAATTGACCAGTTCGAAAGTCTCCAAGGACAGCGTCTGTAGTGCCTCGGGAAGGTACGAAAATTCCACACTATTATCGCCATCGGCTAAATGCAGGCGGAAATGCGACAAGTTTAGGAAAAGGCCGAGGAATGAAGAGACATTTCTGTCCCAGTCGCTGTCGTCTTGGGTGTTCACAACCAGCCTCAAAGTTTCTATATTAATAAGACCATCTAGTATCGGCGGTTAGTAGATCCTGGAAAGGCAGAGGGCGTTGCCAGTGATGGCGTAACTGTCCCGGTCGCTGGCAAGACCGAGGCAGATGTCGAGTTCTGTCACTTGAATGCAACTTATAGAGATGGCGGCCAACGCCGCCCATAATACGTGTTCCACGAAACTCCAGCTGTCTCGAGAATAGGGGTCAGAGCCTGTACATAGTTCGAATCCAAGACTATTTTCCAGTCGATCTAAGCCCCAGGGCGTACCTGCGTCGCTGATGCAAATCTCATCGCAATTGGTGGAGTTTGTCATGGCCTGGATTAAGTAAGCAATAGCAAGACTGCTGGTAAAAACTGCCTGTTCCAGATATCTCTGATAAAATCCCTTGTTATTGCTGTCAATAGTGGCGGCTTCACGCATGCCATCAATATACCTGGCGTCGTCGGGTATATTGTAGTTATACACATCAGACATGCTATTAGTATCGTCGTCGTCGATGTGTTCAGAAATTGGCTTGCATTGCCAAAAATAATGATTGACGAGGTCCTTTGAAAGATAATGCGTGCATATCTGGAGAGTGCGTACCTTGTCGCGTAAGGTCGGAGATTCTGATAAGGGTTTGTAAACTCTCCCGCTCTAACATAACAGTACAACTCTCACTCGCCATTGTCGTAGATTGGTGTATTCAGGCTGAGACAAACAAACATGAATGAAGAAAAATAGGGGTTGGCATTGGGAGAAAAAAAGGAAACATTGAATGAGGGGCCTGGCATCCCCCACTGTTTGGTGGTGATTTGGGTGGGTATTGACAGGGTAGTCATCATGAACATGCTCGAACTTTGCAACCACAACTGCACCAGATGCTGTAGCTCTTTTTTCATCTCGTTTTATTTCTTTGTTCCAGTCACCCTAGTACTGTATCTGCCTAGGGCACTCTATTGGTAATATTGATTGTCTGCTTCCAGCCACCTGAACTCATCATTTTAGTCAGTAAGGCAATCTTCATTTACAATGAGACCAGAACGATGGTGTAGGGTGGCTATCCAGCTCCTGGGAAATATCAAGAGCTCTCAGCAAGTTTGTTTTTGGAGATGGGATAAGTTGCGACACAAGTGGGCGGAGTGGCACGTGACCTAATCCTGCCACAGAGGCTAACCGTTGACATCATTCACCAGCTTATATGGGGCCCGCTGACTTGGCGCGCTGGTGCGTTCATTTCCTGTCCCCTAGCAACGGTATCATAACACCAGACACAACAGAAGCCTGTGGCAACAAACATGGCCGGATATGGCTCAAGCAAAGAGTCGGGTAATGGTCCGTAGCCGTTACGGAAAACCGACGCACCCGGAAGCTTTACCTGGTAGCCAGACCGACGATATACCCAAAATTCGCTTTCGCCACCCCGCGTATGCGGATAGTGAAAACATCCTCATTTCGCTGGCGGCGCTGGATGGGGGTGGTGTTCATTACGCAACGGCACATATAGCCTGCGCCGTTCTGGCAGACTTCCGATATGACGGTTACTTTTCTCTGTCATCTACCGGCACTGCGATCGAATTCGGTCCGGACGAAATCCTGACAGAGCAAAACTACTACTTCCACGTACCGCAATTAGCAAGATATGACGTTGTCGCCGATTTTGCTAGTTGCATCTTCCCCCATGGAAGAATGACACCATCGTGGTTATCGGACGACCTCAAAATTCACAATGCTACCGGCTTGCCTCGAGAAACAACCTGCGATAGCATAGTTTTGGCCCGAGATGTTTCTTGTCGAGTTACCAACAGTACTCTAGGTACGGAGGGAGCCCATCTCCTTCCCAAGTCAGAGGAATTGTGGTATACGAAAAATTCCATGTTTCAGTACTCGGCATGGGAAGAAAGGGGAACAACAGACGACCCGAGAAACGCGATTCTTTTGCGATCCGACGCTCATACAATCTTTGATGCGAAACAGTTTATAATCGTGCCGAAGAAGGGCAAGTGGGTAACTCACGTCTTGTATGGAGCTGCACAGGACGAACTTGCTCGAAGCTTTCACAATGTTCATATACAACCCCTTACCGACATTGCCGTAGAGTATATATTTGCGCGATTTGTGTACACAGTCCACGCCCTGAGCACGTTCACACTCTCCGGCGGCAAACGTGCACTCCTTGTCCTTAAATCAGGCGAAACGAGTCGGAGTAGTGTCGAGGTAACGGGCTTGCAGTATAAGACACAACTCGCCCCACGCTCACGGGTTGGCAGCAGGACTCCAAGTCCCAGCAAGCGCCAGTGCGACGATCCACCCACTGTTGATGTAGACACTTCGAATTGTGATGGGATAGACGCCAGCGATGATGGGTTCCGGGGTCGTCCACGAAGGAGACTATCTCACGATACTATCTCTCCACCCTGATCATGTCACAAGTTTTGCACGTCGATATCCAGCCCAGTACCAACACTCACAAGTAACCTTAGCGATTCGGGTAGCGATCTTGCAGACACCGATATGAAGCCCCTGCCCAGGGACAGTGCCCTGCCATTAAGCAAGGCTTCACATGATGAGTGCGTCGGCGTAACCGAAGCTATGCACTCTATGCTCGAGTCTGGACCTGGCGCCTGATTTGGTTGGAAACAAGGTTCGTGGCCACGCGAGTGTTCGAATTGGTTGGGAGCCATTTCAACCAGCCTGACATACGCCGAGGACTGCTTCTCTCTGCTTGAAGTCCGGACAACCAAGGACTTCCATATTGGCGCAAATAGACCTCCTTATTTCGACGACCAGGAATTAATGGCGGTTCAGGAAGTGCTGAAACTGGTGTTTCTTTTTTCTAACGTGAACACTGGGCTTGAGTACGGTAAATCCGTACCGTACGTCCGCGCTTGGTCGCTGTTCACCCAAGAGCCACGTATCGATGGCGCTGCCTCTTCCGCACAGCTACACGCGCATGCGGCTCGTATAGTGTAGAGCTTTAGAAGATTTGAAGCCTACTTATCTTCAATTCTGCGCCTGGTGAGATGTTTTCCTCACAAATCGTGGGAGGGTCCTCCAGAACCGAGAGCTGAACACAACCAGGCCTTTCCGGTCTGTCCGAGAATCACGCCAAACCTTTTTCCTCCATCCGGGCTACCCTGACAATCATAACATTCTTCTTACTCTTCCGGCTCTCGACTCATGCGGGATTCGCCATGAAACAGCGCGCATCGCATGTGCCATCCTATCAAAGAGCGCTTTTCTTAGCCAGGGAATCCCGCGTCGATTAATCACTGTAGCAGAGTCAGGGTCTACCCGTGTGCATTCCTTGTCGGCAGACGAGTACCGTGGCATGTTCAACACGGGTCGCGCCAACAGTCGAAGCCAAAGCCCGAAGAAACGACAACGATCGATACAAAATGAGGAAGAGGGGGACGAAAAAGCCGAGCATCTATACACAGAGACACCCTCGGATACAGACCACAACCTAGAAGAGCCTGAACGAGGTAGACCTCGGAAAAGGAGGTGCATATGTGGTGATGATGGAGTTGGAATCGGGATAAGCGGGACCTCCAAACAATGGCCATTATCCAGTAATGACGAATGTTTCGGGACACCGCCACGATCTACTTATTGACGGGATTTATCTGCCGTGCAACGAAAATCAGGTCCCGCTTCGTAATGGTTCTGGCATCCCGTCAAAGATGTCCCGCCCTGCTCCCGGTATATCTTGTTTCATGTCTGGTCATCCCAAACCTTCCTGCAGCTCCACTGTCAACGCGGCAAACGTGGGCTGTCGTCCTGGATCCCGGCGAACAGGTCAAATTGCTTTCTCGGGCATTGCTAGGGCCTGCCATTGGTATAATAGCCTCAACTTAGAGGCCAACACCTTTCCGTTGTGTTGATTGTCCAATATTGATTGCAGCCTTGACCTGCTTCGTGGCAGACCACGATTGCCACCGGCCGCAGGGATCAATTCATTGGATGCCAGTTCATGGCGACCTTATGGCCTTGCTAGTGGGTATTTGTATTTAGAAATCGTACAGTAAGCATGGGACCACAGAAGCCCTGGTGTTAGTTTCTCTTAGTCAGATATTATGAACTGAAAACAGGTCGGGGCAAATTTATCCCCAGCAAATTGTCGTCGATGTAATTAACTAGTTATTGTCGGTATACGAATATATGCTAGGTAGAACCACTAGCATTCCCCCAAACGTATATTGACCGTACTAGTCCATCCATGCCGCAAGACCTGGTGAATCTTCATCTGATTTTGTGCCAATTTACTACGAGGACATGTCTCACAAATTCTCTCTAGCAGCGTAGAACCAAGAGAGAAAGCACACTCGACGCAACAGGAAAGCCGTAATGTGTGGTGGAACCTGCCACTAGTAACAAGATATGTAACGCCGCCTTTGAGAGGGTCCGAAGGTCTACTAGCTACATATGGAGTTATTCACGGTTACCTCGGGGGTGGGGGCTTGGCCGGTTAGCTTGCTTCCATAATGCTTACTTGGTTCTTAATATTGACGCATTCGCATTAGCCAGCCAAGCTGAGTTTTGATTTCTTCATGCTTAGATTATGTTTAGTTGTACCCAATGTCACATCGCAAACTTATTATCTCAGCTTGACTTTCAGATAAAATTTTATTCGATGTAACTATATGTCATAAAACCGCAATTTAGCGAATTCAACTCACGTATATATATTGCCGGATAACCTACCGAGTACTCACCCCTTTCGTCTCCATTATCCACTCCCAGCTCTCATCTACCTCCCCTCCGCAAAACATATACTGAGCAGAAAATTTGACCTTTACCAGACACGATGCGCTCAAATTTTCTTTTCTTGTATTCGGCATTGGGCCTTGTTGCGCCTTCTTTCTGCAGCCCAATCAATGCCCAAGCCAACGACGATGTTGGTTGCCTAAGCGATTGGGAGCAGATTTATCAAATTATTAATCTCTACCCGCTAGCAGTTGACTTCAACTCGACCCATGAGCTATTCCCCCTCATCTACGCCGAAAATGCCTTTGCCAATTACTCCAGCCCAGATGGAAAGAGACAAAATCTGCGCGGCCTACAAACCATTATCGATACATTCGCGCCTGATGGCGAGCACTACGATGCCCATCATTTGCTGGGCAGTATTAGAATCAACCTGAGCAAGGACCAGCCAGACAAGGCTAATGGAACCTTCTACGCCCTGACGAATACTTTTGGAAAAGGGCGTTTTGCCGGCCAGCTAGCTACCTTTTACGGCATCTACCATGATGAATACGAGCGCATCGAGGAGCAGGGGTGGAGAGTCACAACAAGACTTTTCAGCCAGGTTGGACCTGCTTCTGGAAACGTGTCGTTGTTGGAAGGACCTTGAGTCGTAATACCAGGCCAGAGTTAGCTATCTTTGCCACGAGGTCAAATGTCAATATGTATTGGGTTATTCACTGGAATATTGCGTAATGACACGGGCCTAGATAAAGCGTCTCACGCCGCGAGGTTGTATTTGGCATTTTGGCGACTAATACATGTGATGCATGGACAGAATCAGTCGCCAGATATTTTTAGACAAGGTCACTGCCTGGTGGTACTGGGTATATATATACATGTCAGCTAGAATTAAATAGAAGTACATTCAATCGCAACATTTGAGTTGCATACATGCCTATTTTTGGAGTGTCTAGCGATCTCTCAGGGCAAACGCTCTTGGCATCGCGCCGGTCTCATCAAGCGCACACGCCTGCGCTGGCGGTGATTGCTGCAAAGGACATGGCACACGCTATGGGTGCCGCGTTCCTTTCAAGTAATATTTTATGATAGACATCTGAAAAATTTTTCATGGTGACACTGCAGTCTAAGTTGGTCTAGATACAGCCTGGCGTATTATACTACTTTCGATTACTCCAACACTGATTGTCTGTAATGCTACTACCTCAATGTATCAACCGATATTTGGACTCCATTCCTTTGTAAAGCTCTCACATAATCGTCCCCCAGGCTTGCAGGCGTTAGAATTCCTCCTTCACGTTTGCTTAGCGAACTTTGCTCATCAAGGAGCAACAACCCGGCCTCCGTCATGGTCATGGCTGTGAAATCGTTCGCATCTCCGGGATAATGGAACTCGACTAGAGCTTTTGGCTTTACCGAATGTGTAGTGTCAGCAATACTAATTGCCCGGTACGTAAAGTGGTATTTGCGGCGTTGCTCCGCTGATGCGCCGCCACCAGGCGGAAATAACTTGCCAACGACGAATCGAACCGGTGGCAAAAGCATGGAAGCTGCCAGTGTGACAACGGTGACCCGGAAGAGCCAAGCAAATAATGCATTTGACCAACGGATCCGCGAAGAAAAACGAAAATTTGGTCCGTAACTTTGTGTTCCGTCGGCATCTCCAGACGCGTACAAACCCCAACTGCGTCCAACAAGAGGTAGGTCGACGGGCTCGTGGAAATGGGTGGCCATTGTGCCCATACCATCTATAGTTTGCACCCCAAAAACATTTGCCTTTGGCAGCCCATCCTTTCTCTTGCCATTGGGATTGCCAACAGGTTTAACCGGGGAGATGGAGTGGATATTGATGGCTGCAAAAAGGCGAGAAAGTGAATTGTTCGCAATAGAGGTGGAAATAGAGTCCACGGCACCACCACTAGCACTTCCCTTAATGTCGTACAATGCTCCAACAACTTCAAGAGTGGGCAATGAGAAGTTCCTCCGTATCGACGTCACCGCTAAATACGTCGATATGTCTGCCGGCACTGCACCCCAGCCACAGGTGATGACCATCTATCGACGCCACGTTAATTCCGGACGTAGTATAACAGGGGTTAATCTTACTTTCGACCCCGACGTCTTGGCCAGTTTTTCGTATTTCTCAATCATCTCCTGCCGCCATACCGGCTCTCCGGCTCTGTTGCTATTATGAGTATATAGAAGAACAAATGCATCTTTTTATTACTTACCCGTCAACATAATGAGTACCATGTTCAGCGCAAGCCTTGAAGACCACGGAGCCACAGGTCGTTCCATATGGCCCTATTATGTTGACCAGAACACGAGTTGACTTTGCAAGGTTGACAATCTCTGACTCGGAAGAGAGATCCAAGACGATTAGAGCTCCTAGAATACCGAGTCATTACTTATTCTCGACTTTATTACCTATAAGGGCCATCCACTTACCTCCAGCTTCAGTCACCTTCATTTCCGCCGCCACTTCTTCGAGCTTAGACTTGTTGCGCCCTGCAATAGCCCATCGCACATGACTGGGCATATTGTCAACCATGTACCGGACGCAAAGTTGCCCGGTATAGCCTGTGGCTCCGAGGAGAACGAAGTCATAAATTTGACTCATAGTGCGTGAAGTTTATATGTGCGATAGATGGTTACTTTGGAATTAGATTATGTACGTTGGAGTAAAGGAAAATACTGCTTTTATACATACGTTCGTGCTAGCTGTCAATACGATAAGGGCGGAAATTAAACAAAACAATAATTTATATTTGCATATTGAAAACATGATTTGTAATGTACTGTTAATCGGGCGTTCGAAATCATTTTGAGATTATATAACGCAGCCTGGTAGTGTACAGTGTTGATTTTCTAGATGTAGGCGGGGGATTATATAATCTGGCCTAAGAAGTAAGTGAACCTTGTTGAGATGCGATATCAAGTATCCCCTAAATTAGAGCAGTAGCCGTGCCCCGAGTTAATATTGGCCGTTGGAACGGGGAAACAGCTTGGCGACGGCAAAATTTAAATCCCGTTTCCTCCGCGTAAGTAGAATGCGCGAATTCAGTCAGGCAATAAGGTAAATCCAATATTATCGCAAATCAACTTCCCGCGTTATCGGGTACTACAGTCGGGTAATCATGTAAATTCACAAATCCGAATCGGGGAATTTGTCAAATTTTTTAATCCAGAAGATATTGTGCGGCATTACTACAAAGTCGGGGCAATTCCAGGCCGCGGCTCAAAATAATCGTAGCAGTCGGCCTACTTACTACTTAGACAATAGGAAGTAAACTCCGCAGCTGTGTAAGCCGTCTCTTCTCTTCTCTCTATCCTTGGCTTTTTTTGTCAGCTATACTTCTGCCATTATTAATATTTTGGTCCCGCAGCAGGCCAGTCGGCTTTTCCATTGGTATATGGCACATGAATGTCACAACGCGTAGTGGAGAGCTAAGTACTAGTATATTAACATGCTCAGAGCCTTTGCCACTAAATTACTTGTTCTACATTCTAAGCTACACACAGACACATGACTGTAACGCGTCTTCGACGTCTTGTCGTTTGAATCCAGGGGATTGCCCAAGAGAAACAGTGCGCAGAAGAAGCACTGTTCATGTTAGACATGAATGGTAAAAGAGACACAGCCGAATTTATAAACATACCTTGAATGAATTGTTGTAAACTGACGGAACCCTTTGGGCAAGCTGATTTAGACTGGGTATGTGCACGTTGACATCTATGGAGGCTGACTTGTTTTGCCTTGAGAAACATTTCCAAGTCTGTAATATCAAACCATGTACCATCCAGTCGTGCTGCCCAGGCAGGTGGGACCTTTTGCAGAGGGGCCGCAGTTATCACGGAAGGCTCTGCTCTTTTGAAAATAGTTGGCGAGTGTGAAGAAGTGTGAGATAAAGGTTGAGGCCTAGTATCACCGTAATGGGTTCCAGCACCTCCTACTTGCAAGAAGGGAATATTGTCGTTTATAAACAGAGTAGGTTGCCTGGTTAGTTTACTGTGGAATAAAGTGGCATAGTATGATTTGAGTCGGTTGCGGTCCATAATGGTAAGGGCGAGGTGGAAGTAATGCTGTACTCTTTGTAGTGAGATGCTCGGGTTCGCTACTTTCATATAAGCAGAGAAGACCAGAGCGGCATCCAATATGTCTATGAGTTCCTGGTAGTTAATACCCGAAACTGGTACTGGATTTTTGAGTTTTTCTGCCAAGTCGTTCTCCAAGAGTGGTAAAACGCTGAAGACAGGGCAGGGCCTGATGAAGAAGTCTAGAGGCAGAGATAGTTCCAACTGAGGGTTCACTGCAGCCACACGCCGTGTGTTTGTGGCCTCTCCATTATTGCTCACAAGGGAAATACACTTGCCAATCGTCTCCGACAACCGTCCATGTAAGTCTTCATCGCTTACTAGCACGTCTGATTGGGCGAGAGCTTCGCCCAAAGAAGTTATCGAAGTAGTCAGGCTCTCCACTGTCGCTTCTAGCTGGTTATTACGTGCGAGAAGTCCGGAAATTTCCATGTATCTTTTCTCTCGAAACTTCCGCTGGGCTATACGTAGTTGTTCCCGGCGTTTTCCCAAGAGCTACTATGCTATTAGCTGGTGAATTAATTCACCTGAAGACGGAGGAATAACGTACCTTTTGCTGTTCTCCTTTGTTCGGGTTCTCTTTGGTTCGCCTTGGTCTCCCACGTTTCTTGCGGAGCAAGGGCCCCTGTACGTCCGGGTCCGGTTGCTGTTGCTCAGTAGATTTCGTATCCGAGTCGGCGCCCACACAACCATGTGTGGCGAGGCCATCAAGAGGGTTGTGGACTCCGTTGGTTCCGTAGCAGTCTGGCGCTTCACTACCGGCCACACCCTGCATGGCGGCGGAAATAGGGTAATAGTTGGCAAAGAAGGCTGCCTCGCTGGTCCACGCCATCGTTTCGCGAGAATAAGGCAACGTGTAGTTTTGCAGCGGCATAAAGTTGTCGTTGGACCAGAGGGTACTAGGGTCCACGCCTGGACGGTTGTGCGGCCACGAATCCATCAATAGGTATTGCCCTGATAAGTGATTGTATAATCAACTTCGCGATCTATTCCAATGTAAAGCTGTTGCAAGAGGCAAGAAATATCCTTTGCACAGGAGCCCTTCGTGCCAGGTGGGGGAAAACGATATATGTAGGTTGATTAAGCAGAATCGGCTTTAATTACCCCGTACTCTATTCACCAGACCATACCATTTTACTGGTTTATATAATCGAGTTATTTACATGAGCCCCTCGCCTAGCTTGTTCAGGCAGGTAGGTCCGTCTTAACAGACCAATGACATGACATCGATAGTCTGCTCCGCAGCCAGGCTTCCGGACATCCGTCACCGCCGACGCGGGGTCGGACTGGCGTTGCTCTACTACCGCATTCTAGGCAAGGAGGTATGCATCGACATAAGACTAAATAAACTGGGGTATTTTTCTTGGCCTAGGCCCCCCTCTTGGTGTTATTATTACGATTATTCATCAAAAGCGCGAGCGCTCACAGGCTAGAACCAGGTAAAAAAGTGGTAGCACGCAGCTTTATTTTATTTGCTTTGTTCTTCCACATCTCGCGTAATACAATTTGATGCCTCCTACATTTCCACTTTCACAGTTGACTTGGTTAAACTTTTATAAAACCAGACACAACATCTCGTCTCTCACTGCGTGACCTATACGTGCCAGGTTTCCATAAGGGTTTGCATGCTAGAGTAATAAATTAGCTGCTAGCATCACCATCTCTGAACCTAGTGAAGAATGTGTAGCCAATTATAGAGCAAGATGATCCCGCAGATACTCCAGCTGACTCTGGTGCGTTATTCAAAACCGCCGACATGGCATGGCACTCAATCGATTTAGCGACTGTACCGCAATGTGCTATGAAGTACATATAATTCTAGATTGCAAAGGCAGATGCGCAAAATATTCAATTTTGCGCATACTATATACCCCTGATTCGTAATAAAACATTGTACTCATCCAACATCGGTCACCTTTGCGTACATAACCAAACATATCCCTTCCCCCTGGCATGTCCCTCAAACTGGGTAGGTGTAAAGTCTCTGCAACTAGCATCCGACCAGGGTTGCAGGCTGGGCATTGAGGGGAATCGAGAGACATTAGACTCCAGAGTATTATATAATACAGACCAAGTGATGCCGCGGCACCATGATTTTGTCCGAGCGCAACAAGGGTTGTTCAACCTCTCAGCTTTCAGTTCATTACAACCTATCAATCTCAACGAATAAGAGAGTTTTTCTCTTGCTCGTAGCACGCGTGCCACTCGCATGTAGAAAAATACGACGACGAAGTGTGACTAGCAAGGAGAGGTGCTTGTGTTATTGAGCGACGTGGCTTGATTTTTGTCTATTTAAGTAGCCTATCCTCACCTAGTCGTGGTATTGTAAAGAGCACGTCTTTTCTGATATTGTTCTCCGTTATATAGTCAACCCCCAGCCATTTCCGTCCGTACTTGTCTTCAAAGATGCAATTTATGTTCCCTCTGTTAACCTTGGCCGCCTTGGCCCTTCCACCGGCCTCGGCCCATCCCATGAGCGAGAACAAACCACGGGCACTCCCCCCGAGTATTGATCCCTTCTACAGGCCGCCGTCTGGCTTCGAGTCAAAGGCACCTGGCTCCATTCTTCGTCAGCGGAGGATTGCGGCAGCCTTCTTTGGGTTTATCCCCCAGCCTATTGAGGCGTACCAACTACTCTACTGTACCAATGCTATTGACGGCTCGCCAATTGCAGCCGTTACCACCATCTTCAAGCCTTTACATGCGAAGAAGGACAGCTTTGTCTCGCTGCAAACCGCCTACGATAGCACAGCCTCTATCTGCAACCCAAGCTACACCTATCAGCTCGGCGCATTACAGACAAACATCATCTCCTCCTTGGAGCAAATTATTATGCAGGCCTACTTACTCTCAGGGTACATGGTTGCTGCAGCCGACTATGAAGGGCCAGACGCAGCCTTTCTTCCCGGCCACCTCGAGGGCATGGGCGTACTGGATGGTATGCGTGCCGTTGTCAACTTTAGGACAAAACTTGGGCTCTCTGACAACCCCAAGATCGTCGGCACAGGCTACTCCGGCGGCGCTGTAGCTACAGGCTGGGCAGCCGGTCTTCAATCCTCCTATGCCCCGGACCTGAATGTCAAGGGGTGGGTTGCTGGAGGCACTCCTGCAAATCTCACCGCTACTTTTATGAACCTTGACGGTACAATATTTAGCGGCTTCCTGCCTGCCGGCCTGGCCGGGTTTCTGAAGCCCAGTGCCTACGGAGCTCAACTACAACCTGTTTTCGACGAAATTTAACACCCAAGGGCAAGAGAATAATAGATATTTCCAATAAGCAGTGCATTGTTGGTAACCTCCTTGCATTTCCTCAGACATCAATCTTGTCAGCAGAGTTTCAGACCCTAGGCCCCGGACTATTCCAACACCCAGTCGTCTCTGATATCATGGGAAAACACGTCATGGGTGTGTACAAGAACGAGACGCCTGTTGCACCAGTATTCCTTTATCACGCCCCCGACGATGAGATTGTGCCCTATCATGACGCGGGGATACTCGTGGATAGATGGTGTGGCTACGGTGCTAGTGTAGACTTTCTGACTGTCGCTGCCGGCGGACACTTTACCACCGAGATCCTTGGTGTTCCCGACGCCGTGAGATTCACCGCCAACGCTCTCGAAGGGAAACTTGCCGCTGGCTGCTCGACGAGAACCTCGTACAATGACACGCTGAATCCCATCGCTCTGGGGGCTCAGTTGGAGCCCGCCTTGGCGTCTTTGCTCCAAATGCTAGCAAACCTTGGCAAGAAAGACGCAAGTATCAAGCAGGATCTTACTAAACTTGGTCGTCGTATCTAAGAGTTGGGTGTGCATGGAAAGCAATTTTCTGATCTGCGCGTGGAGGATAACTGAGGATCCGGAATTGGATGGAAGAAATCTAACAGCATAGTATATTAGTATTCGTTCAAAGGATGTACTTTAAGTAGAAGGCTGCAGGTGTTACATCCTACTGAGCGGCAGACGTTAGCTAATATAATAACCTCGGGGATATTATTCAGTTTTCTTTCCCTTACATGACAGTAAACACTACGCTGTACCTACATTCATAGTCGAAAAACCACACTGCAAATAATAGCAGGGTCTACTTTAAGTTCTGTGGTCTTCTTGGCGCCCGGTTGCATTTCGAGTCTGGCGTTGTTGGGGTCTCGTTGTCTTGGCACTTTACGGCTTTCGAATGTCTTGAGGTCGCTTGTTTATTTGTCGGTAGTTAAAGTATTGCTGGGCGCTTCATAAGACACAAAGGATTGATCTTTTGTTGCTGATGATACGCGGCTAGTCTGGGCGGCCAATTATGCTCGAGTGCGGGCCATGACGATGGGAAAGCAAATCAGCTGTTATGCAATTGTTTTATGTGAGAACTGCCGTCTACCCTGGCTGAGAAGCCTCGAGCACTAGACTTCAGATGACATAACTGGTCGCCCACATCCAGTCTCAAGCTACAACGTACTCGTGCCCCCTCCCCCTCGATCACTCTAGCTTATATGCCAATGCCTCTCCTTTTGGTATAGACATCTTGGGACAAACCATATCATTACCCCAAGCTGCCAGCGCATGAATAATCCGGCTACGCGCAAATTCCACGAGACGGCTCCGGGTCATAAGTACATGTCCCCCGATTCACACAGTCATCCTGCTCTATAGCACATCGTAGCCACACCGCTTTAAACTTCCAGCCCTCAGTCCATAACGTATGATATTTACCTCTGCTTGTGTAGCCGTAGCCGAACCACTTTCTCGTGCAGCCTGGCTTCTCCCAGTAACTGATCTGTACCTGGCCACTCGGGCAGTCGCCCACCATAGATGTATCGAGAGATGCTACCTGGCAGTTTGTGTCAAAGCAAAAACCATCAGTTCCGCTGGCGACACTAGTCTGGCCGTGCAGCTCTCCTTTGCAACCGGCACTGTACAACGCCTTTACTTCGAAAGCTGGGGTAATACCGACGCAGTAGTAGTAGCCTTGCCAAAGACCGACACACTCTAGTTGACTAGGAAGTTAGCATGTACTTAAGAATGGCTATAGTAGCGTCCCTGATAGTGCAGACGTTTTGTGCTATTGGCAGCGCCGCTGGCGACGTGTTATAGGTTGACTGTATGCGGGAGTAGGAGGATTGACCAACCGTTTGTAATTGCAGGATTCCACTCATAACTGATTTCGACATTAGTGGTGTACAAAAACAGAAGAGTCGGTGAAGAGAGAAGGTTACAGCACTCACAAATTACTCAACATAAGGTGAGGATACTAGTCAACTATGCCTTGACAAGTGTCGCCTCGATCAGCCTTATAGTACTTATTGCAGGATTTCGGTATACCGAGCTGGGTAGGCGAATGCCCATTATTCTTTAGAGGCCTGGGAGATTTTCCAGGAGCGCCAACGCAAACGAGATAGTCCACAAACAAACTGTGGCACGCTGAGCCGACCGCGGGATTCCACCGGTGGAATTCATCAAGAGTGAAAGTCCTGTACTCGTCAATAATCCTTGACAAGTGTCGAGTCCTTGTACCTTGTGGCAGGTAGTACAGGCCTTGGTAAGACCGTCTTGCTGCAGGCAGGTACTGACCGCAGCCGCTACCTTCTGGCGGCCCGAGGATGTTGACGGCATACTTGATAGGAGAACGCTCTTTGCCTCCACGCAATACGATCGGCCCGGAAGGAAGTTTTCACAATCAGTTGGAAGGGAGGGATTCTAGAATACCACGTACTGAGTTAGCAGTCTCTTCTTGGCGGAATTTGTTGTTGCAGCACCTGGTCACTCTTGGCTGTCATGACTATCTGTACTCACCCACATTAACCAGTCGACCATATCAATGCCCCAAATGTCGGGAATATCCTCGCATTTGTTTGAGCCATCGTTGTCGATCCACCATTTACAATCGGCTATCGTATTAGGATCGTGGGGCATTTTGGGATTCTCACTGGTGGCATGAGCGACAAGTGCTAGGGCCATTGACAGGAAGGCATGAAGCCTAATTGATTGACTTAGCATTCTGCCGGTTGATTGCTAGATGAGAAATTCTGACGATAAAAAACATAAGGAGTTCTGAGACTCTACAAGAAGGACAAATAAAATATGAGTTTTTCTCTAGTATCTATATATAATACGTACACACAGGGCGCTATTGACTACCCCGTTTTCCTACATCTCGGTAATATCCGCAATATTGTGGCGCGTTCAAAATGAAGGAATAGCTGATGGATTTCTTGTGGTCACCAAAAAAACCTAACCTGGTGCGCGCGTTTATTATTGGAATTAATCGTGGTCCACTATCAAGAGGATTTGGCTTTCAAGTTTGGCCGCTTCGGCCTCTTACCGGTGATAACCTGGTTCACCTGGACTAATTATGGATACTTGTTTTGAAAGAGACCGATTGATATATGTACATGTTTATTTTGCACAGGGACCTTGAAAGTTCGATGGAGGCAATAATACCAAGGGAAAGACAAACGTACATGGTACTATTGACATTCAAAGGCCCTACTCGACCACCTCGTCTTAGCTACCCAGGAGGCAATGGCGGAAATTGAGAGCTAATAAGAGCTCTGCATCAAAGACAGAAAGTATAATATAAGACATCCCAGTTGACCTCTGTTTCCTACAGGATTTATCCTGGTGCTAGGTATCGTTCCCTGGGACTTACTTCCTCCCCATAATTTGACTCAAATCCACATATGTATCCCTTTAAATTTGCGAAGGAGCTACGCGAAAAGTCTTGCCAAATTCCAGTGGCAAGTGGCTTCGCCAAATATTAAATAAATCCTCATGGCTAGTGTTAAACAAACTATAATAAATAGAGTCGATACTAAAAACGAGTTTCGCCGTAACATTACTACCCACCGTTACTGAGCCACGACACGCGTGCTCGGGAGCATTGACCAAGCCATGTTCCTTAAAACAGCATCCAGGTTGCCACAGTTGCTGTACCAAATGATATCCGCTTGTCTTGCCTCCATCTCGCTGCTAATGACGCTGTAGCTGCTGTTTCTTTCGCTGCAGACGCTGCGGAGGTTTTGGGCGCGGTTGACGGGGGTGTTGATGCCACAATGGAAACCCCTTCTGAGGAAGCAGTGGCGACCTCCGGAATAAAGCATTCCGCAAAGGAAATGGTTTCCTCCAGTTTGTAAGATGCGAATGGTATCAATTTCATTTCATGATACCAACGGAAGTGACAGCTGGAAGCGAGTTGTTCAGCAACGAGGCTGTGCGCAGTCCACCATGATAAGGCCAAACTCCCAAAGTCAGAGTACGCCGACATTACCTCGGATGGGCCAACTGTGGAAAAGGCACATAATCGCGAGCTTTCTGGGAATGTGCAATCGAACCATTCCTCCAGAGGCAAAGTACAAGTTTGGAATAGTTCGGAGGTGTGAGAGGCCATGGCAACTGCCAAAGTGCCTGTTGGTCTCGGACCAACAACATAATTTGTGTAGTTCGCGGCAGCACAGAACAAGGGCTCAGGTTTAGCGATCGCGGTCGGTGAGGATTTCGGAAAGAAGACTGAATGGTTGATCGCTGCCGCAAGAGCGGCGGCGTTGAGAAGATAGAGACCGATGTTCATGGTGTCGACGTTGCATGTAGCTAAGGGTTAAACAAAGACGGACAGTACTAAGGAGTAGAGACGGCACAAGAGTCTGGCTTGGAGTTGACAGTAGATACAGACAGGGTTTGGTATATGTACTTAACCTATACATGCCCCTGAAGAAGGGCATAGAGACATGAGGCCCACGAAACTCCATTGGCCAAGGCCAGGAATATCTTGGCGTTGTGACATAACGTATGAGGAGCACATGACTCTGCGTTGCTGTGTTGATGTATTCTCCCATCTTCTGAAATGATTGAGTACAAGAATTCGAAGACTACATCGATTTGATACTTAATTACATTGACTTGTGAAAAAATGCTGTGGCAAACCAATGCGGCGGAGTTCCGACTCTCACCATTCATCGGTCGAGTAATTATGCTCCACCAAAGCGCTTCGAATAGCTTTCAGACAATCATCTTTCCGATAATTCCGCATATTCGGCCACCCATGCTGGCGAAAGATGCCTTTTATTAGCCGATTCTTCCCTGCATCATCTGGGTGCTCCGCCGCCTTTACATCGAGTACCCTTGTTGCACTCTGCGGAAGAAAGGTAAGCTTCTGGTACTGCTCTTTCAAGACTTGGAAGAAGTCTGGAATAGCCCATGTTCCAGCATCACGAAATGTTTCGGCCTCATTTACAGGGGCGTAATCGTAGGCATCTTCTCTAATAGGTGCTCGGCTGGAATGATGCATCAGATAGTGGTCGCACTGAACCCAGTGTATAATGCCGAGTCTCGTGTCTAGCAAGAACGAGTACCGTTCTTCACAGTCCCAAGTAAGACCAATAACATGAGAAGGCACGTTCTCATAATTTGAAACCCCTTCAGAAGACATCCGTGCGTGTTCAGAGGCATCACTACCAGGTTGAAAGCCGTTTTCGTGCTCTTCTACTCGTCCTTTCCAGTCGGCAAACATGCAGTGGGGTAGCACGTTAGGCCCATCATCATTAGACGGACAATCAATGTAAGGGAGATAGCGAAGTAGTGATATGACTTTCTTTGTTTTACCCAGGCCACGCATGCTCTGGGGAGTAATAGATGGCCAGCCCCCTTTAGGAGGTTCCTTGATGAGGTTTTTATCAAGATACATTTGGGCTAAAAATATATAATAGTCTCGCACAGCCGCGACCGTGGTGTCACGGGAGTAAGTGACTTCCCTAAGAGGTATCATTGTTCAGTGCAGAAAATAATAGTGTAGAAGCTTAAGACTTATAAAGAAATGACAACTCAGAAAACACGAGACTTGAGGATAGAGAGATAGAAAAAGATGTCAAGGGAAGATAAGGGGGTATACTTGCCATTTAATGGAAGCGCGTTCTTTCTGTGATAAAAGAGCACGGGAATTCTCGCTAAAGGGTCAACTCCAATAGTAATTTCCCTTCAATGTCTAGGGGCGTCTTAGGATCAAGATGCCTGCGGCGGGGACGGTGAAGTATCCGCTTGGGACTCCTGACTTGGTTGCCAAGCTTCACGGTTTGAAAACCTTTGCTTGGCGTGTCAAGAGGCGACAAGGCTGTCGATATGCACCAGTTGACATGTATACGGGTATAGAGAAGGCATAACTATCTGCATATCTGCCTCAGTATCAATTGATTGTGCTTATGTATACATTGGGCTAGGTTGTTCAACCAGCAAGCTTTGGTGGTGAAAGCTTCGCTTGAATAGCCAAATTATGAGCGGGCACGATCAATAAATACCAGTTGTCATACCAGTTGACCGTTCGAGTTATTAGTATCCACCAAGATACCAGGCCCATCAAAGGGGCCTGCGATGACATATATATGGCGTCATTTAATTTAGGCAACACTGCAGAATATGGGTCTCAAACAAAAACTGTGCAGTAAACCAGCGTTATAACGATAACCTTCGTGAGGCCAAAATTACCGATATTCGGTGACTATCGAAGGTTCAACTATGATAGGGCTTGTACCTTTACTTAGATGTACTATATGAAGGTACATTTACGAGGATTAGTTTTTTTTGACCGTGTCACGCGCAGGAAAATCGCGTTGAAGGCTATCAATTGATGTGTAAAATTACGGGTTCAGTAGGGACCAATGCCGCCCAAATAACGATAAAAGCCCCGAGCCTCGATTTATATGGTGACTAAGCCTGATGCATACAATATCATGCGAACCGCGACTATCAACGACGTACTGGGGAAAAACCTTAGATGACCGTGAGTTGTCGTAATAGCGCGACTATCGTTAGGATATAGGATCCTTGTAACGCTAGTTTACTGTGCAATATAAACAATTACTGGGTCCGAACGCCCAGCGCCCTGCAGATTCAGAAGTCCACGATGTGCAGAGGCGGAAAGACAAGAAACAATTTGTAAAAGTACTACTTGGCAGGGAAATGGCGTTCTAATATCGTGATAGACGCCTCGACGTTAGCTTTTATTCTTCCCTGCTCTCATTGTGTCAAGTATATCCTATTATTATCCTGCAACTAGTCAAGATGCAAGTTCCTCTGGATATAGCTACTGCCTTTACCTTGGTGTTTATTATCAATGCTGTGCACGCAGCTCTCAGCCTTGATGGAATGTTAGTTATGGGGTTAATTGGTGACGACGACCTTTCACTTATTAGTGATATTGACGCATACGACTTAGACTACTACGATTGTCTACCTCTATGCGAAGACTACTCCAACCCGCACATGTGGATTACTTACCTCTCGGTTAAACATTTGCAACGTTGCCAAAGTCCTATGCTACTTCAGTTGCCTGTCAGACAGCTGCTGGATAATCCCAAATCAACCAGACTATCTTGATACGCAGTTGCTCAGCTACCTCTGGATAGCAATGGGAACAGACCCGTTGACGGCATTCTCTGCTATGAATACCGCTGTGCCCAACCCTAAGCAGGACCATAATCTCTTTCGTTGCAGCCTGGACATTGCTCCCGCTTGTTTCGCCACAGGTAAACCCTGCAAGGGAATCCTAAGCATGGCTTCAACTATGGATATCGAAGAAATGGGAAATGGGCGTCAGGCTGCTGAGCTCTTGCGTCTCATGGGAAATTCCTTCCAAGAGAAGGACAACTGCGGTGAAAGATTCATTTTTGGATATCACCACAAGTTTGCTGCTGGTATCTACCTTGGTTCCGGCTTAGGCAAACAAACAGCCGAGCTCTCTCTGAATACAATGGCCGATCGCTTACAGTTGAACTCAAAAGCGCCCAATCATACTACTGCCGAGCATTTCAGCAGTGAGCTGCAGGCGGAAGAGCCTTTTGGTATATCTATTGATACAACTGGAGATCTGGCTGCGGTACAAAGAGCTGTGTTGGAGTGGAGAGAGGGCATTTGTGCTACATCCAACAAGATTCTGCGGCCAACGTGATCGATACCTAGAATTCACATTTGGCAGATTGCCAAAAGAAACTTGATGGGAAACAATGAAAAATTGCCCTTGAGCTCTGGACTTCTGGGCAGGTCCGCTGGAATGGAACAAGCCAAAACACTAAGGCCCCGGAATAGTTGTCGGTATATCAGAGTGAACTCTGGCGATGGCTGCGCAGCTCTCGTTTCCTGGTGCGGCATTTTTAGTACCGACCTTCACAGGTACAAATCTGAGCCAAGCTTGTGCTCTAGTCTCATGCCAGGAGACTACATATGTATGTTTGCTGCTCACCCGGGAACTGTACAAGGAGCCCACACCCGAGCCGCCTACGCCAAGCAGAGATGGTACCTGCGCAATTCATCTTATCAGCGATAATGATACATGCGATAAGATTGCAAAATTATACGGAGTAACTATAAGGGAGTTCTAAGGCTGGAATAAGTGTAAGAAATGGCCATGGACCGAGTGTAAGGACATGCTAGCGGACTATAGTATGTGTGTATGCGGTGGCTCGGCACCAATGCCGCCATCACATCAAGGCACCCAATGTAGACCATTAGTCCCAGGCACCAAGCCCCCAAGAGACAAGTCCATATCTATTGCTGAATTGAATCCATGTCCGCTCAAGACCTGTTGCAGCAACTGGGGCTTCTGTGGTGTTTTCCCGGCCTATTGTGACGTACACCGGCCTGGTGGTGGCAGCCCAGGGAGTAGGAAAAAGGGCCACTAAAACACTTGCGTGTCCAACCGCGGTAGGAAAATCAAGCTCAACTCTGGTCTACCTACTGTCTTTCAGAGGATTGGTTACTATGAAGCCTTTGCGTCTAAGCGAGACTGCCTTCATTTAAAGGCAAAGCATGCCAATAGGGATGGCTCATATACACATATGCACTGGGGATTCGCCGATATCGATCCAGTCACTTGGAAACCAGTCATCAACGATGGAAAAGACCAGTGGGAGGACTTCAAAAAGCTGCCAAATGTAAAGCGCATTCTATCATTAGGTGGTTGGGTATACTCGACCGACCCCGCTACGTATAGTATTATCCGAGATGCCATCATCAACAACAGACAAATTTTTGCCAGTAACTTGGCACAATTTGTCAAGGATGAGGGGGTCGACGGCGTCGATATTGATTGGGAATACCCTGGTGTGAGTACTCTTATCTTCTTCGCCCCCTGCTTATGGCGGCCTGGCTTCCAAAGTTGAAACATGGCCAGTTATAAGAGCACTGTGAATATTGAAATGTATTCAACTGAACTACTATTCTGTACTAACTTATGTCAGGCCCCGGATATCTACATCTGGAGCCAGCCCATTGGCCAAAAATCCGACGGAGTCAACTACCTCAAATTTCTTACCGCATTAAAAGCCAGAATAGGAAGCGAAAAGTCGGTATCAATTGCAGCACCTGCCTCATACTGGTATTTGAAGTCATTTACTATCGACCGGATCGCTTCTATTGTTGACTATATCGTGTACATGACATACGACTTGCATGGCTAGTGGGATGTTGGCAACCCCAACGCCTTTGACGAATGCCCATCTGGTAGATGCATTCGAAGTCATGGTAAATGCTCAGACGTAAAAAGAAGCTAGTAAGATGTGGTTTGCTAACAGGTAACGAATGCAGTAAATTTGACTGAAACCAACAACATGCTCGTGATGAGTAAGTCAGCGGCGTCTCCCATCACGCGATTCTATTTTTTTCTGGCCGATTGTTGTTTACTTCGGTTTAGTCACTAAAGCCGGGGTCCCCAATAACAAAATTTTTGTTGGTGAAGCTAGTTACGGCAGGTCGTTTCGCATGGCCAAGGAGGGTTGCTGGGGCCCGACGTGTGGCTTTACAGGTTCCCGTACACAGTCAACCGCGAATCCTGGTCGCTGTACCAACACCAGAGGATACCTGGCCTATGCTGAGATCAAAGAGATAATAAGCGCGGGAGGCAATGTCAGGACGTTCCACGATGGCGACTCCAACACGGACGTTTTGCTCTACAATGGAGACTACGTCGGATATATGACTCCGACAACGAAAGACACACGACGAACAGACTGGCGGGAGTTTAATTTCGCTGGGACGATTGACTGGGCTGTCGACTTGCAAGAATTCTCCGAGGAACACTTGACCAACACTGATCGGCCTAAATCCGGCCAAGGCTGTATATCGGGTCACGACATGACGCTTGAAACTGCTGAAATGTGCGAGTTTGCGTGTGAATATGGTTTTTGTCCCTCATCCTTGTGCATTTGCGATGAAAAGGGAAAGCTCAAGGGTCTGCCAGCCGAGAGGAAAGACGTGAAGGGGTCGGCTTGGGACTGGTTGCACTTGGATATGAACAGGCTTTGCGCGTTTTCATGCAGATATGACAACTGTCCACACGAGGTTTGTACAGACGGCATCATCCAGCAGGGCGAGGACGAGGACGAGGACTAGGGCTTGTATGAAATCACACCTGGATCTAACAGCTTGTATGAAACGCGAGCCACGGCTCACAAAGATTGTCATGTGTTTGAAATGGGCAGACTCAGGCAGACTTCGATCAATCAATGCAAGGGCCAATGTGGTGAGAAATTAAGAGAGGCCGAGGCCGAGGGCAGGGTCAGCAACTACGGCTGCATGGGGCTTTTCCCACTTGACAAGCCCATCCCTTGGATAGAAATCAGCGGTTTCCCTAGCCGCATAGCTCCAGGCAAATGCGTCTGCGATGACATGCTGATAAATACCATCGCCGAGTCTGTCATTGAGGCCATGCCCATGATCGCTGCAGTACGTCATCCAGTCCCGAAAGTCGGCCGCATCTCCAACACGAGCCGAAGCGCCATGAGAGGTCAAGTTTTGTTCTATTGGCTAACCAGAAAGCTTATAGGCCGCGTGTTTTATGCTAATGTCGGCGGTGAAGCTGGTAGTTGATGTCGGAGCAAAGTTCATCCCTGGAGTGGGCAGGGTAATTGATGCTGGCTTAAGTAGGACTTCCCATCCCTTTGAAACCCCTGCAGATGCAATGGGAGCTTGATGTTGATGAACTGACATGAATAGATATGGCCATGACTGCTGCTCGAATGGCCTCTTATATCTATCCAGACGGAGAGGATCCCGCGGGGGCCTTTAACTGGTGGCTTAGCCCATGCGGTGGCGAGAGCAATCTTGTGCCAGATGACATTAAGAAAGCATTTGAGATTCTAAACGCTGTTACTGACGGCGTATCTGGTTTCAAGCCACCCAAGAAGATAAAAAAAGGCAGTGGAAAGAAGGGTGACGACGGTAATCCCACCAACCAACAGAAACCTCGCACGCTCAATAATGGCGGCGGCGGCGGCGGCGGCAACGGGGGTGGCAACAAAGGCAATAACAAGAATAACAAGACGAAGCGTTGCAAGATTAGGAAAGGGTATTCCACCAGACGACTTGGCCGTTACAAGAATACCGTCCAGTTTCAATCCTGCGTTCAAGACAAGACCATGACGGAAAACTTGGTCATCACCTCGGCACACTATCATGTCAATGCCAAGCCCACCGATGTAGTCAAAGTATGCCCCAAGAAATATACCCAGGCATGCTACCACTACAGTTCTGCTACGAGAGTCAGCCCTCAATGGGCAACCATTACCTGCCCTCCGGAAGCTGCCAAACCCAACTGGCGACAGGACGGCGAGGCGACTGCGACTTGGGCAACACAGCATGGCGGTACCGGGTGGAAAGATATAGCACACCGAGAGGAGCCCCAATGTGACAGGGACGAGTATCCACCAGCATATCTCCTGAATGAGCAAGACGACGCTTTGAAATGGGGTGGCAAGCCGCAGGGCAATGGGCAGCTCGTCCGCTTCCTTCCCGCCAAACAAAACCAGGGGGCCGGGAAACTTTGGCAGGGAGCTTGCTCTGAGGGACCTGTAGGGGACATTTCAGACATGGACTTGATAAATCGAGTTAGGAATGCGCCAGCTAAACTGCAGAGCGTTTCCAAGGACGCTTCTAGAACCCTCACCAAAGCCGAGGTCACGGTTACCCAAAGACCACAATGGCATATGGAGTTTGAACACACGGTAAACCCACTGCCGAATGATGGCTTGAACGATAACCCATGTTGGCCATCCAAGATTGCGCCGCAGGATCCGGGCTTTGCTTTACTCACGTTTGACCCTTATTACATCTCACTATACGGAAAGGATCAAACTAAAACAAAACACCCGTATACGTACGATGCGCCCTATAACCCCCCAGCTAATGGTGAGTGAGAAGTACAGTATCTTACGGGTCAAGTGTTTGTATAAGCCGCAAGTAGTCGTGCTGGTATGAGAAGTTTACGCCGCCAGGTCCGAATCATCTGAAGTTGGCCCTTTTAGCTTGTTAAAGATTAGGTTTTCAAATAAGTACTAGGGTGAGTCCCACGAGTACCCATAAAACGGCGCGTAGTTTATCCATCTCACACTTGTGAAACTCCCCAGCTCCACTCGAAGATTACGTGATGGTCAGAATGGTGTCTAGTCACCATATGGCAACATACGCTCCAGAACTTGCGACTCTCCAACCTCTTGTATACAATTCTCAACTTGATCCCATTCTCTTTACAACCATCCCTGCTAACGGGTTGTTTGACAGGCCGCAGTGCGAAAGCAATCTATACCGTCTCGGCTGACAAATACCCAAAGGCCCTCCTCACTGGCACCAGTTTGCCCAACTCTCGCGACTCAATGGCGGCATTCCTTACCGCCTTTGATATCCCCAAGCCTGCAAACTCAGTCCACTCCGATCAAGCTGCTTCATTGGTCGATTCCAATTCTGGGCTGCCTAATTCTCGTAGTTGCGTCACCTGCCGCCGTCGAAGAGTCCGATGTGACAGGCACCAGCCTTGCTCCAACTGCGACCGCGCTCACATTCAATGCGTCTTTCCGCCTCCGCAGCGTGCTTCTCGTCGGACGAGACAAGTAAACCACGACACGCCCGAATTGAACCCTAGAGCTTCAGAGATTGAACTTATGAAGCGTCGTCTGCAGAAACTTGAGAACATTGTTACCCAGCTCAGTGGACATGTCGAAGTCAACAGGGAAACTTGCGGCCCACGACCCTCCAGCGGCTACGTGTCTTCGAAAGTTACCGACCCTGATGCGACCAATAGTACGGGCGTTGCCAGCCGGCAAGAATCAAATATCATTGAAGGTGAGGCAGCTTGGAACGAAGATGTAGCTCCAGAACTTGGCCGAACAGACCCGGGGTTGATAGAGACACAAAATGCGGTGCTGCCGGCTGATTTAGCCGACCAATTTGGACGTTTGGTTGTGCACGACAATGGAAGCACTGGACAATACATTAGCAGCGCTTTCTGGTCCAAATTGAATGACGAGGTAAAGACAAAGGTGCCCATTCTTGCAAATATAGTCATGTGTTTGACAAATATATCCCAGCTTAAGCATCTCCATACCGATATGTATTTCCTGAATAGTGTTCCTGATACCTGTTGGGATAACACTTCCTCCAACCAATCTCCGAGACAGGTCTCGTGTGTGGTCTCAGATCGCCATAGCATTCCCTTTGGATTTGGTTCCATGGACGTGGATCTACAAGCACTACGCCCTAGCGAAGCAGAAATATCCATTTTATGGAAGACTTATCGAGAGAACATTGACCCTATTCTCAAAATCTTGCATATACCCTCCATGGAAAAGGTAGTGCGCAGAGCAAGGAGGAGTCCTAGCAGTCTGGAACCGGGGAGCGAAGCTCTTCTATTCGCAGTCTACCACGCTGCCATAGCGTCACTAGAGGATGAAGAGGTGAGCAACTCAAAAGCAATACGTCAAAAAATGCCATCAGACGCTTAATATTTGCATTGTGACTAGGTGCAATCGAATTTCAAGTCATCCAAGCCACACCTTTTGGGCAAGTACAGGTTCGCTTTAGAGCAAGCACTTGTCAGAGCCGATTTTCTCAATATCCTCGACATAACGCTTGTGCAGGCGTTTACCATATTTCTCACCCTCGTGCGGCGGCAAGATAATACGAGATTTTGCTGGACTGCAGTAAGTCTTGTTATAAGGATGGCCCAAGGACTAGGAATTCACCGTGATGGGACCAAATTTGCACTTGTTCCGTTTGAAGTTGAGATGAGACGTCGCCTATGGTGGGCAATTTGCACTCTAGACTTGAGATCTGCAGAGGAGGCAGGAACGGGTCTCATCATAGGCAACTCTTCATTTGACACCATGTTGCCATTGAACATCAACGACACTGATATTAGCCCGGAAAAGAAGGAAGCGCCGATGCCCAGAGACGGTCGATCAGATTGCTCCATTTGTCTCGTTAGGTATGAGGTATGCGCCGTTTCTAGACGCTTGTACTTTGCAAGCACCGAGCCACGGCCAGCTGACGCAGATACCGTCGGACTGAACTTGGAGGAGCGCGAAAAGATGCTGATTGAAGTCAAAAATCGAGTCGAGCAAAAGTTTCTGCGATACCAAGCTTTCACAGAGGACTCATTGGGTTGGATGGTGGCCATCATCGCACGCTTAATCATGGCCAAGATATGCTTGGCCATATATCATTCCGCCCTCTTCCCTGGTATCAGTCCCGAACTGTCAAAAGATATGCGAGATCGATTGTACATCTCAGCGATTCAAATCATGGAGTATTACCATATTCTGTCGACGGATGAGCGCTGCCGGCAATGGCGATGGATCATACAAACCTACCGGCAGTCCCATGCTGTTGCCTATGTGCTCATGGAAACTTCTCAAAGGCCGTGGACGGCAATGTCTGAGCGTGCCTGGGAAGCTGTAAACCCATTGCGCCGCGACGGCCAAGCCATGAATTCCACCGCTGAACCGGATCCAACTATTGCGGGCGATACCGCCGGCATTCGCATGCCTCTAGGCCGACTCTTCACGAGGATGGAGAGTCACCGAGAAGCTGAAATCCTACGTATCAGGTCCAACCCTGTGTCAGCCCATGAGTCAGATGGTCAGGATCGCATGAGTGCGTTTTCGAAATGGCTCGATTCTGCCCCTGGGCTTGAGTCCAGATTACAACAGATAGACAACCGCTGGCGAAGGTTGGTCCAGCAAGAACGCTCTGAACCTTGTTATCCTTCCGCCACAACCCCCACGCCCTGGACTGAGCTACCCGCTATGGCTACATGGCAGCCGGAAGCTGCCGTTTCGTCAGGCCTATGGGGGGATCAGTTGAAGTTTCAAGAAGCTACCCACTCTCTGAGCCTCAATCCGTCCGAACAATGGCTATACGACTTCGGGATCACTAACAAGCTTATATCATTGGACACAAACAGCTATGTGGCTCCTTGTGCTTATACTGCCAGTGATGTTCCACTCGAGCCACTGGCCGGGATCGCCAGCATCCCGGATACAAGAGCGGTTTCCAATTCACATATCTCGTTACATGCTAAACAGACATCACTAGCTTATGGCGAGAACATGTCGGCTAATGAGTTCCGTCATGACACGCAGCCGTGGTTATGGCCTAGCTTTCCTCCAATACCGACTGAGGAGACTGCCACAGGATTAATCAACAGAGATGTAGGCACAAGTTTTAATGAGACTAATTTGGATAACTGGCAAAGAAATTTGTAGAGAATAGAAGAAATCGTTTTGGAGTAAACGTAAGTGTACGGGTAATTCTCAGCCTCGCTGTTAATTGTCTCAGCGGGTATATTCTCCCTATCTAAGAGTATAGCGATATAGATATTAGGGTCCAAGGACAGAGAGGTCTCGACATTCTAGGACTACGTATTGTGGTACTCTGTGAAGATTTGGCGGCGAACCTGGTTTCCCTTGGCGAATTGCGACAGCATAGGTATTGGTGGTATTACCGGCTGGGTTGTGATTGCTTCTGAGTATATAAGTAGTTTTTCATTTAAAATAAAAGGTAAAATAGTTGGTATTCTATAAAATAAAATGGAACGGAAAGAAAACAGGAATAAAATTCCGTGTATTACCGCCTATTTCACATTTCAAAATACTTTTACGAAGCAAAATAGTAGAGCCCCCGACCATGCAATCTCAGGCCACCTGGGTTGATCTGTGTTCTGGCTGTCCAGCTTGGCCCTAGCTGGCCTGTTCACCTCGTACGCGGTCAGCCCATAGTCACTCGCCCAGCAGCCGGGGCGCGTCGCCGCCAAAGTCGATCCACGGATTAGTCGCCAGAGCCTCGGAGCCCTGGGCACTCGGGACCTCGTAGCGCATGACGAACTTCTCGGGGCCGTGGGCGTACGCGACTATGAGGCCGTGCTCGGCGTCGAGGAAGGCACCGTGGGGTCGCTTGCCGGGATAGCTGAGGCGCCAGGCCGGGCCGCCCGTCTCCACAACCGGCACCGAGAGCTTGACGACCGCGCCGTCGGGGAGCTGGTAGAACCACGTCATCGGGCCGCCCGACACCACCGTCATGACCTCGTCAATACCGACGCCTTTATCGGTCGTGTTGACGTGGAGGCGGCCGAAGCGCGCCTGCACCAAGTGCTTGGCGTCTTGGTCCATGGCCTGCATGTCGTAGACCTTGGGGTACGGAGCAACCCCGTGCTCCGAGGTGTTCAGGTGGCCGCCGTCATGGACCTCGGGCGTGCGGCCGGCAAGCTGAATTTGCGCCAGCAGGTCGCTGCGGTGTAGGCTGAACATGGAGATTAGCTGGGCCTGCTCGTCCTCCGAAAGGGCCCGGGTCTTGGACGCTTCTAGGATCGGGCGAGCCTCGGGGGGAGAGGGAGCCCGGTTGGCGTGGACGCCGACTGTGCGCAGCACCTCGTTGACGGCCTTGATGCCGACCGTGGACGGCCGTCCGTCAATGTAGGAGAGCGTGAGATCTGCCTTTGTCATTTCCACTGCTAAGGTGTAAAGCGGTTGAATGGCCGTCAAGTGAAAAGCGTGGCTTGAGCTGCCTTTCTAGAAAAGAGCACTTTTGTTTGAATGGTACGACTGATACAATAATACGAAACAATAGCACAAGCGGCCCTTGAGCAGTTTGGTGGGTGACCGTGGAGGTTAAAATAATTTCTTCGCTGGACCTGGGGGTGAAATTGCGCAAGTATCAGGCTTCTCACCTCGGCTTTTACATCTTGGCTTTCGTATTTCGGAGTAGGAAATATCTGGTCCTACCTGTCCACTGAAACTTAATTTTATGGTTATATACATTTATTCCTCAATACCCTGATTCTTATTCTACTGTCTACTTGGTGTAGTTACCTGCTTATCCTTAACTGGTAGTATTAGATAATGCCTCTATAAATTACAAGTCGCAAAGACTTGGTGTGATAGTTGACTCCACTCAATGCGCTCCCTCCTGACATTAATGCACTATCTCTTCATGCAGTCGGGATACGCCGTCGGCGATTAACGGCCAATCGCGAGGCTACCGTGCGAGCTTAAGTGGGGCAGGCACGGGTATTGCATTGACCTGCTCCACGTTCGCTCTCGCTGTTCGCTGTTCGCTGTCGCTGTTCGCTGTCGCCCTTCGCTGTTCGCTGTTGGCGGTCGCTGTTGGCGGTCTGGGACATGGAACTATGTGCCAGCGGAATGCGACATGGGTCGGTAGTATGTGTGGGAAACGACCCCGGGGGTTGCTCGATTTCGCAACGCCCCGGCGCCCACTTGAATGACTACATGTACAATGGTTGTGAACTTGGGATCCGTTATTTAGGTCCAAAATGAAAGTCGTGCTGGATTCATTAATGCTTGTATCTTCCTTGTGTTCCTGGGCGGGGAGATTTTGTCTCCTCTGTCACCTTGCACCGCCAACGCTACTATTACTATAGCCGATTGCATTTTAGAGTCAAATTGACGCCAAACAGTGAATAGGTATTAAGTCGACTCTGTTTTCGAGAGCGAGATCTTCTTATAGCAATATAGTTCGTGGCTTACCTACTGGTATAAAGATAGTACTCCTCCACCCGACCAGGTTATCTCCACAAGTCGTAGTAGCTGTACCACAAAGGGGAAACGTGTAAAATAGATTTGCAATTTGAAAAGCATGCTAGCACAAACTCGTGGTACATATCGTTGTCTGATAATAGATGTCTGGTGCAAAAAAGCCGCCACTGTAGGGCTGTTTGTCGTCCAATCCAACTTAAGAGCCCGAATAAGTATCGCCAAAACCCAGCCTATAAACCGCTTCAAATTACTTACATTGATTCAAGTGGTAACAAGCTCGCACGGACCTGCACGATTCTTCAAGCTAGGATACAGGTGAGGCACTTTGATCTTTTAAAGAAAGCGGATACATGGTAGTTCGTGGAAGAATTCAAACTCTGGAAACTGACGGCCAAAGATTCGGCACGCTCGCTTAAACATTCGGTAAAGAATTCTCACTTATAAGTTTCCCTTCCGCGTGGAGTGGACGATGATTGTCAAGTTTCCCCTGAATAGACGCCAACTCCTGCCGAGTACGATAATTAACGTCGACGGTTTAAGAATAATATACACTTCTCATATAGACGAAGAGCGGCGAACGGCAGAGCTCGCTTGATTTGACAACGTTTACAAATATTTTCTACTTACTAATTCATCTGGCTCCCTTGCTTCCTGTATTTTAATACTCAAGCACGTCGTTTTGGCTTGGTCCATCCCGAAGCTCCCATGTCCGTGTGGCGACGTTGTACATGTACGCGGTACCACTATTCGTTACCAATTGGCAAAACCCGACAGCCAATCGCGCATTGTCCAATTCAATGTTTGATGTTAAACCCAAAAATTAGGGCAAGACGTGGAGTTGGTCTTTACGATGCCACCTTGTGGATATGGTAGCCCCAGCCAGCTACACCCCACGGTGTGAATTTGCGTCATCCTAGAGTCAATTCAACCCACCTGGGTGATACGCACCAGGGCCAAGCGTTGGACGAGGAGCATCTTCTCAGACCCAAAGTCGAACCCGAAAGCGTTAAAATAGTTCCAAGTCAACTCGGTTAATCCAATAGCCTGAATATTCCGATATGCGGCATGGTTGCTCTGATGTTGGGATATTTTTTTCTTGAGGGATATAAGACCATAAAAGGGAGAGACCGCCCACACCTCATTAACGAACTTTCCATTACGGCAGTGCCGAATTATCCGCATCATAGAGGCCTTTGTGGAGAGCGTCTACTATTTAAAACGCAACTTCTGTTTCTCATATTTTTCACAACACTTGTTCTGCGCCTTGCTGTTTACGGTGCATCTTTACCAAGATGTCGACATCAACAAAAATCGTCATCACTCCGGAAAACACGGGATTATGGAATATTCAACAGAGTGAGGAAGCAGCCCAAGCAGCGAGTGAGTTGCTTCAGAAGGACCTTGAGGTAAAAACCTTGTGGATATGGCTCGGGGCAATCAGACGTTGTATTAATACGCATTTAGGGGCATCATGTGTTCTTGAATAACAAGGGCTTTCATGACCACGTGAGTTGAAGCAGCATGCCTTGAGACAGCCAGTTGGTATACTGACATATTATACGTCAGATGTTGCATCATATTCTCGCTCTCTACGGTACTGGCGCGAGTGTTACTCAGCTGAGAAAGGCTTACGATAGCCGGCATCCACTGCAACGCCCTACCCAACCTCCTCACGACGATGTGGCAGCCCATCTTAGGGCATCTTGGAGCAACTCGGTCAAGTATCTAGGGCAGGAGCAGTACTACCCCGACTTCCTGGCCTATTTTCAAAGTGTTATCAGGACTAAAGGATACAAGTCTGTCGTGAATGAGTACCTCTTCAAAGGGGATGCCGCTGCCGATGATCTACTAGTTCGTTTACATGCTGGTGTATTGCACCCATTGATCCAGTTGATGTATGGACTAGAGTGGAAGCAACCAGCGGTAGTTGCAGAAGCTCTGGCCGAGACTTGCGTTCACCGGCTCGAGGGTTTAGACCAACTTCTGGTCCCAAGCGAGCGCCGTGGACGCGCTCCATCACCACGGTCCCAGGAACGGCCGCTTCTATCAATTTACCACGACATCCGGTCAAATCATGACTTATCAGTCGCAGTACAGATTGATGACGGAGCCGACAAGATTCAGGCCGGCGTTCTTAAGCGTGTCAGAGAACCCATGCTGAAAATCCTTGAGCGCGTTTCCGTTAACCCGAGCAAGCTGGACGAAAGAACGGCAGAAATGATGCATGCAATCATCTACATTAGTTCTGGGGCTGCCATTCAGCCACCCCAGCATGTCAAATATGACTTTTCTTTGATGTAAGCTCTCGGAAAACTCAAAATCACTGCAGCATGCTAACATGGGCTTTCTTAGGCATCACATAAATTCTTCGCTCATATATCTAACAATCAACAACCAAGATTGGATCAGCGTAGGCACTAAAGTCCGAATGCTGGAGTGGAAAATCAGAATGGACTTGCTGCAGTACGTGGCACAAGGTAGTCCTGCGTTCTCTGTTGAGTCTATTGTCAACTATACACCAAAATTGCAACATGGATCGATGGTTTCCGTTCGAGGTGAGTGCTTGCACATGGCCAGGTCAAAAGGCGGACTAACATGATTTCGTGGTGTCCAGATATCGGAGTTCGACTGCAATCTTTTGGCGATGACGGACATGCTATTAAACAAGCCAGGGCCACTTCCATTTGCCACGAGCTGATGAAGAAATACGAAACCAAGCCCTGGGCCGTGTTGAAAGGTGATGACATTTGGAAAAAGATCCAGTATATGGTTGTTGATGCTGTTGAAGGCCCAGGCGTGCTCTACGTTCGCTGTGCCGGGTTGCAAGAAGTTTGGAAGGTACTACGTTCTCATGGTGTATGTGCCACTGGCGATAAGACATGACTGCTAACTCTGTTGGTTGACAGGACGTTCCCCTCCAGTCGAGACCAAGGCGGCAGTCTAATGTCCTTGAGTCCTTACAAACTGGAAGCGGTAGTTCAGAGGAAGCGCTTAGAGGCTATGTTTGAGACGAAAGGAATCCCCAATAACCAAAAGTTCGTGTGTACTATCAAAGGCACTATATTTGTGAGGAAACAGATCCACTTTAGAACCTGGGAAGATGGAGTCCAAAACTTAGGCTGTGTGAATAATTGCCTAAATAAGTTATACTAGACCTTGCTTATACTTTTAGCTCACCGACTTCTTGCATAAACAGACATAGTTGATGGTTAAGGCCGTGAAGGCATTCAGGGAGCTTGAATACCAAAGTTTACATGTATTATTAGATGTATTGAGTCATGTTGCTCCAAGCATTTACCCTTACCACGCTTTCTGATATGTTGTCGCTAGCAACGACGTTAACCTGGCTACAAGTGAAGTCTAACACGTATCGAAACCAGATGTCTTGAATTGTCTATCGAGAGCTACAAATACAAGAGAAACAAGAGAGCCAAGGGGCAAGAGGCAATACAATGAGAAGAACAAAGAGACAAACATACAAATAGGAGAATAAGCAAAGAGCGTATAGAGCTTGCCACAACTAGGCCTGCTTGTCGCTGCGCTTCGGCGCGGGCTCTGGGAACCACCCGTTACTCTTGCATTCCGTCTGAGATTGCTCGCTGCCGTCGATGCAAGTCACAAATTGTCCCTTAATATTACTGCAAACCCAGCGGGGGCTAACGCAATTGGCCTCCTCTTGTTTCTTCTGCTCTTCCTTGTAGGCTTCGATCTCTTCCGGGGTCTTGTCCCGGCCCGAGCCCACAACCCAGCCGTTTGCCTTACAAACCTCCCTGGAGGAATTGTTGTCGTCCATGCAGTACTCAAACTTGAATTTTCCCGCCTTGTCGTCGAAGCTCTCGCAAGCCAACCTGGGACGGACACAGCTAGCCGCGTCTTTCGTTCCTGCCTCTCGACAGGCTCGGGCTAGTTCTTTTCCAGCCGGTGTAGCCTCATCATAGGCATAGGCTGGGTCGCATTTTTGGCGGTCGTGCCAGCTCTTGCATCTCTTTACGTCCTCACGCCAATACCAATGGCTCTCATCCTTGAATGGCACGCAGAGCTGCGTGGGAGGCAGCTCAACTGTAGCACAACACGCGTCAAAGCCGAAGGGAGATGGCTGCGTTCCCGACCTCCCCCAAATCGGGTTGGTTCGTAGCCATTGACCAGCCTTGGTTTCGGGGCCAATTAGTCCACCTTCTGCAGCATTGACCGTGATAAAATCATAGATTGCTGTCAGAAGCCCTATTCCAGCTCCCGTCCCTCCACCAAGGCCGCCCGGGGTGGACGAAGCAGGGGCTTTAAGGGCATTGTGTAGGCTGGTGAGTGTCCCCGGTGCATCTCTCGACAGCCCCTCAAGAAAGATTTTGATCTTCTCGGGGTCGCCTTGTGAATCAGCTATGATTTGATTCAGAAGAACCCGACCATTGCTCTCGTCTGGCTTTTTGATGTCCTCCTTCGGCCCACAAATAACCTACCGTTGTCAGGTATATTAGCACTCTGCCAACATGTACAAGCCAATCTTTCCACTTCACAACGGGGTTGAACTCACCACGTAGTCACCCTGATTATGAGGACCTCCGGATCCTCGGAATCTTCGGCTTAGCTTCTCGCAAAACTGTACACCAAGTTGCACAGAAAATTTCTCTGCGTTGGAGCCATCTTTCTTGACACATGTTCCCGTAAACCTTTCGTAGCCGTCTTGTTTTTCGGTGACAGTGCCAGCTTCATATCCACCTTCGGCGCAGTAGGCTTTGAGATTGTCGGCGCCCTCTTTCGCCTGCCGCTTGTCCGCCTTGGCGGGACTGCCCGCGGCCACTCCGGCCAGTAAGGTGACAAGTCTAATCGAAAGCTTCATAGTCGTCAAGGAGTAGATATATGGACAAATGAATGGTAAAACGATTGAATGAATGGATACTGGAATGATGTCTCTGATGAGTGTCCGTTCCTCGAGGAGCTGCAGTAGCTTTATATACCATTGCGCGTGTACAAACAACAGACATTTGCAAAGTCGCCGCGTACGTTTGGCATGACAAGACCGAGAAGCCTGACGTCAGCTGTTCATGCACTCCATGCATAGGGTGTCATTTTCCCCCTTATACTCGCGGCGCCGGTGGCTGGCGCTGGCGACTGCGTTGGCATATACTCCATCACACTGCTCGGGAATCAAGTTACGGCAGTTATGTCTGTTGTTTGCGCAATGCGTAGGTTCGGACCAAGTGCATCAATTCCGGGGGTCTCTCGGCTCAACTGGGCCGTAGGGGCTTCATGCAAATATGCGTTCTGACTCGGTCTGACTTGGCTTCAAGGATGATGAGAGAAGGCAGCTCCAAGACTGCATCGCTTGTGACGGTCTTTAAAAGAATGCACTTACCTAGTAACAAGTAGACACTAACTTGCATTTGTTTAGTTTGGCATATAAGCGCCATAGCCAGGTACGTAATCTAATGATATAGATAGTTCCTTGTCGCTTAATATACGATCGTGAACACGCCACCCGCGTGGGCCAGAACTATACGAGCGGGTTTGATATTAATCATGCAGGCCATAAGGGTCCTCTGTGGAGCAAAGAGGCACGGGCTCCTTACCCCAATGTGGACACTGTTACCAGCTTGTCGGGAATGCTGAAATATGCTCAAACAAGCTATAATATTATGTCTTTATCTATATAGCAGAATGAGAACGGTTTATTCTAGCAATCAAAGTGCGCAACACTTTTACAATTTCCCAAATAGACTGTTTAGATATCATTCGTCGAATAAACTAAAATTGGGCCCGCAACCTATGCGCCTGTAAATCCCACTAGTGCTCGTTTCGTGCTAGGATGCCAGGGCATAATGCAATTTCACTGACGCGGCTGGCCTACCAGATAAGCTTTCGGTAAGGAAACTTTACCTGCCAAGTTAATGCAGCGAAAAAATAGCACTTGAGACTAATATTGGCGCCTGATAGTTGATATAATCGGTTCATGCCAAGCTTTACTCGGCTGTTGTGCATGAGCCCACCCCCTTCAAACTATACTTGCCTCGGCTATAAACACCGTACAGTTAAACCCTTGAATTATTCCTCGTGCTTTGTCTAACCGAGAAGCTTAGTAAGTGAAAACATATTTAGTAAAATTATAAGAAAAAATATATAAAAATTAAGTAAAAGGTTTTATTCTCTCACTATAAAAGCATGTTTTTATTACTTATTTACCTTTTTACAAGGTCGCGCATGAAAAATAATTAAAGAGTTTAACTGTAAATGCCGGAACTTCCGAAATTCTAGCGCGTATTACACCAGACGTGAAACGATCCGAAAGACGTCAACGTTAGTATTACCAGGAACCCCCCCACGTTGCAAAAGCCCGAGGAGATGCTCTGCTGTTAATAACATCGCGCGCAGTTGGGGTCGTTTGCTGGGGGACTTGGCAATGTACCTTTTCCTGCGTCGCATGATGCAGACGCCAGATAATGCGTACCAGACGCAATTGTGGGCGACCACAACTTTATGGCGAGTCATACGAGGCTATGCTATGGTAGCGAACCACTCGTCTGGAACTGTGTTCCGAGAAACTCACATCAGTCTAGATGAGAATAGATTACATGGGATGGATTCACCGATACTAGCAGAAAAGTCCTGCAAATCTCCTTGCTACATGTACTGTCAGATCGTCAATCAATCTGCAAAGACAGGCTAGTAGTTTCGCGCCAGTTAAGTACAACCTCTGCCTGAGACTCAATGCAATGACGATGATCGCGGCTGTGTGGTAGATTATCTCCCTAGGCTGCTTCCTGCCACGACCTTCTCCGACAAGCCATGAATGGTAACTCGCCCAAGATGTCCTTTGTGCTGACAGTTGTCACTATTCTCGGCAGCGCCCAATCGCGGATCCATGTAGTACCGGTCTTCTGTTCTAGTTCCGTGTGCAAGAGCGACGGGATGTCGGCCTTGGTTTTCAGCAGGCCAGCCACTGAAAACGAAAATGATAGATCCCGTCGGCCGCCGTTGTGGGGTGAGGCGTATCGCAAACGTATCCAAGAACACGCTTACAGCAGCGGAATTGGCTTGCCCACGGCTCCCGATGATAGCAGAGGATAATAATAGCAAGATGGACAAGTCTAAATCGTTGCGAAGATTTTTGGCGATATTAATTGTTCCTTGTACCTCGGGTCTAATGGCGGCCATGGGTTGGCTGCGTAACTGTTGCACATCATCAAATCCTAAATCACGTCAGAAAAACATTTATAATAACCTGAGGAGATGATAACATTACATACGAGTAGCACCATGGAACATTGGACGCAGGCCTTGATGGGAATACAAAGTTCCTCGCTTCGCGGGAGTGCATCCAAAGCGCCAGCCTTCTAACACCCCCGAAGCCCCCGACGAGGAGGTAGGATGCGTGTCCTCTTGGAATACGATCAACAAAGGTATCTAGATTCATCCACAACCCAAGGTAAGTCGCGCGGTAAATAAATAGTGGCCAGTAGAAGTGTTATGAAGGCTGGTTGCTTTTTGATTGCATCAAGACAAGCGTGCTCTTGGCTGCTTATATCGCAAGTCTCGGCAGTGTCGTATGCATTTCTTTTGTGGCCGTCTTCCATGGCCCGAGATGAACAATCTTTTCTTGGTTACGAAATTTGAGGTCTGAGAAGTACTGTTCAAGACAAGGCAGCACGTGTTGAGATACGCTGGAAAAGAATATGGTCCACCACTGCTCTGTCACTCCCACGAGCTGTAGCTAAGCACTATGGGCTATCCTTCAATGTTATCTTCTACTCCCTCATGGGTTGCGAGTCGGCTAGCCCAGAATAAGTAATAATTGTCCCGAGGTTGCTGGGACAAAGCGGAATATGGGTTTCAATCCAACGCTACCAAATAAAGAGGCCTGTCTGTGGTTACAGTGTAGATGGGCACACCTAGTCCCTACATATGTCCATGTCCGGTCTGGTACTTATTAATGCCCCATCGGAAGTTGATGCCGGTGGAGTAGGCACGGTTTTAAGCCGGCGCTGGCTTGATAAGCGTCGAGTCAAGTGGGATGTACTACCAGACTTCACATGATGCATGCAGATAAGGAGGCTAGACCAATGTACATCTTTTCTTTCAAGTTAAAAACTACCCGTTGGCAACTAAGTGCAACGGGTACACATCCCACTTTGTATTTGTCCACAAACGGCAAAGCCGAGCTCATTCATTGTGGAGGAGCATTATTTTTCGCCGCAAGTTACAGTATTTACAAATTACTTGCGGTCAATTTACTCCTCGATGCCATGGATATAGTTTGCCATGGTGCTATAACGGAGCTTGGGGAGTGGAACCAGACGCAGTACCCTAGACCCTTTGCTCAACATGGAAGCTACACGTCGCACAGCGGATACAGAATTGCAAGTAACAAAGTCAAGAGTCCCTTCATTCCATTGCTAATTTATCTATAGCGGATATATGCACTGACTTTTAATCAAATTCCATCATTGTGGCCTTCCTAATGCCAAACTTCTGAGAGATTGTCACCCAGCCAGCTGTGTAACAAACAATGCGAAACGACGCCGCGTCGGTATTATCCCCAAAACCCGCATCCAAAGCCCTTTCAATGACTTCGTAATCAACGAAACCTAGGTTCTCAACAGTTTCTCTCGTCAGCAGACTGCTAAACATTTTGTGCAACGGCCCGTTCTTGGGCCAGTTCGTTGGTGCCCAAAAGGTAACCTTTTTGCGGTTGTACAGCTCGTCGGTAATATAGGGACGAGCGGCTTCACGAAGAATCCATTTCTCCGTAAGGCTCTGTAGAGCAGACCCAGCAGGCCGGCTAGCTACACCATTTATTTCTGTCGGTGCGTACATGATCTTGATGCTGGGCGGCAGAGCGTTTACATATTCTGCGAGTTGGTGATCAAGAAATGGCGTACGTCCCTCAATGCTGTGCGCCATTTCTGCACGGTCGCCCAAACAGGACAAGATGACGTTTATTAAGATGCTCTTGTTCCACAGGTACATGGCAGAGTTGCTTGGGTGCCATTTGCTGCTTAGTTTCTCAAGGACGTCGTTTGAATGAGACGCCATCAGGGTCTTTCGGCTATCCCACTCATCCCCGTACTCTTCGTGTATCCATTCTTGGTACACGTGCTTTGGAGGTTGCCATGCCAAAAGACTGTCGGGCATTGTGCTGCTGTCGTTAACGGGCATCGTCCCTGCCATTTCGGACTTGCTGGCCTGTGGTCGCCAAGTGGCACTCGTCTCCGCGTGGGCGGTTTTGCAAAGTGCCTCTCCGAACTCGAGATCCTCGGACGGAGCAGACCTAAGCATTGTCAAATCCGGCTCACGAAGGAACTCGGTCGCAAAGCTGGGGTATCCGCAAAAGTGTTCGTCGGAGCCTTCCCCAGTCAAGACAGCCTTTACGCCATGCTGGCGTGTGAATTCCGACAGGCAGAATTTTCCGACGGCATTGAGATCAAAATGGTGGTGCTCGCAGTGGTAAGCCGCCTCGGCAAAATTGTCTGACAGCGCTTGCTCGTCCAAGTTCAGCTTGAAGCACTCAACGCCGAGCCACTTGGCAGTTCGGTCAGCGATGGCTAATGTCTTTAATTAGCATTAGGAAGCTGTTGTGGTTGATATAGATTGGTACAACCCACCTGTTTCGTCGTACTCTGACTCCTCGCCGAACCGGATACTAAAGCAGGAAATGCGTCTAGATTCTTCATTTCCAATTGGAACATTCTGTTCCTTCACAAGATCTGCGGCAATGCCTGCAATCGTAGACGAATCAATGCCACCCGACAAGTATATGCCTACCGGCACATCTGCCTGTAAACGAAGGCGAACTGACTCAACGAGTCGTTCACGAACTCCGAGCACCATGTCATCGATACTTCGGACATCAGGCTCGGTCTATCCCCTCAAGGTCAGTACCTAGAGAATACAGTTGTACTTGACTTGTAATAGCAAGCATGGAACTTACTTTGTCAGGATACTCAGCATCCCAGTACTTGTTGATTTGCACGCCATGCTTGTCAGTCACCTCCATCCAGTGGCCAGGCATGAGCTTCTTCACGCCTTTGAAGATTGTCCTGTCGTCAACCAACCAACCACAGTCCGAGATTCCACGAACGTCCCATTCTGGCTCCCAGCCCATAGCCATGAATGCCTTTGCCTCGGATGCGAAGAGAACCTGTTCGGACACTGTAGTCCAGAGCAGTGGCTTTATACCGAATCGATCTCGGCCCGCGATGGTTCGTTTAAAGCCCTCTCTATCATCATGGAGAACAAAGGCAAATTCGCCACGAAGGTGCTGAAATAGGCCAGGGCATCCATAAATTTTATACAATGCAATGACCAACTCGCTGTCACTGTCGCTGGAAAACCTGTAGCCATACTTCTCACCACACTCTTGCCTCAAGCGGTCATGGTCATATATCTCTCCGTTGACAACTGCGTGTATCTCTCCGTCATCACTGTGCAATGGCTGCGATCCATTGGTCGAGAGGTCGTTGATTGACAATCGACAGTGTGCGAGACCAACATGTCCGTTTTTGCTTATCCAAACGCCCGATCCATCTGGACCGCGATGCTGAATGTCATTAATTCCATCTTGCAAATTCTTTGAAAGAGATGCAATTTCAGCTTTTGTCGCTGTTCGGCCGTCCTCGCTGTCTTGTGTCTGTCGTCTGTCGACGCTGGCTACCCCGTTAAGCTCGGCGGCTTGGGAATCGACGGTGTGCCGTATTAATTGGGGGCAAGTACAACATGCTAGAATACCACACATAGTTGGTAGTTTCCGAGAAATGTGATGTAAATCAACACGCAAGACGTCGTAGATGCAAAATTTAGAGGCGATGAATATCAGGTATCTGCGAGTAGAAACGATTTACCAAGGCAAGGAAATGAGAGGCCGCATAGGGAGGCCGTATATAGTACTCTATTATAACTTTTTTCCCGGCGCGATTACGCCCTTGCAACTCCCATGTTCTAGACTAGCCGTTACTTACTCTGCACCCACCTTTACATGACTCTATTCAAGTTTGAAGTATTAGGGTATGTTTTGAAAATTCCGTACTGACTTGACTACCGAAGTGGATACACCACGTTGTGCTTTGATGTCGGAGCAAGCGATAATGTCCGGTAGTTTCAGAGTACATGTCTAGTTTTGGAAACCTGACTCGGTTGTCTGATACTTCGCTCTCGGACGCAGCCGGTGACATGACACGTCATTGCCCTTGGTGTTTCACTTTGACTCAAATTCCGATTGACTCGTCTGGTCTGATTTCTTTTTTTAGTAAAGCACTTTTCGCTTATACGCTTGTAAGGCGATTGCTTTAGTAAACTAGATGACTAGAATATTCCTGCACATACTCTTATTGTCGCGCAAATAAAACCATAAGCCGGATTGTTGAAGTACAACAGCTGTGATGTCGTCATTTCCTCCGTCAATATCGACGCACTTGAGAACTTTGCATCCAAGGATTACGAGTGATTAAAATTCGTGTTCTGTGACATGATGGTGAATAGGTTTTCTGAAATGTACGCCGTGTTCTCATCTAGCTATGCTCTTCAAGAGCTGTGTCTATTGATTGATGCTTACATACATGAGCACGTATCGACGTCATGGCTTAAAATTCCATCACTTGGCACCAAGACGTTCCCAATGTGAGATCAAGATACAATATCCAAGGCTTCCTGCCGCCATGTCTCGACAAATCAAGTCTTGGCTGCAAACTTGCTCATGGCACGGAGTCTCCCGCCGAACCAATAAAGAAGCCAGATACCTGCAATTCCAATTAAACTCAGTCCACCCAAGACGCTGACACCTCTGGCGACACCCAGATTGGTGAACAAGGGATGGGCAAACGAAACGCTTGCACAGGCCATTGCGCTGCGGAAAAAGTCATTGGCGGCGAAAAGACTGGCGGCATAATTGGGATAGCTGAGCGGAATGTAGATGAAGAGACATTGGAAAACAACAAAGACACTGGCTCCATATATGGTAATTCCAATGGTGGGTGCAATCCAGTGAATGGAAGGTCTGGCTGTCCAGGCAAACATGAAAAGCCCGATTGTAGGCCCAAAACAGAACCCCAGTGCTGGAAGCAGGCGTCTCTCTTGTGTGGCAAAGCCACTGCGACCCAAGAAGTAGAGGCATACGCTGTAGGCAATTACGCCTAGTATGCAAGCGATGAGAACACACAGGAACACAAGGCCCATTTGGCCCAGGTTCATGCCGTAATAGACGGGGTAGACTAGCGGAAAGACTTCAAAGACTGCGAGTTGATGGTCAGAGAAATGTAGGGTGTGGACGATAGGTGGACTTGCATGAGTAGTAGATTCCATATATGATAGAGGTATAGATCTGCACAAACAGCACGGCCGGATCTTTGAATGAAATCTCGATGGGCTTGATGAGGGCTCCGACAAGGGCCGAAGTGCGGCTGCCATGTGTCTTGTCCATATGGCTCCGGATTACGAATCGCTTGCCGGTTAGTTTAGAAAGTCGCTGGGCGCGTTGAAACAGGATACCCTCGCTGCTTGTTTCCGGGAGGAAGAGGAACATGAGGACCAGCACAGGAATAGAGGCCCAGATGGTCTCGAACAAGGACCATCGCCAGTGCATGGCGGGAACAGAAAATCCACTCAAAAGGGGTCCCAGGGCAGCTACGTACAGTATCGTCAGTACAGTCAGACGCCACCTTGCATTGGGATGGCTACTCACGGCCGCAATAGGAAGCAGAGACCCAGGCCAGCATAGCATAGGGCAGTGCCTCCATGCTGTAAATGTCGCCAACCGAAGCACCTCCCGAAGCTAGACAGGGCGAGCCAAAGAAGCCCTGGAAAAAGCGAAGTGCAACGAGGGTATGGAAATCCGACGCGAACGCTGTGGGCACAGAGATGATGACAAAAAGCGTCATGGTGATGATGTAGACGGGGTTTCGACCAATGGATGGTATCTCGCTGAGTGGTGAGAAGATCAATGGCCCGATGCCATAGCCGAGGACGTAGAGTGATAATCCTAGAGTAGCCTCGACTATGGTGACTTTGAATTCTTTCATGACGCCTTCTGTGGAACTTGTATAGATTGCAGATGACATGTACACGACAAAGGTATACAGACAAATGATGAGCGTTATCAAGAACCGCTTGCCATTTGACCAATTGTAAGGATTGTCAGAGTCATTGCTTCCATACCAGTCCACCACATGCAAATTACTGTCATCTTTGAGTTCATTGTTGAATTCACTCGCACGAGGTGAGCCGATGGACTTTTTTCTGTCAAACGTAATTGTCTCCAGTTCGTAGTCGCCGTCGCCGTCGAAGCCGGGTTGACGAGGCGACGAAGGTCCGCTGCGGATCGTGGTTGGCGAGCATAAGCCAGAATCCAAGTCATTGAATGGATTGTGCGTCCATTTCGTAGGGAGCTTAAACCCGGGCTTCTCTTCGGGGTATTGTAGACGGCGGTTATTGGTGATCCAACGAATGATTTGTCCGATGGGAGCGTCGCGAATCAAGTCGGCCATGCTGCCTGATCAACACAGCATACGCGCCACGATATTGAGCGGGTTTAAGAATTCGCAACCTGGAATTGTCGCTCAAGTTGCTATTCACGCCGGGCGAATGGTGCCGTTTGATTTGGATTCAATGTTGTGCCTTGATGAGCGACTAGAGGACTCAAATTTGATAAAAGTTTGCGGCGGGGCGGAGGAAATACAACCAGCTTAACTTATATCAAGCCATGACTATATCCGATGCTACTCGGCTGAAATGAAGACACTCTTTTAGCTGACAATACTTTTGCTAGTAATTGGAAAGGACCCTTGTCCTTGTTCCGGTTGCGAACGCTCCAGATGTCGACTCATGTGGTGGTTTCACAACCTCCTAGTTCATGCAAATCACCAGACGTGGCGACCCTAGCGGCACAAATGGATATCCCACTTGACTTGACTACCAATTCGACTTGTTGAGTCGGGTATTTTCTGCTACATGGCTGATCTTGGCTGTTTGGGGCAATGTCTTGGAGCACAGACTGACTAGCCTGTATCCACCAGCACATTATGCAGAGCCCATGAGTGGAACCAAAAGAGAAGGGACAAAGGAGAAAAAGAAAGGAAGATGGAAAATACTTAAAGTTCAGAGCCATAGTATCAATGTAGTGATAACACAAGAGACGGAATGCGCAGCGCAGGGTTGGTTGTGGAAGGGCTCTACCAAAGAGCACTTGAGGCTATTCCAATACGGGAACAACCCAAGAGGCCGCTGGATGGTAGCAAATGAACGTCATGCTGACCGCTGCAGACCCCGGCCGACTTGTGGAGGCATCGATTTTGGGTTCGTCGAGTCCCGGACAACGGGCAACGAACAACCTCCGGGTCAAGATTGGGAGAACTAAGGGACAGCGGAGATCGGATTTTGTACGTAGGGAGTAGGGCTGACTAGCCGTCCCTACGGGTAGCCACTCGGCTGAATCGGACATCACAGATTAATGAGTCGGAGCTTTGATCTACGACTGGGGTCTGCTTGGATCGAACTGACGGCAACCCCAAATCCCACTCGGCTCATGATACAGCATATAGAGTCTGAGAAGCCCTTTCTGCCACACAAATACACGAGGGCTGCCATCGCCGGACCTAGGGCAGAAGACTGTCACCGACTTGTTGTATTGATCGAGCTATTTAATCTATCTAGACGTGGAGAAAACCATGGACTTTTGAGACCAAAGATTTAGTGCTGTTATTGGATGAATTAAGATTGATACAAAGACCCTGATGCCGACGAGTTGCCCTAGGGTAGGCAAAGCGGGTGAGAATGACAACTACTAGTTGATCAGTCACGTTGAAATTATACGCCCAGGGCCCCGAGAGGAGAAAATGAACGGGAAGCTTTAGGGAATATTGCAAGTCTAGTAACTTTGGAAGGCTCAAGTCCAACAACTCAAATAGCTCGAGTCTAATATCTGCAAAAAGCTCACATCCAGCAGCAGCCTTGATTACACCTACAGCAAGGGTTCACATTGGCGTGGGACGTAGAAGTTATAAAACGATGATATTTTCATCTATCCAGCCAGGTTTCGCTGACAAGTAGCTCAGCACTAAATTCCTCCTCATTCCCTTCCCGCTCCGGGCATGAAGCTCTTTGCTTAGGCACTCTTAGGCTTTTCGCCATCGTTGGCTTTGTCGTCCTGCATAGCCACAGCCTCCTCATCGAGCTTTTTGATGTAAAGCTCCTTTGCGTGCTCCAGCATGGCCGTAATCAATTTTGCGTCGGTGCCCAAGTCCTTGAATCCTATCACCTCCTTGTGCCGAGGTATATTCTTGATACGCTCCTCACTCAGGTCAAGAATCAAGCCAAGATAGGCCATGGATTCTTCGTCACGGCCATGAGGAGGGATATTTGGGTGCGTACTCCATCGGACCTCCTTCTCACCGAGGAAATTTCCCGTCACACCACTTTGGGATTTCACCCACAGAACTTTTTGCTCATCGTAAATCTTGCCAAATTTGACAGCGAGAAGAAGCTGTAATTGCTGAACAGTGCTTGCGTCGTCGGACGGCCAGAGCTTGGAAAGCTTGTCTTCAGTAAGCTTACCCCTTAGTAATAGCGAAATTTGTAGCGCGTGGTGAAGTGAGTAGAAGTCAACATCGTCTTGTGATAGGTCGGGCGCTCGGGACTTGATAAACTCCCCAGGGCTCAGCGATAGTGGGTTGATATCTAGCATGCCCTTTGACTGACCGAGAACGTAGGCAATATCAAATAGTTTAGGCAAGGGCGGTGGGTTCTTCTTTAGATGCTCGCCGATTGCGTGTAGGCTGCCACGGGTTTGATCCTTGAGGTTTTCCTCATCTCCTAGTGGTTGACCATCAATTGCAGGCACCAAGGGCGTATATTGCCTAACCATGGACTCAGAGGTCATGTGCTCGATTAGCTCCTTGTTAAACTGCTCGGCGATGGGCTGAAGAGAGAGTTTTGTGTCACGCAGTACCAGTTGCGGTAGCTTGAGCAGAAACTCGCGTTGCCTGCGGACAATCATGGGCGAAATCTCTGCTGTAATCTGGTTGGCGACATCTAAAGCCCCGGCCTGAATTTTGGGCTTGTCCGCATTCTGAGCCTGTAAAGCAACCCGAGCACTGGTATTGGAAATGGCAATAAAGTCTGCGGCATCCGACACCACACCCAAATGGTCAGCAAAAAGAGTACCGTTCAACTTGTCCCGGAATACCCTGTTTTTAGACACCGAGTCGTCTGAGTAAAAGTATGTAAATACTCGATCATCAAGAAACCTGGCCCATCTCTTGTCGCGATTATCCTGTACATCCTCTGCTTTAGGTAAATCTTTTGGCTTGTATAATGACATGATACCCCTAAAGACCTGGATGACAAAGCTAAAGGGGGCAAGAGGAGTCAGCAATAAGATGTCAGCGTAGATACACATCATCTTATCGACAACATCGACTCCCTCCTGGGAGTCAGCCTCAGCCAATGCACTGAATCCGCAGCCAACAAAGGGGATGATGGCGGTCACAGCTGCGGCTCGTTGTAGGCCCGTTGTATGCGAAGTGAAGGCTTGAACCATTCCCGTCACCCAAAGGGCAACACCAGCACCCTCACCAGCTAGCTTCAATCCGGAAAGTTTCAATTTTGGTGACTCTGCTGTGATGGGCTCGTAGCCTGATAGCCGCGTTCGTGCTTCTCCTGCCTTGACACCTAACTTTGCCGCTTTTTCACCCATCTTCTGAGAGCTGAAGAGGTCCAAGAAGACGTCATCTGAGGTCTTCCGGGTCAACTCTACTCCCTTAGCATCATCGATAGCTTTGGGTAGCTCCTCTCCGTTGGGATCGGTTGGCTTTACTTCCTCTTCAATTGGCTTTCCCGGCTCAGGCCTATCGTTTCCCGGCGCCGGTGCAGAGGTGTCAGAATTGCACAGGGATCCAGCTCTCTTGCGCAGATTTGTGCTGCAGACGCTGGCAAGAATTTCTCTTTCACTTTTATCCTCAAAGTCCCTGGCCCTGTCTTTGTGAGATTGGACTCGCCGCTGTATCTTCTGGCCCTCGGCTTCTCCCTGCGGGCCTTGGTCAAATTTATTCCAGGGCTCTAGTTCAAAGGGCTGTCTCTCCCACCCTTCGTTTTTCATAGTGCCCTGATTAATCCCACCGGGGGGGAATCCAGCGAGATCCGGTCGGACGCCAGCATGCGATAATGAATCAAACTTGTCGTTGTAATCAATGTTTTTCACAAAAACGCCTTCAGGTTCGTCTCCATTTGCAATCTTCTCGGCAAGACCTGGGTTCCGAAGGATGAGCTCGGTTCGGAAATAGCCCTTGATTTGCTCCGTTGGAATGCCCTCAAACGCTGAATATTCAACCTGGTCCAGGTAATCGCTCGGTATGAATTTTTCATTTGACACAAACTCCCCATTGGCGCCTTTATTCGCAAGACTCCCATGGGTGTCGACGACGTTAGGCGCATCTTGTATTTTCCATATAACGTTGAGGTCCAGGCCATCCCGGCCCTCGGGTTGAGTCAGTACTTTGCTCGGCTTTCCATTTTCCCAGTTGGCAGAAAACTCAATGCTCTTGTGGACACTTTTGGTCATTGACATCCACCGTGTAGTATACTTGGTCTGACCGTTGACGTGCTCCCACAGACTGGTAGATTTGAACTCGTCAGAGCCACGGCCTGCTTCGGGGAATGGCTTCGGCTTCCCCGTTGTTGGGTCATAGTTTCTCGGCCAGAGGCCTTTGTTTTGCTTCATTAGTTCAGCTGGGTAGACAATTCCCTTGCCTGTACTGAACCATTTCTCACCACGCAGCGAAAAGCCCTTTGTGTGTTCAAGTTTTGTCCATGCTTCGTCTAGTTTAAATGGTATTTCTTCATACTTAATCTTGAACTTTTGCAATTCGGCCGTGTTTTCTGATGCGCCATCTGGTAATCCATCATCGAGGGCACGGTCGTTCAACTGCCATGAAGTTTCAACATGCTTAGCTGAGTCCGAGCGAGGTATGCTCGGAACAATGCTGCGTTTGAATCTGCCCCGAGTTATTTCAGGTGACAGAGGCTGTTCTGCAGATATAAGCAAGAACAGGACAGCCGTCCATATAGTTATTGACAGCCAAATCTGCCTCATTGTTGCAAAGGGATATTTGATTGTATGTCTAGAAAAGCGTAATGAGAGAAGGGACGGCGCTTTTCTGAGATTCAAATTGACTAATAGATGAGTTGATAAGGAACGGATGGGTTGGCAATGACATGAGTTGGATAAGGCGATCAGAAGGGCATTTATATTTCTACGCTTGTGAGCCGGCAAGTAAATTTCAGTATCTGTCATCACCATCAACGGAAAGCATTCTTCGGCACGTCGGTTTTCCCTGAAGCCAATCTGGTCCGTTCCGTTCGGCAGTTGCCTTTCATCCAAGCACAGCCGTACATGCGATTCAAGCCCTGAAGATTTAGGCAGGGATAATAAGACAAGGGGGGTTACAGTTCATTCAAGGTAGTTATTATTGTAAAAAGGGTGTAAGGGGGAAACAGTGCCTGGTAACCCGTGATGGTCTAGCGCGACTGGGCTGTGCCCAAGATAATCCTTAGTCGAAGAATGGTCAATAACAATCGAACTCGCTCCGTTAATACTATACAGCCAAGGTCCACGGGCGTCTTTCATCACCAATGTAAGGCTCAAGCACAGATGATTAAGTTTTCTTGCACGGTCACTTATGGGTGAACTTGCAGGGGATAGATTTTGTACAGTAATAAACTAGCCATTTGACTAGTGCAATAGTATATCCTAGATTGAAACACCGCATGAAGGGCGCCAGTATAGCTATTGATCGCCGTCATGCATGATCGCCGAGAGCATACGGCTTCTACTGTGGTACTCGGCCCGTCCAACATGTATCAAGGCTTGGCCACACTGGTATGAAACAGAGCTAGCAAGAGGACTATTATGTACTAGTGACCAAGGGCAAAAGAAGAAGAGACAACAAAACAAGGTAGTGGAGTTCGGCACGTGGGAATGCTTGCTTATGGATAGGCCCGGATCAGGTGCCGGGGCGGAAGGCGAGAGAGCTGGTTCCAGTGACATCGCAGTTTCGGGCCGTTGGAGCATTAATGAGCGCTTCATTGTGCTATACGAATTGGGGCTTAGATATTTATGCTCACGATGATACATTTATGGCTCTTGGCAGCGTCGCCTCGGGTCAGATTGGACTCTCTATTGTTGGGGGTGCTTTGGAGAAACTCTAAAGCTCGTTCATTGCTGTTGAAAATTATTCGTAATACGTATATACAAAAAAGTTGTTAGACACAGTCGTCGCTGGGAGATTTTAACACATCACGGTTAGCATGGGTGGCCACAAGCTGTGGCCATGGCAGTAATCATCGGCCATTAATGCTCAATGTTAACTCAGACATCGTTAGTAAGTTCCGACAAGGAGCAGATAGCACGCGAATCTACCGAGATGCTGGAACGCGTGTTCCGAGTCGCAGAGCTCGACATGGGCCGGGAACAGAGTGACGTAATCGCCACAGCCAGACTGTGGCGGTACAAGGGCACGACTCAGATAGTGTGTAGCTTGGATACAACGAGTATCTATATAGAGATAGAGGGTTCTGAAGAACCATTAAAGCTCCGAGCCGCACTCTCCAGGTTCTCAGGTGGGGCCGATCTCCCTTGCACTCTTATGCCGCATGCGTTGTTATGCCGGCTTTGCCCCCCAGTTCTTGTGAAACTTTGCCAATATTTGCCCTGTCCGATCCTTATCCCAAACAGGCTGGGCTGAAACAAGCAAGCAGCTCTACGATTGGTGACCGCAATATCGAAACTGTCCGAGTCGGCAGTTTGCTGCTGTCATTACTCAGATTATCTTTTTTTAGCTATATCCGGCGTTACGAGCCGCATTCAATGTACGTAAACTAACCCACGTCGCCGAAATTGTAACGTAGCATAAGGGTAGTTGATAGTGCTTCGCATCAGGCGCCGCCTGTTTTGGGACGATTGCACGAATTGGTACTCTCTCTCTCGTTTCATCACTGTCTTCCAACGTTAAAAGCCATGTTGCAACGACAAGTTGACGTCTGCGAACCCTTGATCGATAGCATTTGAATATAAAATTGCAATTGATTTGTACATTTCCTTAATTTACAGTGGATGAAATAGAACCGACGGAGCTTCAAGAGTAATTCCGACCGCAACGTCTGGCTGGCGTAAATACATAATTTAACGGGGAATTTCGGTGGAAATCTTCAAATAAACTGTAGGTGTCACTTTGGCTGTGCATGCAAAATAATAAGTAGATCGGGCCCAAAACGTCGACCGTATAGAAACCGTGTTTTGTCATTGCTATCTAGCTGCATCGTGATCGCCCTTTTTTGGTGTTGAGGCGGCTTAGGTAAGCCGGCTCGGTACCCCTTTTCGGGTCCCACATCGGGAGCGGCGACCAATCCGGGCGCGTGCATCGGCGCTGATGTGGCCATTCCAACATAAACATCAAACATTGGATATTTGTGTGGCAAGACTTGAACTCTAAAGAGTGTCATCACCACCTGACGATATATAAAACATTCATGGGCCGGGATCTCGGAATAGCCCATCGTTTCAGCTATACAACTAACTGTCATCACGCCCGGCGAATTGGCCGACTCTACAGCTACTATTACGATCCCGGTTTCGGCGAGCGAGAATATAGAGCAGGCGGCCGTGCTGCTTGAGCTTGATCTTCGGCGTACATCTGCGAGACCGACGAATTTCCATAGGCATCGGCTGGTCTCAGCGGAAAATACGCGCCACCGGGACAAGTCTCGTTGCCATTTAGTTACCCCGTCATAGCCCGTGTTAGGTAGGGATCTTTGAGGCCTCTGGAGAATTCTCCCTGGTGTAGTAGAGCATGTTAGGCAAGCATTTTTATCGAGGGGGTCCATGGCAGCATCTTTCCTTATAGCATCAGGATGCTCAACGTAGTTCTCCCCGCCAGCATGGTTGTACCTGAGGTGACAAAGACATTTGATGCTGTCATGATATGCTACTTGGATAGGAAACTTGGCAAGCTGGACTCTGCAAACTCCTTGAGTTTCCTGTGCAACCTTTCTGCTAGGCCCAAGGTGAAGTCTATCCCAGGAAGAGACATGACTCCGACCCGAAATGGAATTCATTGTCTTTCGGGATGCGTATTTCTTGCTGCACGTGTGAGTCCTCGGCTCAAAACGGCCTGTGTGCATTTACCTGTTGCAGCGTTTGTTAAAATTGGTGTGGCGAGATTCAAACAGTCTTGACCAGTAGAAGCTACGATTGAAACAGAGGTTACTACTATCACCATAAGTTTTTATGACATTGGTCATGTGACTGTAATCTTCCCATTGATCTTCTCAGCTCTTGCAGGATACGTGTTCAGAAGATAATGTGAACACAGAGGAAGCTGAGTACAAGATTAGACATGAAGGCAGCACGCAAAACATAATTGAGAACGCGCAATCTTTCAAATCTGTGCAACCAGGCTCTAATTCTTGTTGATCCATTTCGGGCTGCACCAATGAGTTTCTAGAATTCTGGAGAATGAATGAGCACGTCACGCCTTGAGAATAAAAGTTAATGGCATGAGCGATGAACTTGTTTTGGTTGCCATCCATGATGCCACCTGGATAGAAGAGGTACTCCTTGCTATCCGGCTAGAGTGTCTTGTTTTGCGAAATCATGATGTTGTGGCTTTAGTTCGTGCAGCGGGCTAACCCTGGTCGCAAATATTAGCCAACCTCGACTAGTTCCGGTGACGGTGAGCGTGCAGCTAGTATTGTAGGCCCTTTCGGTGAAACTAGTAGATGTTTCACGACTTCCCTGTCTACGGCAGGCTTGTACGGATGATCCACGCTTGTCACTGCCGACCAATGTGATCCATAGCCTGCGCTTGACTTGGTGCTAGCCACCAATGACGGAACTATTATAATCGCGTCATCATCTATTAGCTACTCGCTCATGTGGTTCAAATCTATGGCTCTGAAATGGCGGAGCGTCTGACGCGCAACGCGCAACGCGATCTTCTGTTCGGCGGCTACAACAGCAAGCGTTACAGATCCCTACTCGCCCCCTGAGTCCTTCCTTGTCCCTCGGCCCCCGAGTCAATTGAAGAAAGCAATAATTTTAAATCGAGAGAAACAGAGTATGAATAAACTTCATTCTGAATAGCTCAGGCAGGTATACACGGCAGTAGAGAACGAAACGATATCTATTGCATGACATAGCACGTTATCCACTGGGCCAGCTGCAGTAGTGGCACGGCGTGGACATGTAACGAAGTCTAGATTTCGTCGAGCAGCAGCGTGACGACATTTAACTCCCTTTCGGGCCTCGTGTAGCCGTAATAGCCTTGCCTACGCGTTGTTCCACCCCTGACCGGACCAGAACCAAGACTGAATTGACGGAACTTTCGGCTACTGATTGCTTTTTTTTCTGGTTGGGATTGTGTCATCAATGTTGGAAAAAACACCGGCACACTTTGTCTAGCCGGAATAACACGTTGTCTCTCGGCAACAGTCATTGTAGCGGGCTCAGGAGATGGCACTGGAAGTTTTATTAGCATGTACGGTTAGGCTTAAGTTAGTCTTGCCATCGAAAATAGCGCATAGCAAGCTCAAATTGTTGAAAATGATGGAAAGGACTGTAATGTGCATTGGTAAGGGTGTGTCGTATACCGCAACTCGTTCGAGATTCTCCATCTGTCACGCAGGCTTATTCCAAGTGAGTCTGGACTACAACATTAGACTGTTGATGAAACTTTAAGCAAGGTCTTAGTTGTACTCTGCAGACACAATCACCCCGAACGAAGCTTTACAGCCACGCCTACCCTAATTGGGAACATTTGAAGTCGTCATCCTCACCACAAACTCGTTTGTTCTTGGTGTCCAGGTGTGATTGGAGCCCCCAGGCTTTTACTATAAAGTGCTGTTCAACCTCCCACACCTTCCTCCTCACTTCTTTTCCACAGGCACACCATATCCCACGGTGAAAAAACAGTAGCTCTACTGCAACTCGGCTTACCTTTTCCTTTGCCACGCCGCCGTTGCTAGTTGCTAGTCACCACGTATGCAGATTCCATCAGTGCGTGATATCGTCTCTACCTCCACACCGCCGCTCAGATTATACTAGTCTCGCATCAGTCCCAGCAGGCAACTAATCATGGCGTTTGTTTGGTCCGTTGTCGGTATGGGGAGCCTGGTTTCCATGATGGTGGGCGGGGGGTTCTCCATCGGCGCCGCCCTCATGGGCGCCATCTCCTTGACGGTGCCCAGGCCCTTAATATTCGATCCGACTAACATCATCTACAGCTTCAAGCTGGGCCTGGATGGTGCCGGGGCAAACGAAGGATATGACCTTCTGCGGGGTGCCGGAGGACGCGCCCCCAAAATAGTGGTTTTCGACAATCATGGCACGCAGATAGGCCAGACCAAGAAGCAGGCTAAATGTGGCGACGGAGAAGATCACTGCGTGGAAGTGGTCAAAAAAATCAAGAAGCAGCCCGCCTACGCGATGCTCCTCGGTCAGGACAATCCCATTTGCCTCGCTGCTGCCAGTGTCACATACCCCAGCGGAGACAGGTATGCATGGGTTGGAAACTGGGCACACACTTGCAACAAGGCATGGTACGATACAAACTTCTCCTCCGCGTCCGTATGTCAGTACTAATAGAAATAGGTACTTTTCCGACATTGACGCTCACCACACCAACGGTTCTGTCAAGCTTCTTTGCGCATGGTTGGGCTTTGATGGCTACAAGAACAATTACTCGACCGGCATTCGAATCCATTTCCCCGAGTTTGCTAAGGGGTTTGCCGGTAATGGAAACAATGCGACCTAGTATGTTTATCAAGTCTTTCTAACGGCATTCCATCTCGTCTTGCTTTCTTGTAACCCCCCCAAATAAACATCAACTAAGACGGCGTGTTCTTTAGTTACTGCCAGCACAACAACACCGCCCTTGCCTTTTTCAACAACCGCGGCCCCAAGTACTTCAACGGCGACAATGAGCAGGAGCACAGGGTCAATGAAAAGGACAAGAAGGAGCAGGACAAGAAGAACAAGGGCAAGAGATCTGCCGACATGAAGACTCAATCCGTCCGGTCTTACCGTGCTGCCCACTCGGCCAAGGTTTTGTGCGACAGCTCTAGTTCCGCGGGCCCAAGTCTTGTTTCTGTCCATGAGCGATCCTTCTGCCACATGCCCGACAAGGTTCTTTACCACTTTTGCGAGGATGTCTCTGTTGGTTCCTGCTGGGACCACAAGGCGCATGCCTTTGGTGCCAAAGGTCCTCGCGCGATGCAGGCTCGGGCTGCCTTGCCCGACGTCGAGTTCGATAAGCCAACTGTCTGGGGGGGAAATTAGGCGTCTGGCGCTTTGTTTATGGTGGCGGCGGTCTCTGTTTCCTCTTGTTTCTCGAGAATATACCCAACAGATTTTGTGTCTTTTTTTTTTGTTTTGTTATTCCGTTTTGCTTTTTGTTATTGCGTGTGGATTTTGTGTTTCGCGTCAAGGTCTTTGTGGACCATGACAGCGCCATAGTCAAATAATAGTTTAGTCTAGTCTAGTCTCTTTTCTTTTTTTTTTCTTTTTTTTCTTTTTTTTCTTTTTTTTCTTTTTTTTTAATAATTAATTCTACTTGCATGGCACCTTTTCCTATTCAAGGCGGAGTGATGCTCATTTCGACAATGAGCACATGGGCGGCATTGATGGTGACGGTACACCACCAGGCCGCTCGGCGCTATATACAGCACGACTAACCAGATAAACCCAAAGACTCGACATCGATAACCTTGAGTGAAATTCTAGCCCTCTCCATAACCCTAAGGCTCTGGTGCTAGTCCATTGAACTCCAACACAGAGGGCCCATTGTCGCGCGGATCCATCGAAAGCGTCCATGATGTGGTCATCGCGCCCATCATTCTGCGCGATATTCTACCAATCAAGCAGATGATGACGCATGTTTGCAACTTGCTGACCCCTGAAGCTTGTCTCTTGCATTCTATGACCTGAGGTCGAGACCATTTAGCGCCCAATTAGCACCAATGTCAGCACTCTCTTTAGCCAGGGTTACATCATACAAATGGAACTCATAATTGCCCAAACAGCGGGATTAGTTAGGGCAACTTGGGAAAAGCGAAAGTAATCATTTGATCATACTCGCGGTTACCCAGATCCTACTCTGCTGCGACAAGGGCCTGCGTTTAGGGGCATAGAACAGTGTTCATATTCAGCGAATGCTTTGCTTTAATATCAAAGGTCCCTAGTTTTCCTTGAGGCCCTAATAGCAGAAAACCTTTTATTTATATTAAGAAGCGGTAAGGGACCTTGCCCTAGGTCGCATGATTAGAGCCCTTGTGTAATTATCGTCGGGTTTAAGGTTCGGCCCGTGCCTTCATGGCAACGTGTCATCTGTGTAACATCTGCAGAATAACGAAGTCAAGATTTCTAAAGTCTGCGATATTCGGCTTCTGATTGAATGGAATAGCAGTGTAATTGACAAGGCCGAAGAATTTACAAAAGAAAGCCTTGGTATCGACACAGTCGTCTCCCTCCTGAACGATGTGGGTGATTTGATCTAGACGTCAAGTGCGGAACACACCTGCGGCACATGGCACTATACAGTAATAAACTTGCTGCCTGGAGGGTGTAGAAGGACTTGTTTCTAACCGCTACCTCTTTTATTTTTACCGTGCCAGTCGCTGATCCTCTGTTGAATCTCGCTCTCCTCCACAGCTAAAGAAAAGAAGTTGGGCTACGGGTGAGCTGATACAAGATCTAGCATTGTATCAAGCACGGTATCTGATTCCATGTTGTTTAAAATATCCACCTATAAATGTTGGATTCAGTGAGACCTGGAAAGGGTCCGGGAACACAATCTTGATACTACTGAAGTACATGGCGCAGACGTCAACTGGTTGACGAAAGACTCTAGATGTCGGCCAATAGTCCGAGAGCCGCACTCCGGCCACCCCTGAGCAAGTGGCTTCAAGCTTTGACGCAACAATCATATTCCAGAATCATCGGGCAGCAACTTTGAGCAGCACCTCTTAGCATGGCATTTATCGACATGCTTCATCTAATCCTTACTGAAGCGCCGCGATTGGAGCATCTCCGGCATTCTTCCAGCTCCCCTTTGAACCATCGAGGGCTTCCCTAGCCTCTAGAGCCACCTCCTGTTGGGCTATTCAGTACTGCTCTCAATCCAACAGCTTCAGTCTTGCCTACAGATACCATGGTACGCTGGTATGCTGTCCTAGTGTAGTAAAGACTGCCAACGTTGGGTTCGACACAGCTCTGGTTTCGACTTTGCCGTATTCGAGCAACCGCTGGGAAGACAAAAGACGATTACAGCAATCTTTCCCCTTTTAAAAGTTTCCCATCAATTATAGGCCAGATTATCGGCATGGCGTGCTGATTACTTCGGTTGCCAGTGCGTGGCTTGACTAATGACTTCTTCTCCGAATGGAGTCTGTCATCTCGCCTTGTTTTAAAGGTATGCAAGGACGACTGGGATGAGGAATATGGAATGAGAAGTCAACACAGCATCAGATTAGATATCTTCAAGGGGTTATAGTCCCCACGTGCTGCGGTGAGTGCTATCATGATGGAGTTGCGAGGCTGTGGCTCTCAGATGTCAGTCGCGAAGGCAGGGCAAGTCCTGCAGGAGCTACACCAGAGGTGAATGTATTCCAATGGTGCCCATACCTTTGACTGATATCGCCGGGTCTGGCGTATTGCCAAACGATATACGGCCAGAAAATTTTCGCCTCGTTGGCAAGAGGGTCATGGTTGTGGATTTTGAGATGGTACGCCAATTCAACGCTTAAGAGGACGTCGACGAACAGACGACGCCTATAACTAATTGATTAGCTAATTGGTATCAGTATCATCGGCGATGCTTCTTGGACGATGGCTTAATTGATCCAGAGACAGATACGGTGGAACAATGAGACTTTGCAACGTTAATGAAGATTCCATGCTGAGTCCCCTGCACGTGCATTATTTGCATATGGGCCTTGCGTGGAATTATCATCATTATAATCGTTCCTTTGCTGTCGGTAACATTGCCGTCTTCCTGGGGTCATTCTAAGCTGGTTTTGTTGAGAGAGTGTCGACGACTTGGGAACCTGGCAGTGCAGGTTACGTCGTGAGTCAGCCTCTTCCTGTTCGCTTTCGGAGCTTGAGAAGCCCACGTGGAAGACTTTGAATAAGCAATTCCCGGGTGGTGCTGGTTTTTTTTTTGGAAGCCACGTGCGATGGGAACTCCTCGGACGCTACAAACTTTTCCACAGCCATCCGACGCGTTCGAAGCCATCAATTGATGTCATGAAATGACTCACAGCATTTGTCCTTCCTAAATTATGCCAGGTATCAAATGTAATTGCCACAGACGGCGATCCTCTTTTAAGAGTTCCAAAGGCGGGTAATCCTTTCAAATCGCAGGCCCCAGGTGCCCGATATATCTCCATAACACGCAACCTCGGAGCCACCACTTGTACAAAAGTCAATTTCCAGAGAGGCGACATGCGACGGCAATATCGGCAATGGCAGGGATAGGAAAACTCACGTCATTACTAGCTAGAGCCTGCCTGACTTGAAAACTATCCATGTTTCCGGTTACCCGGGACAGGTGAAGCTACATGGGTCGGACCGTAGTGGGTTTCGTAAAGGCCATCTGCATGAACAATTCCGCGTGAGTCATCTGCATGAACCGTTCCGGATGACTGTGCCATGAATCGACTTTTGGGTCAACCCTGCTCATCGGGGCTAGCAGGGTCCAATACTAGACTTGATAAATAATGGGGGTATGGCCTCGTAAACCAGCCCGTTCCATACAAACCAGTCCATCCTCAGAGCAACCCGCCTTGGTTCAACAATGGAAGCTCACCCAGAACAGTTTCTGACACGGCCGGGCGGCGTGAAGGTGTGCTACCAAACATTTGGTCGCAGTGAAGCGACGCCATTGCTGCTGCTCTCTGGTGGAGCGCAGTCAATGTTGTGTTGGCACGACGACTTCATTTCAATGGTGGATGAACAGCTGGGAGGCTCCTTCATCATCCGCTTCGACTACCGAGACACTGGCAGGTCTACCAATTTCCCCCTCGGAGAAGCGGCTCACTATTCCATCAACGACTTGTGCGACGATGCCGTCGCTATTCTCGACGAACTGCGCATCGAGTCCGCCAACCTCGCCGGGTTCAGTCTCGGGGGCGCCATCGCATGGATGATTGCTGCTCAGCACCCGCAGCGCGTGAAAAGCCTCTCTCTCTTCTCATCAAGTCCCGTTGGCCCGTCGCCGTCTACCCAAGACGCCCTCCCGCAGTTGAACCCCGAGCTCGGCGCTCAGCTCGCAAAGGCGCCTATTCCCAGCGATTGGCAGAATCAAGAGATGGTCTTGGACTTTCTCATGTTCTGTGTCGACTGTACTTCGTTTCGCAGGTACGAAGGCCGTGAGCGGGAGGACATGTACCGGAGACAGGCCGCGGAGTTTGCGCGCATCTCCAGGCAGGGCAATAGTGTGCAGAGCATTTTCAACCAGAGCGCGGCGGTATCCGGACGCTGGCCAAGGGAATTGCTATGTAATGTCAAGTGTCCCACCACCATTGTGCATGGCCGGGAGGATCGGAATATTCCACTGGTGCACGCCGATGTCTTGAAGGAGGAAATCAAAGGGTCCAAATTGGTTGTTGTTGAAAGCATGGCGCACGAGATGCCGAAGCGAGAATGGTCTAGATTTGTACGTGCAATTGCTAGTACTTGTGTCTAGTTGGATTATTCTAGATTAAATTGAACCTTTGATGTTCTTCGCCCATTACCCTGCCCTCGTCACGCCACCTCGACCTCATCCGCTTTCCCCTCTGCTCTATTCCTTGGTCGTCCAACAGCCTCACCACGGAGAACGATCTTATAAATAGCTCCACTGAAGAATCCTACGATGATTACGCCCAAGACAATGGTGGTTTTTCTCAAGGCCTAAATGACTGATGAGCTTTATTTATACCAAGGTGTACAGCCACAAGAGAAGCATATCAGTGGCGAAACATAAGATTTTAGGTTACTTCCTGTATGTAGTCTGAGATGAGCTTCAATGGTCCTTTAATATACGTGGCTCCTCCAGATTGTTCTTGATCTATCGCCAGCCTTCTTTCTCCTCACCCGTCTGCCGCGGGTATTGGCACCGTGCAGAGAGGTCTCGACCCTGCGAGCAGTCCCATGACATGTTGAGATGCTACCAGACATCTTGGACAGAGCCGGTGACGAAACAGAGAATCTACAACTTAAAGGTCCATCAGGTTTAGTTGTAAGAGGCACTGGTGGGAGTGACATTGCCCTTTTCCCTGTTCTAGTAAAGTCGTGACATTCCTCATCCCGCGTATCCAACCCAGGCTATGCAATCACCAATATTGCGAGAGTCTGAGCGGCCCAATTCAATTTCCTCCTATCGCGGGATAGTGTTTTCTGCAGTCTTCAAGTGGTAACTTTGAGCTTAATTTTTCGCCATCAGGTTCTCCACGACGGATAAAAGTTTCGGGGTTCGCCGGGAATTCGTTCTCATCGCCAGACGTCTTTGTGCCGTGTCTGGAGTGAATGAAGAGAGTTGCTTGGTAAGTACGGCGCTCCAGCAATCGAGGCCAACGGCTCTTCAGCCCGAAAGCGCCATATCTATGACGAGAGTCGCCTTCTCCAGTGGCCCGCAGCCTGCAGCATCTGGCTCACGTCCTGGCTTTCTCCGTCGCCGCCTTCTTGGAAGCGCCGCTTCGTTTACTCTTTCTCCACAGGCTCGGCTATACTCAATCTCAATGCCCTATCCATTTCCCTCAAATCAAGGACGCGTCCCATTTTTGGCAAATGGGCGGGAATGGGCGTGTCAAAAGCTGCAGGGGTACCAATGCCAGTTTCTGAAGAACACTCCGGCAGTCGCGATGCATTTGTGCCCGTCGTCAGAGTATCGTCAATTCATAGAGCCCTCGAGTATAACACGTCAAAGTCATCTTCCATATCAACGATTTCTCGATATGCAAAGTCTCCATCATATTGACGCTATTTAGCTTCTTTTAGGTTATTGTAACATTAACAGGTAAATGGAGGAGGGAGCTGATGGCCGGCATAGGCATCGACAATGGCACGAATGGTGACATAAAGGCCTGCAACGCATATGAAAGCGCCGGACAGAATTGTTGCCACTGCGAGAAGAGCTTGCCCCCATTGTTTTCGCCAAGCATAGAAACCGGGACCGTAGTGATATGAGTCGTGCAGCCAGAACATGCCAGCCCTGCAAAAAGAATTGACGTTAGCAGGACACTTCACAATACTTGAATGGTGGGACGAGTTTGGACGGACGAGAGAGCCAAGATGATGTGTATGATATAGAGTTTACACGACTTACATGCCGTACGTAAACCACGCGGCGAAGAGCGATGCAGCGATTCCGATCAAGTAGTTGAAGATGGGAACGCCGACGGCGAGCAAAAAGGCCAAGGCGTTGGTGAGCAGAACCAGTGAGATCCAGACTGCCCAACCTAGCAATGTGTGGCTGTGCAAATGCTTGGAATGGCGAAAAATCCTGACAAAGATGACTTTGCTGGCTGTATGCGCGAACAGAGAGCCGGCAAGCAGAAGATTCGGCAAGGCAAGCCCCCAACATAGCTTTTGCCAGCGAGGAGACAGGGATGAGAAGGAAGGCGACTGGACGGTACTTCCAATATAGCCGTAGGTGACGCCGGCAAAAACGGCATAAAAAACGGTGGCAAAGGACTGCAGGGTGTAGGCCGCGCGCATGGCGTGCTGCGGCTCCTTCATCTCCGACATGAGAACAAAGAACCTGTCGCCGGAGGAATGTCAGTGCTGTGAAAACAGGAGGCTTCGCAGAATGGAGCAAATTACATGAAGTGACCGGCAAACGAAAAGACCGGGTTGGTGATGGATATAAATGCAGTGTAAAAGTTGGACGGCACCGCTACTTGGACGGTTCTGCTCGGATCCGGCGAGATGCCCGCGGCAGCCATGGCGACGACGCCGGCAACAAAGATGCTCAAAACGCTCGCGATGGAGATCCAGCTCAGACCGTGGAACGTCCTCGGCAGCGAGAAAAGCAGCGTGGGCACGGCAAAGATGCCCGTGTACAGCATCAGGCACAGCTTGTTCTCGCTCAGCGAGGCCAGGGCAATCTGGCCAGAGAGCATCTGGCCGCCCGACGCGAAAATGGAGAAGCAGCAGGTCCCAAAGGCCATGACGTCGCGGCCTACCGGCCCAAACATGATGTAGCCGGCGTCGCCCATGGTGTGCACCTCGGGGTGGCGCAGCTTGAACTCGACCAGCAGCCGGGACGTATACGTGGCGAATACGCCGAGGAACACGATGATGATGAGGCCGGGCACCATGCCGACCACGGCCAGCGACGAGGGCAGAGAGAGCATGCCGTTGGAGACAATCTCGGCAATCATGAGGACGGCGACCAACGGCCACGAGAGCCTCTTGTATTTGATGTCATGGTGGTCTTCTTGGCCGAAGACGTCCAACGGTTCGCTGCCCGGCTTGCTGGATGGAAGCGGGTGTTGTTTGCCCGTGGTAGACGCTGCCATGGCGGGATGCGCTCAACCAGACCAGACGCGATCGGACTGCCGCAGATGAAGACGGTTGGTTTCGAGAGCGAGAAAAACACGTGTGCAACTTGACGTTGCGGCAAACCGCTGGTTCAATGTTGACATCTTGGCGCCCATCTCATCATGTCGTGCCAGGCCAGGGGTGAGGGGGGACCGATTGACGCATTTGGCAGCACAACTGCAACATTCATGCCAATCAATATGCGAAGGCCACCTGTGCAAGGAGCAAGCTCCACCATGGTGGAACTCATCACTCTGTAGCGAGATGAGTCTGGTAGTTGGCGGTGTTTGGGACAAACATTGGACGGTATCGACTATATCCGTCGCCGCTCTGCCAAAAACTCACCCTTTCACTAATCCTTCGAAGCGCAAGAGATGGCCAATGTCAACGAATCCTGTTTCGCGCCATCAGGCCTCAGTTGCATCCTAACCCTTCCCAGAGCCTTGCTGAATCTGGCGTTGCATAATGTCACACGGCTGGGCCTGGATACAAGCATCGGACAACAAAGGGTCAAGTACACAAGAACAAAAAAAGCCATCACGAGAGCCCAGAGTTGGGCTTTAAGCAATAGCCGCCAGCAATCCTCACCGATTTTTTTGTATTTTTAAATAGCCCCCGTCTCCCAAGACCTCAGTGTAAACCAAGGACCTTTCATACCTCAAAGTTACTTGTAAAATTGCATCCCAAGCAACTATTCCAATCTTTTAGTTCTGCTTACAAAATTCTTGACCCTCCCGACTAGTGTTGAACTTGGTCGGTCCGCGTTAACCCTCTCGCTAAGCCTTCTCTTTCTGCCCCCTTGCCGCCTGCTCTTCTACCTTCTCCTGATATCAGTGGCCTTTTCTTGATCCGAGAATTCATCCGGTCTCGGGTCGACGTCCGCTTCGGGAACAGATGTGGGACGTGCCTGAGCCGTCGTGCCATCACCTTTACTCCCAGAGTCATTAAAACGATTTGGAGTCGGCGACTTATTACCCGTTTGGTCACAGTCATTGGTGGGTTTCGCAGCCAGCGCCGTACTGCTCTTGTCGCTCCCAGGCTTCTTGGAAGCTTCGGTAGCCGGCCCTGTACTGCCATTTGCGCTGCCGGAGTTATCAGCACCATTTAGAGGCGACTTCGCATTATCCTTATCGGCCACAGAGTTATTAGGAGACTTCGAAGCCGACGCTTTAATGCCCTTGTCGCCCCCAGAGTTCTTGGAAGGTTCGGTAGCCGACCCTGTACTGCCTTTTTCGCTGCCGGAGTTATCAGCACCATTTAGAGGCAACTTCGTACCATCCTGATCGGTCACAGGGTTCTTGGAAGGTTTCTTAGCCGGCGCTATATTGCCGCTTGTGCTGTCGGAGCAATCAGGAAATTCCCCTGGCGGCGTTTTATTGTCAATGTTGCTGCCGGGGTTACTAGGAGGTTTCGCTGCCGGCGCTGTACTGCCATTGTCGCTCCCGGAACTGCTAGTAGATTCCGCTGCTAGCGTTGGTTTGTCCTTTTTGTTCACAGAATTGTCAGACGGGCGGCTGTTATCCCGCTTCTTATATCCACCGGGATAACTAACTGGAAGATTCTGAGCCCGCTGAATAACGCTGTCGCGCCGTTCAATATTGTTATTTCGCACCGCAGGAGCGGCTTGAATGCCTTGAACAGCCAAGGCGACTAGTTCTCGGATTAGCTAGCTGCTTGATAAATCATACATGAACCGTAGGAGTACTGACTAGACATAATAAAGCTAGGGCGAACCATGGTAACGGTGGTGGTATTGTAATAATGCTGTTAAAACCTTGGTATAGAAAGAATCAGACTGCTTGTGACTTGGACACAATACCAGGAGGAGAGTCGGAAGTTGCCTTATATATACCTCTAATCTAGACAGTTATCATGTTCTTGCACAATACTTGAGTCATTTCTGTTTTAAGATTCATATATCGTCATGCCCGCTCCATGTTTGTAGATCTGTGGCTGTCGGCTGAACATCCGTCATCGCATTACTCTGGTGTGGTCTGATTCCGCATGCCACGCATTGCCTATTCTAATCTATTTGCTACAATGCGTGTATCACCTGCACGTAGAGCATAGCACAATAAAGTCATGTCGACAGTTCTTCAGGGTAAATTAATCGCCTTCCAACAACACCAATATGCGCATGATCGCACATGAATCTGAGCGAACTCTGTGTCTGTACGCAACTTTTTAGTCTAGATCCGCGCGCATTGGACATGGGAAGGGTCTTGACAATACCGCTCCCTCTTGCTAGTCATGGCTGTATGGAGTCGATTTGCGGCATAACAGTCTTTGTAGGCCTGGATATATACCCTATACATGTTCATGCCTTGGTGATGTATCTGGACAGTGGAGGCTATTAACCATCATGGCTTTCGAGACAGAGGTCCACAGTCTTGGGAACTCCGAGCACTGAGATGTGCCCGCCTGGCTGAGGACACTTGTAGAATGTAGAGTTGACCTCTTGATTGACATTACGTGTATCGCCACCCTGGCTCCCAGTTACTAGGGGGGGCTGGTGACATGGTTTTGCGTTTTCTATCATTGCCGTTATTCTCCAGGCATCGCTCTCACCCCCCTGCAACGACAAGCAAAGCATAACGAAAAATGCAGTTATAGAGCGAGGCTCATGCGCATAAATAATGCCTATTCGTGCTACGCTCCCACTATTGATATTTCGTCTTCGCGTAAGGGTGGAAGCGAAGACGAAGCATTAAAAAGCGGGAGCATGACAGGAGTCGCATGAATTGTTTTGAATATTAATATATTCTGAGGAGATGCATACACGGGCATGACTTTTGCGAATTCTGATTGGTCGTAAAGTATTTCCCGGATTTTAGCCAGCTTTAATAATACAACTTTAAATAGCTTTATTGTGTGCCCTGACTCGGTCCCTATGCATTATTACAGAAATCAAGACAAGTGTTCAATGTAGCAGCAGCGAAGGCCACCTGGATGCCAAATGTTTCAGCGTGGCTCACGGCTATGACCTAGTCGGCTTGAAAATAAAATGGGGTGTCCGCATACATCGATTGGCGATGAAATCTATGAACAAGTGGCCAAATGCCTTTGCCTTTGGCGTAACCATTGCCGCCGAATCCTTGTGAATTACCAAGCAGAATCGGGGATCTGATGTTGATGCTGACTACCCACACGAGGCTTAAACCAGGGCCATGCTCATACGAATCATTGGGCTCGTAAATGCAGCCACGAGGCCATACCCAGATCGACCTAAAGGAAGAGTGTGAAAAAGTGCCGGTGAGTCGAGTCCAAAACAGAACTAGGGCTCGACCCCAAAAGTGACGAGTAGAAAGGTGACCGGTACTTTGGCATCGGTTGTAATCAAAAGTAGGAAATAAGACGCACAGCGTAATTATCATCAAGTTTACAAAACGTTGGCACGTATAGGATCCGCGCCCTGTTCGATGACCTGCGCAAGAATGTATGGAATACCGGCACTACATCCAAAACCACCGCGAAAGACGGATGGCGTCACGATAAACAAAAGCCATGTGCCCCTTGTCCACGAAAGGTTCAGTGAGTCTAGAAACAGAGCCGTCGGTATTTAGCATCGGGGCTTGGCAACCCGTAATTTTGGAGCTTCGGAAATACCCCCATGGGTTCTAAGCAAGTTCAGGCTGCCCCGGATTTCTTGCACTCATGCCACCCCTAGGATCTTTGGAATGCCATTGAGACGAAGTGCACGAAATTTGCCCCCGGTAAACAGTCTACAACTCCGAGCCACTTGACCAGGTTTGGCGGGGGAATATCCCGACCACTCCTGGATCGCTTGTACAATCGCACATGGCGATTCTGTATACTGCACTTAAGATCCATTTCTCGCTTACAGGACGTTTCCTTATCTGATTTGGGTTGATGATTACGCTGCAAAAATACTCTATGCTCACCGAGAGTATTAATATTTTGATAATGACTCATACTTGGTATTGTTGGTGCTCGACCGAGAATTGCGCTTCGTTCTAGCCGCACGACCAGCTTTGGAAGAATCCAGTATTAAGCCTCAAATAATACAAAGTGTTGCTAACGAGTAGAAAAAGCATTGCATATTTAGGATACCAATGAAAAGACACCCTCATTGCTAGTGCACGCATCATTGTCGTCGTTCTATCTAGCCTTCGTCTCGGCGAGCAATTTCTCTACTTCTTCAAGGTGAGCCGAGAAGTGGTCTTCTAGATCGTTCCATAATCTAGGTTCGTGCTCGTGCTTTTTATCACTTGTCCAAGCATAGTCGGTAATTGTAAAGGCCCGGCTCGACTCGAACATAAAGGCCACTGAACCCGTCGAGATCTGCATTAATGGCGGTTCGCATTCAGTGGCTTGCTTGAATTCTTCATATGCTACTCCATGCGGCACCACTGCAATCTCCACGTTAGCATTGCTTAATTCGTGTCATGCCTCGAAGACAAGACGTACTTCCACACTCATAAGAGATACTGCCAGGGCGAAAGTCGTCAGAGCGGCCGCCATAGTCTCCGTAGATCAACCCCATGAGCTCAGAGGCAGAGTTGCGGTGGAAATACGGTGGTCGATACGTATCTACGCATGATTAGACTCGCAGGATAGCATTGGCCCGGGAGGTACGTACGGGATGCCACGTCCCAGCGCGGGGAAAAGATGAGAAAGTCGGCCAGTGGCGCGGCGGGATTCCGAGACTTGGCAGTCAGGACACAGAAGATGGAGGGATCAATGTGGTCGACCGAGATGGAGCCAACATTGACAAACTTTGTCAGGTCGTATTTGAACGGGACCTCGCGCGTGTCAGCGAGAACCTTGTTTCAACGGGGGGGTAAACAACTTCACAACACCTACATAGTTTCCATGCCATGCAACAACATCGAATGGCGAGTGGTCCTGAGTACACTTGAACTGCTTCCCACACACTTTGAAGATAATCTCCCAAGGCTCCTTTTTGACTTCGTAAAAGGCCTCGGGCGTCAAAAAGTCGCGCGCATTGGCGAGTCCGTTGGCACCAAGCGGACCTAGCTCTGGCAGTTCGAAACTCGAGCCCCAAATTTCAAGCATGTAGCCTCTGGATGGCCCGTCGGGAAGCTCGACTCTGAACCGGATTCCCTTCTGGATGACAGCAATCTCGCCGGGCTGGACAAACATTTTGCCAAACTCAGTTTGTACATCCAAGGCGCCCTGTTGCGGGACAATCAGAAAGTCTCCGTCAGCATTTACAAAGGCCGTTTGGGTCATATTGCAATTGGCAGTGTATACGTGGATCGCGAGCCCTTCACCAAGGGTCGGCTCGCCAGATCCGGCAATGGATCTGATGCCCGCTACAAAGTCAATCGAGCCCGAGTCTGGGATATCCATGGGAGTCCAGGAGAGCTGAGATGGAGAAATATGGACCTTGGGGTTGCTGAGCAGATAATTGGACTCGGCGGCTGCGTTTTGTGGGATATCGACCTGAAATCGAGCATCAGCCCCAGCAGGCAAGCAGGTAACACTGTTGAAGCATGAATTTCTTACAAATGCGTCATGGGCGACGGCAGGGCGGACACGATAGAGCCAGGCCTTCCTGTTGACATGTCGTGGCGCCACAAAGGCCGTCGCCGTGATTTGCTCGGCGTACAAGCCGAACCTCACATGGCGCGGGTTATTTTGGCCCTGGGGCAATGTACCTGGAACAGCCTCGGAGGAGAATCTGTTTGACAAGCTTAGCACATGCAGCAACAGGCGTAGTGTTTCATCTGGCAACATACGAATTCCCAAAGCCCGCTTGGTACTAGTAGCAGTGAGTGGTTGCCATTCTCTTCAAAGTTTACACGAGTCATACCTGGTAGGGGTCACTCTTCCTGGTGTGGAAAGACGGTATCGCCCCGTTCTTTTGAGTCTCCGCCCAATGGAATATCTGTTGATATTCATTGCTTTTCGTAGCAGAAGCCATTTTGACTGGAGAATGAAGAGCAGTGTTGGTTTGTTATGCGTCTAATACTTACACCTTTGTCGTTCGGCTACAGCAATCGAAGTGATCTGGGATGTATGCAAAGGGTGAAATAATAGAGCAAGAACTGACAGAGGGTCTGGCGGTGTACCAATTACGCCAATTATTCAAGGTAGGATGCTCTGCTCCATACTTGGGGGGTATCGCGGGCTATTTGGGGGTTGGGATGGGGGGTTTTCCGAACAATCTCCAACCCCCATGTCTAGACCCGCCGATCTCCAAGGCTGAAGGAGTCGGGGACGTTGAAGGTTTCAATGTTAGCATTTGGGCCTGCTTTTCTAATCGACCCACCTCACTTCCGAAGGCAAAGCCTTGGCAAAACTTGAGACCGACGGCCGAAGCAACTTCCTTAAGAAGACGGGGTTGGCCATGAAAGTCCTCTCGATGGTTAATTCATCCCATCTCGCCATTCCATTCCACTATTCCCGACGTCTCTATTTTCTACCAAAACGACTACCATTATGACGGAGTCACAAGATACAAATGGAAACGACGGCGGAGCGAGCTTCTTAGCGGACCGCTCCATTGATGACTATCGCCCAATTCGTGTGGTTGTCATCGGCGCAGGCATTTCGGGCATACTTGCCTCGATCCGCTTCCCCCAAAGAATCCCAAACTTGTCCCTGACAGTCTATGAGAAGAACGAAGATATTGGGGGTACTTGGTTCGAGAATCGGTACCCAGGTTGTGCTTGCGATATACCTGCCCACGTGTACCAGGCCACTTTCTCACCAAACACCGAGTGGTCCCA